AATGCGGCCCTTTCCGACTCCATGTCATCTTCATTGCTCCTGCACCGGTCTTCTAACGCCTCAAGCAAACAGCTTTCTGGGGTTCCTGGAATTGGTGGCACTTCTATCTCTACCGCCTCATCGCCTGGAGGGAAAGCGATCTCCCCTCATACGCCTCATACTCCTGCCATCCCTTCTAGGCTGAGTTCGAATAGCATAGTCGATAATAACCCATCGGCTAATACCCGATCTCGATTACACGGAGACAACGGCTCTCCACTAGAAGAGGATACTAGTGAGACGACGACTGAACGCATTCTTTCGACCGCTACTGCCATTCCCATTCCTACATCGCCCGCGTCGATTTTCCCTACTTCATTCCGCCGCTCGAGTTCTGCTGCCAACCGCCGAAGCAATACTGCAATGGACGACGATGAGATTTTCACCATGCGTAGTATAAGTCTCGGGGCCGAGGAGCCGTCCCACACCACATTAAGGACGCTGCAACGGCAACACGAATACGAAAATCCTGTCACAGATATAGCGCCGTCCGGGTCTGGACCACGTTCTGGTGGTGGTGATGATGCAACTGTGTTTCGAAATCCCCCACTGCGGGAGTCAGGCGCTCATCGAGGTGCTTCGGCCCTGGGCCCGACAGTTGGGTCATCACCGTCTTCCAACCACCCCCTACACCAACAACGATTTAACCATTCCCGCGGTCGAGGGTTCTCCGGTGGCCCTCATTCTCTCAGTTCTGGATCCAGCAGCGTCGCGCGTGGGGCAGTTATGCCTCCTTACCTCTCCGAACGGGAGTCTGAGCGTGATGCCAATGCGAGTGGAGGTAACAGCGTTACGGAAGATCGCCGAGCAGCTATGCACCGATTTAACCCTGGTCGTCAAAACCCACCGCAGTCCAATCAGCCCGAAGATGACGAGCCTTTGTTATTCGCCATGAGTGATTTTGGGGTTTCTCGACGAAGCGTCGAAGAAGGCCGGCAGGGTAATCACGGACCCGATTCGAGTGGGGACACCGGGACCCCCAGACCAGGCAGTGGAAGACGAGGGGGGCACGCCTTCCAATGGCCTTGACTACATCCGTCCTATTAACTATTTTTGCCGTTCCGTCGGTAGCATTCCTCTTTCATTCACGCTTCTGCATATTTCTAACCTGAATTTGGCTACACACATCTTTTTCGTTTGCTCATATACACCCTGATGTTTTGGTTTTTCTATTATTATTATTGTTTTTGTTTTTGAGCCCTTTATGCAGGACGGGACTCATAGATTGATCTGCTAGCGATTGGCAACAACATAGAGAACGATGAGAAATCCCTCAAGGGATCGATTTGGCTCTATTCTTTTATTAGTCTTCTATTTATTTTTCTCACAATGTTCCTTTGTGTTTTGGCGACTTTTGGGTCCAGGCTGGCAGGTTTCTTATGTTTGGATGCACATAGTGCTGGTTGTTGGTTTTTTACGTGTTCTTGGAAACCTTGTCCCAACTTTTGAAATGTTGCTGAACGAGTGTTACCCATAAGCTGATTTCTTGGACTTTTGATGCCATGGCCGGCGTTGGATGTGAATTTTGCTTCATAGATGTTGGATCACGGCACAGAATACATGGTGTTTTTTGTTCTGCAAACCACAAGTCATACTTAATTTTCAATTCATTTGCTCTGACAAAGTCACAAAGTGTGCGATTACTTGAAGTTGGGAAAATAACCCTATTAGTCCAAACAAATCATGATATTTTCCCCTCTACCCTTTTGTCAATTACCAACTCCAGACCAAACGCTAAACATATAAAAGAAGTATATCCAGGCACATGGCGCAGTCTAGGGTACATGCTATTGCTGAACAACGTTTTGAAAGCACAGCTATACAAGATTCCAATTTTCGATGCTAATCGACCAAGACTGAATCGGCCTTTATCCTATCCTCGTCCTACTCCAGTTACCACCGGTGTACTTTGGAAGAGTATTTTCCTCTCTCAATAGATAAATAATGACCGTTTGGCAGTCGGAATTGGCCGTTCGTATAGCCCCTTAACTCAAATGCCCCGAGAGAAGTAGAGTAATGTAGGGCGTAGAAACGCTAGGGTTTCAGCTGGGAACCGCCTCAGCTAAAATGACCAACGGGTGAATGAGGTTGTTGGTGTAGACAGTAGTGCTCTACCTTACACATAGACATGGCGTGACGCATGCTATAGAATGGGCGATAGGCAGATTGACCAAAGCCAGAACCAGGAAACGAAGTGCGGATATCTACGCTCACATTCTGCGGAATGCGTTCCCTGATGCGCTTCGTCGCTGCTTCGCTTTATAGTCGGATGATGCAGTAGTTGGTTTAAAGGGCGCATCTCTCTGTTTCGAGGACTTGCCCCTGGGGTTGAATGTGAATTCTTGCTCTCCCACCACAGTAGCGCGCCGGGTCGGCTTCTCCTTAGTGCGCATATTCTGTGCTCGTGAACCGAAGGAACGCTCGCGAGTTGAATTGGCGGCTGTGGAGGAGGATATTTGCATTTGGGGCTGGCGACGGTTGTTGTTGTTGTTGTTGTTGGTTTGTCTCGCGGGCTTTTGGGTGGAGGGTTTTCGTTTAGACGCTCGCTCAGGTTCACTCTCGGATTCAGACTCGGAGTTTGAGTCTGATGAGTTCGGGACCTCGTCAATAGCTTCTTGTTCGACGGCTGTGAGGCCGCGTTCTTTCCTAGCTGTGGGAGCGGGTTTGGGGACGCTGCCTGAATTACGGAGAGAGAATTCTTGGGAGTTCTCGTCGATGGCAAAATCTTGGTCTTCGAAGAGCTTAGCGAAACGGCTGTCGCTGAGGACGTTGGTGCCGGGTGCGTTCTTTGTGGCTTCAGCGTCAGCGTCGGCATCAACATCTTCCATGGGCTCATCGCCTCCTTGCTCCAAGACGCGCTTGGCTTTCCGGCGCTCGTTCTTCTCTTCCATCTCCATGAGTCTCTCGGCGAGTTTCTTGTTAACCTTAACGGATGCCTTCTTTTTGCCTCGGATTCTGCTTTCACGTTCTTTGTCGATCTTCTCCTTGATTCTTTTCGCACGTTCTTCCTCCCAAATGTACGGGTTGGTGATCAATCTAGCTTCCTCGTACAAGCGTTGAGCAACAAAGTATCCGTGCATATAGGGTCGCAGCAAGTTGGTGCGCCCAATCAAATGTTCTAAGCTCAAGGTTCGCAGTTGCTGTAACGTCAAGAACTTAAAGTTATCGTAAACGGAGCCGGCTTGGCTAGCGTTGAATGCGCTCGGGTCGTTGGGATCCTCAGCCATTTCCTCAACCAAGTTGTCCAAGAATGAGCACCATTTCGGGGCAGGGCCAAGCTGGGGAATGAAGAATGAATGTTGTTGTCGTCCTTCGTTAGCCGTAAGGATCATTCCACTATCTTTGCACCAAGCAACTGAGTTAATGTCGACGGCGGGTTCGACGGAAGTCCAAGGAGTGCCATCCCGGGGGTCCCAGATCTTTATTATCTTCTTATCTGATGACATGATCTTGGGTTCCATGGTCTGCTCTCGTGACGTTGAAGATGGTAGTAGGAATTTTAGTGTGTGAATAGGGAAGCCATATCCTTGGTCTTTCTTGAGCAGGGGCATGGGTGAGCGGAGATCATAGAGGTGGATAAGTCCATTTGAGGAGCCAGTAGCAAGTGTTAACCCTGCACGGTGAAATTCCAGGGCTGTGATTTCGTTTCTGGGTTCATCAGGTCCGACTTGAGTTGGAGGCAATAGCACCCCAGCCCGTCCCTTAGCTCGCGGGTCCCAAAGCTCGACTGTACCTAATGTGGTACCAAAAGCAAGTAGACCATGGCTTTCCTCGGCAATAGCCGCTGTATTAACGGCACCGGTATTTATGCCGCCTTGCAACGCTCCCCCACCCGCCGAAGTGAAATCGTCACCTCCGACATCAACCTCAAAGCTGCGCATATAACGACCCAATTCTAGGTTAAGACGAAAGACTTCACCAAGCCCATCGCCATTCACACCAACGGCCGGAACAAGCGCTTCAGTGGATACTCTGTCGTAAATGAGGTCGCGGCCATATCGCGGGAGCCTCGTCTTGTAATGGCACCCAGAAGGTGTATGGAACTCGAGCGATCGATCAGACTGAAGGTGAATGGATTTTGAGTAATCGGAAGAAAGCAACTGGAATGTTGTATTGAGCGCGTCTGTGTGGCGGGTCCAGGAAAGTGATAGCTGGGGAAGATGGTGCGTGTGAATTTGAGGTTTGTAAGTTCCTAGTAAAAACCACAAAGTCAGTTGCGAAGTCCACCATTTACATGGAAAATCTCACCTGTGCTCATGACCCATTCGCCATCCTCACTAGCTCGGATGCACTGGCTTGCCTCCTCAAACTCGAAATCCTGAAGCAGTTCGATTCGATTCGCATACTCTGGATCGTTCTTGAGACTGCGTTTTCGCCGTCTCGCAAGCCATTCTGGTAGGGGACGGGCTGTATTTGAGCCCGATATCGTGTACACGGGGACTTCCGATTGATTCGAGAGCTTCATGTTGGCTATAATACCCCTCAAGTGCGCAAAGACCGAGCGGCTGAAGGACTGGCAATTTTATCTCTTATTTTTTTTTCCCTTGATTATCGATAAAAGCGGGCACGTGACCAATCAGATATCGCCGACCCATGATTGGCTACTCCGGCCACGCCGTGGAACCTCCGTATTCCTTCAAGTCCATGCTGCGAACTCGCCGCAACTTCCGGTGCTTGACATGCTGGTAACGTCGCTCCTTCCATCGCGCACCTCTATTCGCCTCGCTATGTCTCTGTTCTAACGGACACAGTGCTATTTGGCCCTCGATTTTTCTCACAGGGGAATGGTTTCTTGCAGTTCGCCTTGTTTTTGACCGTCACCTTGATCAACATCCAAATGCGATGGGTTGCGAGTTGAGAGACTGCTTTCGGTTCGGCTTCCTTTGGAAATGAAGTTATCTTCGGTCTTTACAGCTTCACTAGCTATTCACCTTGGTCCGCCCTGGGACAGCAGCTAAATCATGGAATTTCCCGGAGGATCCATCACCAACATACGCGTCATTGTAGGTACCGTGCCTACCCGGTGATTGCTTCAGCTCTAATGCGCGACTGCAGGATGGATTCTCCAACGTCTACTGGAGGATATATACTGAGGATACTAGCAGCACTCATCCCGCTAGCGATGGCCCGAGCAACGGCCGTACGGTCTTGAAGCATATTAGCCGCCTCAAGGAGCTCGAGCTTCGGCTAAGAAGTCAAGGTAGCTTGGTCCTGAGTTACCCGAGACGCCTTGGTCTTCTTATATTCTCCGCCACCCCGGACTTTGAGCACCTTTCGCCAACACTTTTGAGCGAGAGAGGAGATGATTCAAGCCGGCTTCTAGTTGGCTCTACCATTCTCAAAGGTTGGTTAATCTAGAACCCATTGTAACATGGCAGTATATTCACATAGAATTAGTTTGGACATCCGGGAGTGTGTCTTCCGGGGACCTGGCAAAAAGTCATCGGTCTGATTTCCAGACCGCAAGCGCCAATTCCCCCGCGCCCTCCCAACGGCTGCAAGGCAGTTCTGTACAACCTAGGCGGGTGGATAACTCTGGTGGATCAGCGGCCATTTACGCCTCGTTTATTTCAGCTGTCACCGCCGCATTTAGCCTTCAGATAGTTCGACAGAACAACGCTATACCCCTCGGGCCGCGAACACTCTTTAACACCGTGGAGAGCGACCTCAACGAGGGTCAGGGTGCTGTCAACGATGAACCTTCTTCCGTGCCAGCCCTGACCACCCTCCAAGCCCAGCTGACATCGGTGGGGAAATTAACAATTGCCTTTCAGACTGTAGTACAGACTGGCTTGACGCGGCTCAATAAACCAGGAGAAAACAGCTTGGAAGCTGCGCCTGGGACTGATCTTTGGTTAGCCCCTACTGGTTCGATCGCAAGACTGGTGGCGGCTCATCCAGAGGATATAAACAACAAGCTTTCTTTTTCTGCTTCAGAAGATGCTGGACAGTGGAAACAGAATGTTTTGGAATGGCTCGGGTACTTTGGCCTGCCAATCGACGCGGTGACTGGAGAAGGCTGGGTTGAGGTTGAGGTTTGGGAACCGTTTTATTCCAAACTATCCGGAGAAGCACGTGTGAAGCAAGAGGGTCACTCGCTTCCTCTGAAGCGTATACTATGGCCCGCCGCCTATTGCTTTCGACGGACAAAGTCAACCCAACTTGAAGCACCTGAGAAAACCGAAGTAAATCCACCGTTTTTCTGTGATCCGCTGGATTTCGCGGAGGACTGGTACACTAAGGAGATACCCAAAACTGCTGAGACGGATTTAGAGTTACCCTCTGAAGGTCCAGAACGACAAATAAGCAACCAGGACACTCTATCACCCGGCTTTGCCAGCCTCCCAGAAGGGATTGAAAGTCTATCCAGAGCATCGCTATATCCTGAAATGCAGAGTGCGAGCCTCGTATACCCCACGCCACCAGATGGGACTGCTGGCGTAGGAGTCAACCCTACAGTGTCGTCAGACGTATTCGCCGAGGATTTAGATTATGGCCCACCCCTGCTCCAAAGTCAAACGAAACTAAAACAGAATATCCGATCTACTTCAAAAAGTGGCGTGGATCCGGACGTGACTATGGAATTTGGCCCGGCTGCAGGCCTTGGGGTCGGATCTGGTCTTTACGATACCAACGAGGATGATGACTTATTTGGAGACATGAACGAGAGGGACTTTGGCACGAAGGGAATCACGGATGCGGATTTCAGCTTTTTCGATGACGATGGCTTCGACCACCCGGGGAAGGGTTCCAATATAGGCCATAGGCAGGAAAGCCCTGATTTTGTTGATCCAGCCAAACCAAGTGCTGTGGTTGAACTTTCAGAACCCATCGCACCCTCGCCTAACAGCGCCCCAATTGACGTGAAGGGTGTCACTGAAGAAAGTCCCGAGCAAACACATGATCTGCCGCGACATGACCCTATTCCTGAAAGTAACGCGCCCATGTCATCCCCTCATTATGGCCAAATGCAAACTATCAGTCCCCCTCTCAGTCCTGTGGAGGTTAAACGGATTCTTTTCCCAGACTCGAGCAGTAGCAACCAGCTTGTTGCTAAAAGCACTCATGTTCCAAGTCATTACAGCCCGGTTGCGTTTAAAAACAATGGATCTTCTTGGGATCAAAAATATGGCGCGGACGGCAAGTTCTCTTTCGTGGGCCCAGGTACAGCATTCACTCAGGACCCCTACACCTCGACAGAAGGCATCCCTACAATTGGCCTACCGCGCCGAAAAAGTAATGTCAAGGCGCTTACCCTCCCAAAAGCGCCTGGCGGCGATGAACCCGCGCCGAACGAGATGGAGTCATCAAGTCCTGATTCGAGCAGTGAGACGGGCGAGAGTGATAATGATGGCCTGGAGAGCAATATACTGCCCACAACTCTTGCAACGCTTAAACGAAAGCGCGCCCGTTCTAGTCCTGGAAATTCTCCGATAATCTCTTCGGACAAGGCCCTCAATGGCCTTCAGGGAATAAGTAAATCCGAGGATTCTGTCTTTCTCGGAAACTTCCTCTCAACATTTTCTGATTGGTCAATCGCTGGGTTTTTCTCATTATCCGAAAACCAGGTCTTCCCATCACTTGCACCGCAGGAGGCGCAGGTTCAAGTTGCTCAGATTTTAGTTGACCAAATCACCCAGTCATCGTTAGATCATAAACTCGATGGCGAGTTTGGCGTTTCTTGTCTCGACAATCAAGCCTTCAGCCACCGAGAGCTGCTGGCGGTCTCCGAATACCTGGGAAGCTTTGACAGACTTGACTTGAATGCCTTTGTGTCACTAGAAGAGCAAATTCCCTTCTCCCCTGATGCATCAAGCGGCCTTACTCCTCGGAAAAATTCTCAAAGAAAGGAACCTGGCAAAGGGTCTATCACAAGGCTGCCACTACCACACTTACGTGTGCGACGCGGCAAAAGCTTTTTGGAAACATTGCCCCCGGCAATATCATTTTGGGAAACGTTCGACCTCGAGCCCGCTCATGGACCTAAGGATATTACTGCATATTGCATACATCCACATATCATGACAAGAGCAGCCGATACGTTTCTAGAGCGGCTGGGTCTTCTCTACACTAGCTGCAATCTTGGCAGCCATTCTAGAGGGGATTGTTCTGGCAGCTTTAGCAATGGCTTAGCTGAATGGGCCGTCAATCCGTCAAAGCGGACCAACTATCCATCTATGATGCTACAGCTAAAGGGAATATGTGGAGATCTCGGTAAGCCCATACTTTACTCGTTGATTAACTCTACTAATGTCATAGCAGGAACTGCTCTTTTAGAGAGCCCACCATCGAAGGAAAACATTATTATCTATATTATAAATCCGTTTTCGCATGCTGCATCTCTAGTCGACATATGTGCTGCGTTCTGGTGTCTACTGCAAACCTACTTTGCCAACGAAGACAAGCAGCAATCGAAGCCACTTAACGAGGTTCTGTTGCAGGTCATTCCTATGGATTTTGTCATGTCGGCAGAGTCATTGGTTGTACCACCCCAAACAGACTATCTGAACCTGGCAATGGAGGTTTACAGTCGATGCTCCACAGGTCAAATCCAATCGAGCCTTATGGACTGTGCGCCGCCTGTGATGCTGGCGGAGACTCTTCCGCAGTCGATTGGGTTCAAGCTCGCTTCTGAATCTTCACCCCCAATGCAGGAAGGGAAGTGCCTTCATGTTGCTTGTTCGAGAAGTCGGGACCAACGATGGATGTCTGTGGCGTGGTCGGACAATTCCGGAGCCCTTCAACGGACGATGTCCTACTGCATTCGTTTTCGGAATTCTACAACCTCCCGAGCTCTCCCAGCTGTGCGTAGCGAAATTTGGGCAGCAACAAAAGACATAATGGACAAGAGCCAAGCACGCTGGAGGGTTATTCTTGTGAATACTGAGAATGTGGACCAGGACGAACATGATAGTAAGGGTTACCCATTGAATTATTGTTGATACTGGGCTAACATTCCTAGCGTGGCTGGGCCTCGCCGAGCAGTACAACAAATCAAGGCCTGTGCCTGTGGAACTGACGATACTGAGTGTCAATACAGCCGCTGATCTCTCCCTGAGTCCTCCACGCTCCCCGATGCCAATGAGTGTCCTCAACCCACAGACTTCTTCAACGCCCATTGCTACACCACTTCCCAGTGGCTCCATCCTTTCGCCGGATCAAGTGGGAAATGCACCGACTCCTCCAAGTGGTGCCAATGCCCCAGCAAACGCGCCCACCCCAACAGACCCACTTTTTGAATCCGAGCCCGAATCTCTACTTACGGACATTTGTGACGAATCTTGGAGTGTGGTACTATCGCATCGTCTGAATGGCACCTTGCACCTGACTGAATATCGCCCCGCATTAGCTAGTGGATATCTTCTACGCCGAAAGGGTCCCACTGATGCAGATGGGGCATTTAGCATGAACGTCAATCTCTTGTTTACACAGCGATCTTCATACTCACATGAAAACACCCTTCGCGAGATTATAGGGCTATATCGTGACCTGGCGACCCTTGCACGAATACGAGGCACGCGGATTGTTCAAACCGGCACATTACCTTGGCATATTGCTACCGCAGTGCGCGCTCAAGAAATATTGAGCTATGTCCTGTGACTATGCACTCTATGCGACTTTGCTTTTCGCTTTACTGGCTGGATACATGGCGTTTGGATTAGGTGGATCTTCTATTTCTTTTTGGGGTTACTGCACATAGGATGCGCTAGGCCATCATATAAGGTTTTGGGAAGCTTTTTGTCATGATATTATACCCGTTGCATACACCGATAACTAAGCACACTTGAATTTCCACTTATTATCTCGTCGGTTTTGTAGAATAGGGGGTCGGTCACCTGACCAGAGCTTATCATATCTAATCTATTGCTGTCGATAAAGGCGGAAAAAATATTCGGGATCACAATAATTGAACTGCTACCCCTCATTATTCTCGCGATACTGCTGTCCTAATCTTCAATTCTTGACATCGTTTCCAGTCAATTGAGAAAACCGTGAACCATATTTTACTAGAAAGTTGCCTCGCAACGACCGCGTTCTACTCAACCTCCACTTGTACATATATATCAACTACTTTGTGATAACCACTCCCAAAGTTCAGGACGGTTCTACGCAACAAAGACACTGATAGTGTACCTCACGCAAGAAGACGAACTGATCGAAACATACCTACTCAATAAATCATCCTCAATGTCTCAACAACAACCACCGGCCACCACCACCCCACTACCAGCCGACCAACCAGCCTCCTCCTATCTCGATCTCGGCATCACCCTCGCAATCAACGCCTGGCCATCCCTCACCCTCGCCGTAACAAACAACTGGGGCGGCCCCACCTCCTCTGACAAGCGCGACTGGCTCTGCGGCGCAATATCCGAGATGATTGCCGAGCGACCAGAGACAGATGCCGAGGACCTTGAGGACGTACTGATACAGGTGATGAATGATGAGTTCGATGTCTTTGTGGACGATGAGAGTGCCGGGCAGGTGGCGGGTCGGATTATGGAGATTCGGGTGATGGTGGAGAGAGGCGAGTTTGGCGCCGTTAAAGAGATGTGGGAGGAATGGGAGAGGAAGAGAGCACAGAAAGGGAACGGGGCTGCTGTGGTGGGGTTCCAGAGAGGAGAAGATCAAGAAAATGAGACCGACGACGATGTAGATGATGATAGGGAAGAAGGGGATGTTGATATGGGGGAAGCACCTGCCTTGGTGAGGGCACCCAGGGAGAGGGCTGAGCCTGAGATTGATGAAGATGGGTTTACCAAGGTGGTTGGCAAGAAGAAGAGGTGAATCAGTGACGAATGGTTAGCTTAGACAGGCTTTATGATATTCCCCAGATAGACGAGTCTTGCATGGAATGACATTTATTTGATGATTTTGTGGACTACCTTACGACCAAAATGGCGAAGGAAGACTTTTCATTTCCAGCAAAAAGTAAATCATACGTAAATCTATAGAAAAAGAACCGAATAAAATTCGTCATCATCAACGAGTCTAAAGCCTCGTCCGAGTCATCGCTTGGAAGATGCTTCAACTGCCGCCCAGCAACACCATCATGAACATGAATGCCGCTCCGAGAAAACCGTTTAGTTTTCAATAAGCTTGGTAATCATACCAATGGCAATGGTTTGTCCCTAGAGTGAAAATAGTTAGCTTGCTGATAACTTTAATATATGCAACAAGACAGCTTACCTGGTCACGGAGGGTGAACCGTCCCATTTGATTGTAATCTTCGAATCGTTCAACACAAACGGCACCCGCAGTGCTGGTGACTTCAATGCGTGCAATAATCATTTGACCTTTGTTAGCGAATGGCGGGGGACGCTTGCTCTTTCGTCCAGTGCCGGGCTCGAGCTTATGTAGCAGAGCTGCAACAGTCACTTCTTCTACAGCTGAGTGTACGTGCATAACGCAGTTGAAACCAGCCGTGAGAATATTCTTGAGATCGAGAATCCTGATTTTAGCCTCGAAGGCAGAGACACAGTGGACTAGACGCTTTGGCGAGCACATCACAAAACCAGGAAGGAGATCTTCTTCTTCAACGCCTCGAAGGCGCATACGTACTTGATCACCGCAAGTGGCCGTTGGAATCTCATCTTCAGTCTCACCATAGAGAGCTGTAATCTCGATCTTTGTGCGGTTAGGCATGATAATGCAGTTTTGGTTCTTCTTGACGACACCGGCTTCAATACGACCTTCAACCATGGTGCCCATATCTCGATATTTGGCGCTGACTGGCATCATGAAAGGTGCGTTAAGGTTACGCTCGGGCATTTTCATGTCTGTGAGGTATTCGATGAGCGAAGGGCCGCTGTACCAAGGGCAAAGGTCACTAGGAACACGATCCTTGACACCTAGAGTCCGCTGAGCGGAAATGGGCATGAAAGTAAGATCGTCCTTCTTGTAGCCAAGAGCTTCCAAGAATTTTGAAACCTTGACTGTGCACTCTTCGAAACGTGCCTTGCTCCATTCAACTGTTGGGTCATCCATCTTGTTGACTGCAACAACCAGCTTCCTCACGCCAGTATTCCTTGCTAGGAGGGCATGCTCCCGGGTTTGGCCACCTTTTTCGAAACCAGTTTCGTATTCACCCTTTCGCGCAGAGATCACGAGAACACCGACATCAGCCTGGGAAGCTCCGCCAATCATATGGTGTACATAGGACTTGTGGCCAGGGGCGTCGAGAATAGAGAAACGTCTTTCGACAACACCATCGGGTGTTGGGACATCGACCTTGAAGTGAGCGCGGCCCACCTCGACAGTCTTTCCCTTGGCTCGTTCTTCATTGGTCAGATCCAGAGCCCAAGAGAGATACCAGGTCTCTCGACCAGCTTCCTTCGCATCTCTCCTGTACTTTTCCAGTGTTCGCTCGTCAACCATTCCGGTAACGTAAAGAATAGAACCACCGAGAGTGGACTTTCCAGCATCGACGTGGCCAATGAACACAATGTTCACGTGTTCCTTCTTTTCACCATAAATTTCCTTCAATGTCTGCTCATCAACATCGGCGGCTTGTTCCATCGCGACAGCGTTTGCATCACGCTTCTCCTTGGCACTCTCGCCTCGGGAGGGACTCGACCGCCCAGGGCTGCCCCGCCCTGACGGAGTGGGGGATGATTTGCCACTAGAAGCTGCTTTTTGTTCCGCCTTCTTTTCTGTCTTATCGATGGCCTTGGTGGCTGCTACCTTAGAAGCAGCCTCGACAGCCGCGGGGCCCTTGGCTTCGCCAAGAGATCCTGAGTCGGATGAGGGGGTGTTTGATGCCGGCGTGGGGGTACCGATAGAGAGGACTTTCGTTTTCGGAGCTGCGGGGGAGTTGCTGGCGCCGCCGATACTCAAAACTTTGGCCTTGGGGACAGTCGTGTTTGCGGCAGCGGGTTTTGGTGCGGGTTGGGCGGGAGCAGCGGCGGGAGCGGCCTGGCGAGGCTGCTGAGCGAATTGCTGCTGTTGTTGGTAGCCACCATAGCCCTGGTTGTAAACCTGATTGTAACCGCCAGGTTGCTGGCCGTATGCGCCATACTGGCCGTAGGCTTGTTGGTCATATCCGCTGTAGGCTTGTTGCTGGCCGTACTGACCATACTGGGGGAAGCCGCCGTATTGTCGAAACTGCTGTCCAGGGACGAAAGCCGTTGCTCCTGGCTGGAAAGAGGCAACACCGGGGTGGAAAGAAGGAGCTTGAGCCTGGGGGCGCGATTGTGCGTTGTTCAGGTTCACGCCTTCGGTCTGCCTGGAGAGTTCATCTTCCCAGGAATCGGGGGTCTGGTTAGCCATGCTCGAAACGTCAAGATGTTTAACAAGGCAAGCGCTCGAACTGGACAGCAAAAACGGGGGAGAAAGAGGGTATAAATAATGAGCCTTAAAAGAGGATGGAGGAGGGGTGTTTCCCAAGCAAGTTTAGTGAGGCTGCGGATTTTGCACGGATGACTCAGCTGCATGTCTTCCCCGCCTTACGCAGGACAGTGCTATTGCGGCGTTGAAAGAACATTCTATGCGGCTTTTGGCCCAATATACGCCTAATTACGGGGCGCTCTAGAGCTTGCGCCATCCAGTTGCAGATAGTGGTTATTTCATCTGACATTAAATGACTCAGTGGTACCTGATCGGTTTAAGGCATAAATGTGAATGTGCACTAGCCACAGTGGCTTGTTATCGATAAGGTTCAGGGGCCGCCACAGCTAACATCCCACTCGAGAAACATCTTTGTCCCTTAACATTCTCCTAGCATCTTGAAGTATGGTGGATTCAAATATTAACCAGTCCGTAATACCAGTATGGACACATTTTTAACCCGCGTAAGTTTGTCCCTCTGTGTCATAGAAAGACATGCAAGGAGCCGGAGCTAACTTGCTTTACAGCTGACGCAGCAGGCAATGAACTATGCGATTCGGTATATACACTTCTTTTTTTGTTGCTTTGGCATGCCTCATATTTTTCAGGTTATACGGGATATGAATATACGCTGACACTTCGTGCCAATAGCTCTGGTATCGCTATCACAGCTAGCTACGCAATCCGCCAGTCATCGAGATTACTACAAGTGGGTGGAAACGCTTAGCCCGTGCTTGTATCTGAGAATACCAGCTAAACATGTTAACTCAACTAGAATGTTGAGAAAAGTGCCGAACGAGATGAGCTTCTTGCACTTCAGCAACGTCTCGAAAGCAAGATCCAAGTTAGTTCGCTATCCGTCTTCTATGGAATTTGTGACTGATGATGGTAACAGGTCATCTCGCCAGCAATTGACATGATCGAGTTGATGTGAGTGGCAAGATGGCTTGCACATTTATATAGTTTGCTTATCACTAACTTATCCAGTGCTGCACGTGGAAATACATCTCTAGAGTCTGCGGTTTCCCTCACTAAGTCCCTCCGACTGGATATCCAGTCACTAGGCCAGCGGCTAGCTACTGCGGCTCAATCTGAAGAGCAGATTCAGAAAGGGGGAAAGTCTCCTCGAGACTTTTCGAGAAGCAAAGAACTGATCATTCTTATCATCCAAGATATAAAGAGGCTTCTAGTTCGAATCGAAGATGCGGTCCCGCTTATGAATTTAGCTATCACGACTTCAGGGGCGAAGCTGTCCACTAACCTTCCCTCAACAATATCGCCTTCCAGATTGCTACAGGCGAGCACATTTCTCACTGCCGGAGACACGCAGTACTCCATTTCCCCATCACAAGCAGTTCAAATTGGCCCTACTTTCACCATCTCAGTGTACATGCTTTTTGCGAGTCATCTACGTCCTCCCGACGAAGAAAGTATTCGCGAAACGACATGGAAGGAAGTCATGCATAAGGCCCGCTTGAAATTACGGCGAGTCCCGATGGATATGGCAATCCTTCCAGAAAATCGGCCGCCGATGCTGCAACTTCCTGCAGAGGGGCGAGTCGATGAATATGCCTATCAAATTTTGGTGGTAGAGGACCTAGATGATGGCAGGGTCCATACATTCAATGAAAATGATCCTCAGCCTCAGAGTTATGAAGAGATCGACACTGCAGGGATTCGTGACATTATACCCATCCATCAGATCTCGAAAATATTTTACGCGGACACTGGCAAGATTCTTAATATCAGCACCGAAGGCGAAGCAAATAATCCGGTCCTCTTGTTGAAGCGAGACGTGAATGCCATTCCACCGCGACGTATGATTGAACGAGATATGGCTGGCTCTGACGCTGCAAATGAACCAAATCTTGACGAAGTGGACGAAGTGCAGGCGCAATTGGATGCTCAGTTGATCGGATCCAGCTCAACCTCCCCATGCCCTAGCTTCCATGAAAACTCCATCCCCGAGGAGTGGAGATTGCCCAAAGGTCTTGATCCGGAATGGATTGCCTTGGAGGTTTACAACGAGGATGATGAGTTAGAAACAGAGTCAGATGAGGAAGACTCAAGGTCCCCCGACTCTAGGAAAATGGCACAGCTCTCCATAAACCCAGACAGCAAATCTCCCCACACATCCTCCCCGCAGCCAGATAAGTCTCAAGGCACGAATACAGTCTCAAACCCTCTCTTCAATAATATCCGTACTTCTCTCTCACTCCTCGAAACACTTCTGCGCCTGACATCCCTCCAACAATTCCAACAACTATCACATTTATCAATCAGTGATGAACTACTCAACTTCTTCTTAGAAGAGTCTGCAACCACCGGTGCCGGAGGAGACGAGCAATATCGCCAACGGCTCCGGGCTGATGCAAGGCGAAGGGTAGGCTGGGACCCATATGATGAAAGCCCAGTAAAGCGACGAGGCGAAGAGTATCAATCCACTGGAATGCCGGAAGGTGCCTCAATCGGGTACTCTCGAGAGACGAGCGAGGCCCCCTATACACCCACGGAGAGGATTCGGGGATATCAGCTTCGCTCGAGGGAGGGCACACCGGAAACTCCTTCACAAGTGAGACGGTCTGTTCCGAGAACGAGTGATTTGAGGCCGAATAATGGAACGCGAGGCTCCCCAGTACGTACAGACGAGTAGCAGAGAGGATGATCGCCTCTTGGCCTCTAGTTTATTTCCTTTGCTCTAGGAGTATTCTCGAAGTGTGATAGAGGATCCCTGGCCTAGTATTGGTCTCGAAATTCAAATTACTATAGATTTGCTGCCATCAGCATATTTATGGAAGGCCAACTCTCGAGCTTTTCAGGCATGCTTGGTAGTGTAGTGTATATTCAAAGTGAGCAATCAGACCTACTATCAAATGACATCGCTAAGTAGAGAAAGAACATGGTAAAGCACCAATAACGAACGAGGGGACCCTAGAACGCCTTATTTAAACAGAGAAAGGAGCAAAAAAGCTGACACCTAGCCCAACTCCTTGTGTCTCGCCTAGTTGCATCTCTCGGACCATCCAGTGGCCGGAGTAGACATAAGTAAATCGTGACCGAACACATCGATGTTACCTAGCGCTGGCAGTAAACGCATACTGGCCTTCACGGAAGGTTCGAGGGTATAGAAAATCAGACTCCTACTCCCAATCATCATCGCTGTCATCGTCCTTGGATTTCTCCTTAGGGCTAGCGGGAGTTCGACTAGTCGCACCACTGACGAGGTCATAGCTGGACTCGCTGTCGGGTTGCGATCCCTGGTCATTCGATCGGCGGGGTTCGTTGGGTTTTAGGGTATTGGATTCTGTAGAGGCTGGAGGGGCAACGTCCTTGTTAGGTTTGGTCTTGTCCGAGACCTGAGGCGTCGAAGGGGAGTCGGTATCATCGTCAGAGTCATCATCCCAACCAACTTCTTCCTCCTCCTCGGCGTTGGCACCTGTAAAGATGAGAGAATAACGTTAGCGGAGGGAAATCTTAAGTAATGGTCTTGGAAAGTGCGTGACTATACCCTTGAGTAGCTCCTTCCTCTTCTGCTCCTCGGTTTCGATAACAAGACGGAGGAAATAATACCGAGACCAGAAATCCGCGTACTGCACCTTCTCCGGAACAAGCTTCTCCATTGCGGTGCGCAACTCAGGGTACTTTTCCAGATCCGCAGCAATAGAGCCAGTTTTTTCGTCGATGTTGAATGATTTTTGGAACTCAGGCCACTTGTCACTAGCAGGATCCTTGAGGAAACTCTCGAGAGTCGTGTGGATGACATGAAGCTGAGCTTCAAAACGTGTAGCATGAATAACCCTCTTGCCTTCAGCATCTTTGCTCTCGAAAAGCATCTTCGAGCCCGACTCCTCCTCCGGGGGCACAATTGTAACAGCCTCTCGCAATTTCTGTGTAATATTCATTCCGAACCGCATAATCGCCTCGTCCGCAGCTTCCTCTGCCTTCTCAATCTCTTTCAGCCGCCGAGCCGCCTCCGCTTTGAAGCGAGTGAGAAAGCTCTCGCCAGCAGCAGCCTTCTGGTCACCGTCATATTTCTGTTGTTCTGGCTTCGAGGAATCTTCGGTGCTGGATTCAGTTGGTGTCAGGGAGCCGTCTGTTGTACCACGTTCAGTAGTGCCGAGCGCTGCGCCGAGTGATAGGCCCCTCGTTCGCCCAACAAGGCTGTCCTTGAGGTCGGAGAATCCCTTGACAGCTTCCTCGCTAGCCGCGGCGTATTCTTGTCGAGCGCCTTCATAGTAACTCTCTCCCTGCTTGCGGACGGTGCCCCAGATATCACCAAGGCGTGAGCCCCAGGGGCTTGCGGAAAAGGCGCGGAAAGTCTCCTGCAGCTCGGTGTTCAGGTCAACAGCCGGTTCGTTGGACTTGGACGCATCCTCCTGGGACCCTCCGTTTTTTGTTTGGTCGTTGGGGAAGAGATCTCCCTGGACGTGATCGTATATATCCATAGCTCCGTGTTGCTGTATGAGGGAGGGAAATGGTGGGTGTGACGAGTATCCATAATCGACAGCTTTCTTGGCACTCCGCAAGCGCCCTTTGTTTCCGGGTCTACGATGCGCCGATCGCCGACGACAAACAAGTACTATGCAAGAAGCATTGGGAATTACCGGGTGTTAATTGTTTCATAGTCGTCGTCAAGTATTTGAATCTAATGGTATATATGATCTGGGTATAATTATGTATCCGGTAAGCTGTACGGCTCGCCTACGCTGTCCTGGCTACTCATCCAGAACGGTACGGGAACACTCTCCATGACGCTGGACGTCAAGATTTGGCTTCTGGTCAACATTCCTCGGGGCGCAGAAACCTGGCCTGCTGTTCTCTGGTTATGAGCACGGTCTACCGCTTGTGAAGACTCAACTTGCACCACAGCATCTCTACCGCCAGGGTCACGCCTATTCAGGGATGCACTGTCTTCATCTCGTGCAACTGGTGAAGATGCAGGAATGATCTCCGTTGGTATTTCGTTCGGAGCTTGAGATTCTGCTTGATCAGAATCCGTATATTGGGTTTGGGACACCATTTGGAGCTTAAGCTCCGGGCGAGTTTTCGTTGGTGACGATGAGGGAGACGGTGTCAGAGTGTGCAGGCCATTAGAGTCATTCGGGAATAGCTCGGCCATTTTTTGCGTATTGATCGTAGGTACGGGTTCGAGTGGAAATTGGGTGGCAGGATGGAGTCTCTGGTAACATATTGATGCGTCAGATAGGGGATTCGACTCGAAGGGATAAGGGCCCAAGTTAGTTCCTTGGTCGGGTACTGGCGGGGGCGGGAGTTCTTGAGACTCGGTATTGGGAGGGTTAGAGCCATCTTCAGATTGCGTCTCATAGTCATAGTTGGCGTTAAGAGCATTCCCGTTCCTTGGTGAGCTCGGAAAATCTAGCAACTCGTCGCCTGAGTCGCCGTCATCTGACTCTGCATCAGTCTCATACACGACGGTTCGTTGTAATGGACCCGGGTGTTGTCTGGAATCGGATGTATTCGTGGTGAAATCACTGGGAAGACTGGGAGGTTTCTTAAATTTTTTTGTATCCTTGGCCATATCTAATCGAGGAGACGGTGACAAGCGCGGGGAGTTCAAGTGGTTAAGCGATGGCTTCTTGTCAGCACACGCTACTTGGGGACTCCTAGATGAAACCCTTCGGTCAATCGGGCCTCGGGATTCCTCTTTGATAAAGGGTTCATTAGGAGATTTCAAAGCTCGTGTTTTAGGCGATCGAGTTGCGCTGCGGAATTGAGAAGATGTGATGAACGCTATGCCGGGACTTTCGGGCGACTGCGAGGAGGGTATTTCGGTTCTTGTAGACTTTCGTGGTGTGACTGGGGAGCCTTTAACTTTCTTCTGGAAATTACCTTCCATTTCAAGGTCCTTCCCCTCAGAGCTGGCGCTTAACTTTCTCCTCTTTTGATCGCTTGAAGGCTCGGAAATGTATGTCTCATTGGCTTTGTTCGTATTGACTGTTTGGCGTTTGGGGATCCTCTTTTTCGGAGTTATATATGCGTATTCCAGCTTCACATCCTCGTCGGGCTCAACCAGCACTCGCTGCACATAGTTCATTTGCGTCAAGGTCTTGTCGTCCTTTTGGGGGTCCTTGTATTTCTTATTGGCACTCTTCCTGCGCCCTTTACCTGAGAGTCCATCGCCCTGGATAGAGGGATTTTTCTGTCTTGGAGGGGCGGGGTCAGATTTGGCGCGACGGCCCTTTTTTGCTCGCGAAGTGGATGGTGGTCTGTAATCCACATCGCGGTTGTTGCCTTGTTCATCATCATCATCCTCGATCTCAATCACCTCACGGGCATTCTTTTTAGAGTCATCGACGTAATCGAAATCATCATCAGACTCATTTTGCTGGGATACTGTCACAAAGTCGATTTGCGTCAACGTTGCTTGATCACTGGAGGAATTTCTTTTCAGGAATGACGGTGTCGAATCTGCCGAGGGGGCCGAAGTTGAGCCTGTCCCTGGTGTATTCGTGGCGGAGCCCAGTCGAGCCGGTGCTCGCTTCAACTTGCTCGCCAACGCGGGTTTATTTGGGGTGCGAAATCGGTCTGGAATTGTGCTCGTCACCGTCGCTCTATCGCCTTGTCCCATCGCAGTTTAAACAACAATCAAGGAGTATTTCGGGTGGTTTCACGGCCAGTCATGTGCTTGGTTATTGCTGTCTGTTGGAGGATAGAGAAGTCTGTTAGCACATAGGCAACCGTTCATTATGGTTGAGCTGCGGCTTTCTAGTTACCTGAGGTTGGTAAGTTGGATTGCTGATTTGCCAGAACGCGTAGGACGCGTTAAGTGGGTGGTCCGTGCGATCTGGAGCCTCAGGTCGCAATTTCCTAAACCGGAAGTCCATAGTTCTCGACGCACAGGGCTCTACCTTTCAACTTTGGAGACCCAAGAAGGCAACTAGTGATGCCGTAAGAAATTGTGGCAGCCGAAGAACAGTTTCTCTTTACAAAAACGAAGATGATTTTCGGAACTACATCACTGGCTAACCGTAGGCACGCAGCTGCTACACACTACGTCTGACTAGCGCATTCGAGTACATGGATCCATGATCAAATACAGCACGTCCTGAATGGCATGGTTTGTTTACTGAATTTAGCCAATAGAGTATTGTATACACATAAAGGCGTAAGTTCCGCGGCGATTATGTGTATTGTTCTACTTATTGACGGTTGCGTCATGGTGATGACGTTATACTATCGGAGCTGCATTTTATGAAATCTAACGAGATCTCGAGGTACCGCTTCAATTCAACCTCTTCCCAGATAAACTACCATTGGACCCAAAAATGTTCTCAAGAATAGTACGACCGAAGGGATCACTTCCCTCCTTCCGACCTAGGGTGCAAGCCCAACCCGACATCAGGCGTCGATTCTTGGCCCATATCGCCAATATAGAAGACGTCCCTGGTGTAAGTAGCTGTTTCCACAATGCTCAGGAAGTTAGATATCTGACTACGACTAGGAGGACGACAAACCGTTTAGTGTTCCCATTTCAGAAGACAGTTATGAAACTTATAACTTCGATCCGCCGCCGTATTCCATAGAAACGACAAAGAACCAGCTAAAGCAATTATACCACGATATGACCATGATAAGGTCTGTGCCTTGTGCCATACACACGTTCCTATAGCGGCTAATGTGATAATTGTAGGCGAATGGAGCTGGCGGCCGACAGCCTCTACAAGGATCGAAAAATAAGAGGATTTTGTCACTTATCAACTGGCCAGGAAGCCGTTGCTGTAGGCATAGAACATGGGATCACGCGCGAAGATAAGCTTATAACCGCCTATCGGGCCCATGGGATGACACTGATGCGAGGCGGGACCGTGAAATCAATTATTGCGGAGCTCCTCGGTCGCCGGGCTGGCATCTCATTCGGAAAGGGAGGTTCGATGCATATGTTTAGCGAGAGCTTCTTCGGTGGGAATGGAATTGTAGGCGCCAGTGTTCCCCTTGGGGCCGGGATTGCGTTCGCTCAACAATACAATGACAAGCGGAACGTGACGATAAATCTGTTCGGAGACGGGGCTGCGAACCAAGGACAGGTACACGAGGCGTTCAATATGGCGAAATTGTGGGATCTACCGGTCATCTTTGGCTGTGAAAGTAAGCCACTCAGTATCATTTCAGACCTTGTTGTGTTTTATGCCTTCGGATAATGCTAAACATGCTCTTTGCATAGATAACAAGTATGGGATGGGAACATCCGCTGAACGATCTTCAGCATCAACAGAATACTATAAGCGTGGACAGTATATCCCGGGTTTGCGAGTCGATGGTATGGATGTCCTTGCAGTGCTTTCGGCTATCAAGCATGGAAAGGAATATGTTCAAGCTGGTAATGGACCGTTACTGTACGAATATGCCACTTACCGGTTCGCTGGGCATTCAATGTCGGATCCTGGGACCGCATATCGATCTCGCGAGGAGCTCAAGGCAGAGCGGGAAAATGATCCAATTTCCAGTTTCCGTGCAAAGTTGATCAACTGGGATGTATTCACGGAAGACCAGGCCAGAGAAATTGATCGCACCGTTCGGAAGAAGGTCAATGACGGAGTGGCAGAGGCGGAAGCGTCGCCCGAGCCCGAGCTCAAGGCAGACATCCTTTTCGAGGATACCTATGTTCGTGGCAGCGAGCCAAGACAGCGACGAGGAAGGACGATTGACGAAACATACTACTCAGGTTAAAGTGTCCGTCGTATCTTGTATGATAGCCTGAAGCGTACACGCTAGATGACAGTCAATAACAAAGAATTATCTTGAACAATCTTGTTTGTTGACATCATGGGGTACTGGTCGGGTTGTTTGATATGGATGTTTGGACGTTATTTCAGTAATTGTGAGTTCGCTGGGTGCAATAGCCGTGACAGCAGAAGCAATATCCAAATCTCACGCCATCATCCGGTGAGCGATGGGTGGAGAATGCGGGTATCCGAATGTGGGCTTGCTGGAAAAGAGCCAGTTTGGAGTCACTAGAACAGTCACAAAGAAGTACTAATCCCGATGAGGAAGGACACATTTTCCCCAACACTCTTGTCTCAGTTGCTTGGGCCTCAGGCCCTGCCTATCATTTCTCTCCATTGCTGATTCCGGCGCCCAGTCGTCGATTTTCCCGCTCCAGTCTGAAGATCAGCGTGCAGAATCATCAGGATAGACGGGGGACTGCTGCTATTGGACAATATCCCTGTGACTGACGACCACTCGTGTCAAATAGAGGTAGATGCGGCGCAAAGCTCAGCTTGCTCTCCTCTTGTTAGACCTCGAGTACTCCGTATGCCAACCCAGTTTTCTTCGTGGGTACTGCTTAATATTGGAAGACTCCGGGGTCTGATAACAGGTCCACAGTTCTTGCATTGAGGAAGCAGAACCGGACGAATTGCCTTCTTCAGTTCTTGTGACGATAGCCCTTCAACTCGGGTCATGAGGCCGTGTTCAGGCGCAGTTATCCCAAAGCCTATATATCATTTCCCTGTGGTGCGCAAATGGCGATATGGCTGAATCCAGGTAGGTCATTAAAGCCAGAGCTGAATTGGCCATGTGAATTCCAGGCTATACAGCCTGGTTATCATTGCACAACTGGAGTTATGGTAAAGTCTTGTGGCTGGCCCTTTTGGCTGCCTTCGCTCAAATGTACTTCGGACCTTTTCCGATTTCTTTCATATGGTTCAGCCCGATGACATCCGAAGGGCCCAAATGTGCCCGTTAGGTTGGTTTCCAATATTTGTCAAACGGACTCAGTCATGAATTCGGCACTTACTGTGGTTGCAGAATCCAGGACCTTAACGGACGGTCTTACACACAAATTATCCGCCAATATGAGCCTAACACGTAGCGTAGGGTACGTTCATTGCACCAGGCCGAATGGTTGGCCCATTTGATCACGATCAAAGCCTCGCATTTGGCAGTGACCAGGGTTCTGCATTATTTGAGGCTAGACCAGGACCAAGGGAAAACGAATCCACCGTGTCTCAGCCTTGCCAGGTTTAGGGAGCAGCCTGGTAATAGGGAACATTTCTTTCGTGCGTATTTTACACATAGTTTGCCCGTGATATGATTGATATGAAACCGCAGGGACGGTCGAGCCAAAAGACTGATATACAACACAGCGGAAGCATACTCGCAATTGGGAAAGGCTCGTCGCAGCGCACCCTGGTCTACGGGGACGAACCAAAATTGTACGCCCTTTTGCGCGTGCAATACAGCTCCAAGTCGAATCTCACTGGGCCTTGCCCCTGTTTCTATTTGGGGCCGAATAGTGAGATCGACTAGCGGCAGACGCCGACGAACCTCCTCTGAGGAGAACCGATCTTGGCCTACCGGGATAGATCTTGTTGGCCACGACGGTCGCATGCACTATTCACCTACAGGTCCTGATTGGTGTCTTCATTGCAGGGATGTTGCCTTACACCAAACCAGAACGCTCTTCATACGAACTCATGATTGTCACCACCTACTTTGCTGGAGAGTAGAGACGACGACGGGAGCGGGGCCGGACGGGAATTTCGAGGGCTGAAAGTGGGTCGGGTTCCGACAGTCTGGATACGGACCGCAGCTCCGTTAATAATTGGACCACATCAATTCACAGCTTCAGGAAATCCTCCTGCAAGAAATCAGCAATGGTGATGAGCCTTGGGAATCGAGGCGTCGTCAAATCGTGTTTTCTGGCCTGAGGCAAGAAGGTGGTCGTAGGGGACCAACCAAGTCGCGGTGCGTTGGCATCTAATTAATATATTTGACTTTGACCGATGTTGGAAAATTACGGAGCATTCGGGAGCTGCTCAGCGGCCAGCCAAGCCGAACGGATATTTAAGGAGCGATCCATGGATCAGAATTTCCAGCAGCATGGCACCGCCGCCATTGGGTCCCGGTTTCTGCTGATGATCGTCCCATAATTTACCTCTTGTACTACCACAGTACTGTATTGCATGAGTAGTCCTGCAAGTCCATACCGCGAGAAACTGCCAATATCCCCATTGGGCAATAGCCTCTGCTTCCCTCTTCCTGTTTGACTCGCACTTATGCAAGTCGGCTGCCTGGGGTCCGAGGTGTGGAAGAAGAAGTGCGTCAGGCATGTGTCGGCTGTCTGACGGGGCTAGCGAGGACTGAGGAAAGACACCGTCCACTCGGGCGTCTGTGTTACGTTTGTTTTGCTTTTCTCCCAAACCCTATTATTATTATTCAGGGTTCCCTCACTCGCTCGGCGCCCCAAAAGCAGGGAGCCCGCCTCGAAGCACGACGTCGACAGGAGTCGACACTCGAAGACGCTCATGATTTGTTCGGTAAAGCCGCACCCATTCCAGTACCCTGGAACAGGTGCCTGTGCTTTCCAGACAAGAAGATTTGAGCAGGGATTGAGAGGGGCTAAAAATATAATAACGATGAAAACAAAAATAGAATAAGAATTTAAAAAGCAAAGAAAAAGGAAAAATGTCCGCATCTGTTTCTAACATATGATACTCCCACCTATCAGGAAATTCTTAATATTCATGTATCATTTCCCTTTCATTCACGCCATTCACTCATCTAATCCCAAGCAAAGGCACCTGCAGAATATGGGTGTCCTCTGAATCAAATAATTTACTGCGTTTAAAGCGGTACTTTGTCCGCTGCGGGCAATGTGGGCACCCCGGCACCAAATCCAATGTAGCGGGGGCTGCTAATGCTTGCGAGATCCTTAGTAGCCTTTGGAGGGTCTGCCGTCTACCCTGTTCTTGTCAAGAAAGAAGACTCTCTGGCAGGGCTTATTTGGAATAACCATCGCACTAACTTGGGTCTTCCAAATTACGTGCGAAATATTCTCCAGCAACTTCTTCTGCAAACCGGGGCGATGGTCTTGTTAATGCTGCGTGATGCGGTGCGATCGACCGCGCGAACCGCCTGTCCGGGACGGTGTTCCTTGGGACACTTCTGACACCTCTGGCCGGCTGTAACCATTCCGCCTGCACAAGCACTGACCTCGAGCAGCAGCTGGGTCCATTTTCTTGGGATGCAGGATCCAAGCCCTCCAATTGATTAAACCTCCGCATGAGGCAGAAAGCCCCTAATTATGCCCGGGATTCCCAGCGGAGTCAGCGACCCAGCACGACTGACAGGCGGTTCAGGCCATTCACCATCTGCTGCTCTCTTCCCACACCTTCGTCGCCTCGCACCCCTTTTTCACTTGGTGCGACCTTTCCTATTCCAAATCAGCACCGCAGTCCCATTTTCTTCCACGTTGGCGATAGTTTTAGGTTAGAACTGAGTTTCCAAGGCTGCGACTAAAGCCAAAACTTAATCCAGCCTGTCGGGTTCAGCGTCAAAAAAAGGAAAAGACTGCCACTTCCACTCACTGCCCCCATTAGCACCTACCCACTTCCCCTCCTTCGTCACCTCCGGATGGCGAGTAGCGTCTCCAGAGAAAATTATGAAAATGCAGCTTCCGAGTGCCTGGACTAGGCCGTCTTTAAATATACTCGCCCAGCCCGTCAAATGAGAGACCCCGAAAAATTGTATCTGTTGAGCTCTGACTCGCCTGCACCCGGCATGTCACAAACTCTCTATACACAACTTCTCACGACCGAGTGTTTATACGTCCACTTCTAGTTGCTTCCCTTTCCTTGATATTTTTATCCATTTTATACTCTTGGCCCATCACCTATCTCCATCCGGCTGCCGTTTCCACTCACCCCCACATCGCAATACACTTGGTGCGGAAGCCAAATGCCCAGGTCCACCAGAACGACGGGTGGAAGACACCCTGTAAGCTAAAAATTCCCCTCCTATACGGCCCATACTTGGTTCCCAGCGACTGTTTAAGCTCTACTCCTGCTCCTTGCTTCCCTCCCCCCCTCCGGTCCCCGTAAAATTTCCGTTTTCCGGTTTCGAATGGTTACTTATAACCACATGTCACAGGAACCTAGTCGAGAATAGTAAGTTTTCGGTTTCCGCTCTCTATCGTGTTCGGTTCTTTTAAAGGGCGGCATCGATACTCTGTCGTTGGTTGGGTTTATGCTGAACGCTCGACTCTCTAGTGACACCCAGTCACTAACTGCGAGTGTAACCGAATATCCTATTGAAAATGGCAGAACGTACCACAGATACCATGAAGGCTGTACGTATATCCCTCATTCGCTGTGTACGAGGGCCTTGATAGCTAACTGAGAACAATAGCATACGTATACCCTAATGATGAGCGGGAACTGGATCGCCTGGACATGCAGCATCACATTTGTAAAATGCTAATGGGAGGTCGCTTATTCTTTGCTCCCTTAATAAACCCCCAGCTTATTTTGGACATCGGTACTGGCTCCGGGATATGGCCAATAGAGATTGGTGAGTTCAATTCTCACCCTTCCGTGCTTCTGCGCTACAGAGTTTCTCATGATCTTTCCCTACACAGCGCCCTTCTTCCCACACGCCCAAATCACAGGGACAGATCTTTCTCCTTGCCAACCCAATGAGGTTCCCGAGAATGTCCATTTCATTGTCGATGATATAACAGAAGACGAGTGGTTATGGGACCGCAATTCTATCGACTTCATTCACACAGGACACCTCTCAGGGGCACTGCCCTCATACAAAGATCTTATACGGAAGATGTACAGACACCTCAAGCCCGGCGGCTGGGCTGAGATTCACGAATTCGATACCATGGTGAAGTCTGACGATGGAACATTACCACCACTAGACGAGTCCAACTTCAGCACATACCCATTTCAGGACTGGCTTGATCTGCAAATACAATCAGGCCATGCGACAGATCCTCCGAGGCAATTTCGAGTAGCGCACCGGCTTGCGCGTGGAATGAGAGAACTCGGCTTCGTTGACGTCCAAGAACGCATTTTTAAAGCCCCGGTGAATCCATGGCATTCCGACCCGCACCTTCGTAGCGTTGGCCAGTGGATGGAGACGAATATCTTGGAAGCTTTGTCGGGGTGGTCATATAAACCTTTGCTTATGTTGGGGTGGTCCAAGCCGGAGATCGAAGTCTTCTTGGTTAATGTTCGACGGAGCGTCCAGGACCGTAGTGTCCATGCTTATTTTAATTTTCATGTCATAATAGGAAGGAAGCCACATCCTGGGGAACGAGCAAGATGAATTCAAACTGCTTTCCCTAGTCCTTGGATTAATTAATGGCCTTATGCTCCTTGTGGGCCCACACTAACATCCCATCTAAGCAGCTGAAGGATCCCGTGTTCATGGAACAGTACGTAAGCGATGCTGCTGTATGGCCGTGGGTTGTTAGGTCTTTCATGTTTCATGATGGCAGATGGAGTTGGCGGGCCTCAATTATGCATCACAACATGCGAACTGGCTGGACTAGAGCACTGGAACCGTTTTAGCAGTTCCAAATTGTAAATTAGAGCAAAAAATATTTTTAAGACAAGTGCTAGACTGGATCGTAGACGTTCGCAACTAGATACCGAAGCCATTCTATGCCTCAGGCATAATTATATAGCGTATGTTTAGTCATCCAGAAAACATGGAGAACTCCGATCGATCATCCGTCGCTACGCATCAACCACCCACGCCAGGTTCAGAGCACTCAATTGCTCGAATGACACATTTGCCTCATGTCTTTTGGGAGATATGCCTATCGGCATACCGCGATTACTTCTTCAACTCCTTTAATTGACCATGTGTGGATCAGTGAGGAGCTCCTGGCCTCGACATTTCGGCGATTCGCAAGCGGGCAGCGGCGGTATGAAAGCCGGGTCCCGGGGCCATTGGAGGCCAGAAGGCGGCTAGCCAAGCGGAGGAATACAGGCCTAGCTAGTGTAGCTGGCTCGGGACCGATGGACGATATTGCGTGCCTGTTTGGGCGAAATGGAAAGGAACATATGAAATGGACTAAGCCGGGGAGAAGTCTAGGTACCGATACTCACTCCTTTGCTAGATTGTGGAAACCTTTTCTGACCCTGATATAGACTACCAGTTCGCTTCGCCGAACCCCCCTGCCGCGCCTGTCAGCTTATACAATGAGAATTTGGACGCCTTCAATGCCGAGAATCCGCTTCAAGCTTGGCCTGGCATTCGCGGTCAGCCGGAGAAACCCACACGCGAGCAGTTTTTTGGTGAACAACTGCGAGAATACGAAACAGCGAGCGCGCTAAAGGATGCCATTCGCGAGATGGACATTGATCTCCGGCAGGAGCCCAGCTATAGCCGGTTGTTGCTCGATCATTTTATTTCACAATCGGGTCGCAGAAAAGGCACTATAAACGAGCTGATTTTATTTCTGGAAGATCCGCATCTTAACATTCCTGGAGCTAGGAACTATATCGGCGCTATAGAACATTATGCTTCTCGCAGGGCCCGGTTGAGCAAACAGCATGCTGTATTCGATGCCGTCACGCGAGCTTTAGAGCTCGGGACCGTTCCCGCCGAAGAAATACACGCTATAATAATCAGCCTATCGGATTTGGGAAGAACAAAGAAGAGTGCCAAGGCGAACGACGAGAAGCTTTTGACACGGCTCTATCGCCAAATGTGGGAAGCTATTGGCGAGTGCGATATATATGGGCATCAGCATTTGGATGAACGTATTGTTGACACTTGGCTTAGCGTTCTCTTGGAAAATGGAACAGCGGACGACTTCATCTTAGCCAAAGACATTCTGTTGGCTACCAATCACGATGTGCCAACCGACTCATGGCTGGCGAAGTTCCTTGCTAGATGGCTCCACGACCCCCGTTCTTCACGATTGGGGTTTGACGGGGAGCACGTTATCGAGCTTTTGAGACCCTTCCATCCCGACTTGGTGTCGAGTTCGATATTATGTGTCACCGAGGCCCTATTCTCTTCTGAAAAGACACATTTTCTGAAAAGATGGGAGAGCTGTTTAGCTAGACTCCCTGATCCCTTGGCTATCGCCTCATCCCGTGTATGGACTCATATACGCGTATATCACGATGGTACATCTCATCTCCCACCGATGTCACCACGGCATCGGATAATACAGCGTCTCTGGGTACTATACACTATGAACGGGGGCACGGTTGGGAATTCAGGCTCGGATGTGTCCAGTCCAACTATGAAGAGCCTTTATAGGATGTATGACACCGCGAGAGGTGATGATGGCATTGAAGACCTGTGGAGCAGCTTGACAAAGGATATTCACGATCTGAATATACAATTTGACTTGGAGGCGATGGCCGATGAACTAAGAACCGGAAAGAGCATGAGCGATGCAGCTCGGTACACCCTACAGAAATTCGAATCTTCTCCCCTGTCCTTTCCCAACATGTTCGCGGATATCCACGTTTTCAACGCTGCGCGCCGGGTTTTCTTCCACAACCTTGAAAAGATGGTCCGCGAGGTCGACGTCGCAAGTCCTACATTTCGAAACTATGCAACCCACACCGCAAGAACGGGGGACACTTACCACGTCTGGACACTTATTCGCTTCCTCCGATCACATACGCCACTCAAGATAGCCCTGTCAATGTCATGGCACCCGCCCGATCCTGCAGACAAATCTCTCATCAGGGACCAGCTAAACCCCAGAACAACCTCCGAGCCGGACCCGCATGCCTCTCTCGAGCTTATTCACGCTCTAGCCGCGGCGTTCGCCTGCTCTGAACAACTGTCTCCGCGTAGGGCATTCCAGTTGGTCCATTGGCTTTATGTATTCTTGTACAAACACGGCGCACCTGTGAGACCGCCTCTGGCACGCGCCTTGTACCACGCAGGCGTGATTAGGTATCGAAGGGAGAAATCGCATGTCTCCGTTGGGCAGTTTGAGTATATCTGGAACATCGTGGAGCAGGCAGAGGGACCTGAAGTCGTGCGAGCATTGAAGGCTCGGACCTTTGACGATTCGGATTGAAGTATCACTTTCGCATTTGCTTTTATATGGGACCAATGGTTGGTTCTGTTTTGATACCATGTATTTGTACATTTTGTAGGCATTAGATAGATTCTACGAATCAAAGTCAACATGATGTTTGGCTGCTACTAAGAGGGGCCCGAAAGAGGTGGTTTTCTTTCATGTCGTTCGGTAATACAGGAAGTGCTGTGCTAGCCCATTAAAACAGTTTGCTCAATTGCGGAATGTCAACTCTATCTAAGTGTCCACTTCCATCAGGTTAGGGTCACCGGAGATTTCCTCGACAGTAACGTATTTCCTCAGATCCTCCTTGGTGTACACTCGCTCATTCAACCAGGCCGTGGTGCCCTTCTGGAAGCGGTAGTCGCGTTCCTTCTGTGCACGCTCGTTGGGCCTAATGTAGTTTCGTAGAAGTTGCGCGGGCTTGTCCTTGTCGATAACACACACATCGACATTGCTACCGGACCCCAAATCGTTGAAGATACCAGCCAAGATCGCCTCGGATGCTAAGGAAATTGCCTCTTCCTTGTTAAGATTGGGCTTCCATGTCGACTCGAAGACCGACATAGCAGCCAGTGAGCCAGATCCCATAGTCACGTAGGGGAGCTTGTCTGTTGACCCGTGCGCGTGTACCGTGTAGAGGCCGACACCAGTTGGGTCGACACCCGCAACCACTAGATACGCACCGATATGTCCCTGGTAACGGAAAAGGTGCTGCTTCAACATAGTCATGCAGGTGATCACTCGAGGAGGTCGGCCAGTCGAAAGAGAGTGTAATTCGATGTTGGAGCTGATCAACGCAGTGGTGAACTCAGTGTCAGCAGCTGTACCAGCACCAGCGCACCAAATCTTCGGGGCAATGTAATGTAATTTCTCGCAGTTCTATTCCGGTGGGAGCAGATTATTAGCAAAAGCTGGTCATTTTAATATGTCAACAGGTGATTAGCTCTTGGCTTACCTTGTCCGCTACTATGGGACCAGTGGTCGCTCTGGTATCTGCGGCGATCTGTGCTTATGGTTAGCATTCATCACGACGAAGAGTCCCGGAAATTACCCACCACAACACCATTGTCGTATATACAGCCAACAATCGTTGTACCTGTGCTTGTGGCTTTGGGCAGCGGTGCTCCCTTGGCGTGAAGAGCCGCGTTTCGGTTGTAGTTGGAGAAGTCGAAGCCGGCCATGATAGCGGCGGGGGATCAAGGCAGTGGAAATTTATCGACTGAACACGATTATAGGAAGCTATCGATCCGTGAGATGCCGCAAGATTGAGAGAAGTCGAGGCCGGGGCTGGCTGGGAGAGATGGGGAGAGCTAGGAAGACGAGGATGAATGAAGCTGGGGAGCTGGAGTGACGAAGCTTCCCGCCGCCTAGTCTTGCTGCCTCAGCGCCCAGGCCACAACAAGTCCCGTGAGCCCGAGCTCCTTCTTACTGTTTTTGTTCGCCTTCGTTGATCAGCTCAAGAATTGAATAACAGGCATGGGTTTTGCGCTTGCCCGCTACCTGTGATCAAACACCCCCTTCTGCGGTGGGCCATTCTACCATCCTCTATTTTCTTTTCCCCTTTCGCGTCTCTATTTGCTGTGCCATTCCCTTTCCCTAAGGGAGTTGGTCAAGATTTCTAGTTTTGCGCAACTCTTCAATCGGAGTCCCAAGCAACTCCAGCGTCGCTCTTTTCCATCACCGCCGCCAAGCTCCCCTTCTCCTCATGCTCCAAAGTCTAAGCTACAATTAGGCGACAGTCCTCACAGTCCTCGATCTATATCGGCCGATCTCGGCAAGCTCAGGATGGCGTTCAGCATGGGCGCGAACCCTGCGGGGAGCACTGCTGCAGAGTTGGGCCCTGAACTTCCAGATGTTTATGCGGAGGTATGTATAATGCTCACTCTTGATCATACTTAGGAGTGATCTTATTAACGTTCGGAATAGGAGGTCGGTTTCAAAGGCGTTTCCGGTGATAGCAACATTCAATTCCTCCCTACGCCCTGGCCTACCGACGCGCTTCCTGCCCCAACCTCCACTTTACTCGCCGTCGCAGCAACAAAAGGCATAGCAGTCGGAGCGTGTCCAAATGCTCTGTCTGTTGCGTCAACCGAAGCCGTGAGGGCGGCAATATCTGCCGACGGTGGGAAAGAAAAGGTCAAGACAAAGCCGTTTCAACCACAAGCAACTATCGCACTTCCTGGGAGGCCTACGCACATAGCCTTCGCATCCGGCGACAGTGCATTAGTACTCGCCACCGAGAACGGATCTCAGCTTTCTGTTTTTGAGACAGGAAGCCTACTACAACCAAATCCGCAGCCAGCTATATCCATTCCTACCAATGGTGCCACTTTCCGAACTATTTGCCCCAACCCAGCGCAGGCCGACGATTCCCACTCATCCCTCGTGGCTCTTGTTACAACTTCCGGTGAACTATTGATTGCAAACCTCAAGGCTGGGAACCTCGTTACAGGTCCCCAAGGCAACATCTTGAAAACTGATGTTAGTTCTGTTTGTTGGAGTAATAAAGGAAAGCAACTTATAGCTGGTCTGGTGGATGGGTCTGGCTATCAGATGACACCAGAGGGCGCCCAGAAAGATACCATCCCCAAACCACCCGACCTCGCAGAGCCCTGCCACGGTGAGTTCAAATGTTAATTAACGGCCATACTTTACATAGCTAACTCATCCAGTGTCATCCATCGCATGGCTTGAGAATGATGTCTTCCTAATGGTTTACACTCCAAATGCTGCTGAAGATGACATGGGGATGACACCCTCGTCATCGTATTACATTATCACTAGAAAAAAGCAGGCTCCCTTTATGATACAGAAACTACCCGAACTGGCCAGTCCTTTTGGTTATAAACGCGCACCCGCTTATCAGTTCATTGCGCGTCTCCGCTCCTACAAGCCGCACCTATCTGACGCCTTGATTGTGTCGTCAACGGCTTCTGCTGATGTTGGACTTATTACGAGGGCTGATCAACCGCTAGCAAGCGACGATAGTGCTAGGGCCACCGTGGGGCTATTCACGACGACGGAATTGAATGATGATGCGAAGAAGGCTTCTGTCCCTTTGAAAGATTCAGTTGATGAAACCTCGGTAATAGGTTTAGCACTCGATCTCTCGAGCACGGAATCCGTGATATCTCCCATTCCAGGAGAGGATATCAATGAGAGCTCAACTCCACTGCCCAACCTGCTTCTACTGAACCATGAGGGTATCTTGTGTTCTTGGTGGTTCATATACTCCGATGCAGTCCGCCAGAATATTCCATACGATGGCCTAGCCTCCGTCAAACCGCAACAACAGCAACAGCCCATGTTACAGCCGCAGCCAGCCCAACCCCAGCCTACGACGCAGCCCTCTTTCGGACAGCCGGCCTTCGGTAGCCAAGCTACCCTAGGAACATCCACTTTTGCCTCTACAGGCTTCGGGAAACCCTCCGCGGCACCCGCTTTTGGGAGTCCGTCAGCTCTGGGAACGTCTCAGCAACCAAGTTTTGGGAAACCATCTGCAACACCCGCGTTTGGGAGTCCGTCGGCTCTGGGTGCTTCCCAGCCGAAGCCTTCCTTTGGTATGCCTGCGTTTGGTGCCCCCGCTGCATTAGGGTCGGGTGCACCGCAGTTTGGTAAATCTAGTTTTGGGCAGCCATCAACGCCCGGAAAGCCGCTTGGCTCACTGCCTTTCGGATCAAGTGGTGGTGCTACCTCTGGGGGCGGCTTTGGCTCGTTTGCAAATACGGGCGGCGCGGGCGGTTTCGCTAGCCTCGCCACCACAAAACAGCCGGAAAGCTCACCCTTTGGCAAAATGGCCGGCGAAAGCCCTTTTGGGAAACCTTCTGGACCGTCAGCCTTTGGTGCTCAGTCCGATAGCAGCGCTTTCACGCCTCAGAAGACGGAAGAATCAAAGGGGGCTTTCGGCATGGGGTCTAGCAGCTTCGTCTTAGGATCAACCTTTAAGGGAGATGGAACTGCCGTTAATGACGCACCCAAACCGGATAAGCCTTCTGGAATGTTTTCAGCACTTGGGTCATCAATGGATGATATGGTGTCGACGCCTAACAAGTCTAGCCCGCCCACAGAAGCCATGGATGACACTGAAGACTCAAATTCTCCTGCTCAGGAACTCCCTGAGGCCAAAGAACCCGCACCATCCTTGTTCGGTGCCCCATCGAAGCCCGCCCCTGGGTCTTCGGTCTTTGGCTCTCTCGGGTCTCAAACCCAAGCCCAGCAACCCTTTGGCTCAACTCAAACGAATAAGTCACCATTTTCATTACTGGGCAATACCACGACTGAAAACCAAGCACCAAGCCCTCCATCAGCTCCATCGGAGAAGACCGCTATCGCTAGCCCGCCTTTAACGCAAGCCAAGTCACCAGAGCCAGAGCCGCCCCTACCCCCCGACTCTACAAGTAGGGCCGTTTACGGGCCAGGTGATACATCCGCGTCATCCAATGTTTCCAAGAGTTCTGTTGATGATGCACCCCTACCACCGGACTTCACCTCGCGGCCTAAGTCTGCCGAACCCGAGAGCGAACCGCCTTTACCACCAGACTTTACCACTCTGAAACCAAAAAAGGAGGAGTCCCAGGCTCCAGAAGAAGCTCCACTACCTCCCGATTTTGCAAAACGCAGTGCGCCCTCCGCGAAAGAGCCACCTCCGATTCCCGATGGCTCGGATGCAGATGAATCAGAGAAAGGGCCCCAGGATGATGAGTCTGATTTTGAGGACAGTGGAGAAGATATCACCCATGAAATCAGTCAGCCTGAAACCGACGGGCCAAGCGTCAAGTCATCACAGGAGAGTTCTTTCGACACCAAACAAGGCGAGGAAAGTCCAGCTGAAGGTTTGTTTGGCAACCAGCTTTCACGGCAACAGCCGCGGCAGTTGTTTGGTGAAATAAGCAAACCCCTGTTTCCACCAGCGCAGGCCCGTGAACTTCCAAGGTCGCCTAGCCCTGTACGACCTGCTCGCACTCAACAAGGTCTTCCGAAACTTGAGAATCTCCGGTCCGTCAGTGCTCCTCACAGACCGGGAAGCGCTCTTGCAGCTCGCAAGGCCTCTCTCTCGGAACTGGCCAAGCGCGAGGCTCAGCTAAAACCGGAGCCCAGCCGCACCCAGGAGTCGCGCCCTCAGCTCTCTATTCAAGCACAGGAAGAAGCCCTATCAGATGATGAAGACGAGAGACTTCGCGCGGATCTTAGTCGACCTCTGGAACCCGTCCCTACACTTGATCCTTTCCTACCACACCAAGATTATACGGGTCAAACCACGAAACCCGGCATTCCTGGTCAGATCGAAAGGCTCTACCGGGACATCAACTCTATGGTTGACACTCTTGGTATTAATGCGCGATCATTGTCTTCTTTCCTCCTATATCAACAAGAATCGACGAACTCCGATTGGATCAGCACTCTAAAGGGTGACAGTCCCGCCGATATTCTAGATGAGAAACACCGTCTTCGACAAATTGAGGATTTGGATGATACTGTTGCCATTCTCAGGGATTCACTAGAAGAACAACGGGTCCAAGGGGTTAAAGAAAAGCTGGAAAGCTGCAGAGAAATGCTGAGCAAAGAAATTCTCACCCTTCGCAGTCAATGTGCAAGTATCAGAAAGACTCTCGATGCACACACTGATGCTGCTGCAATCGTTTCTGCGCCTCTTTCTGCCGAGCAGGCGAACCTCCAGCAAGATCTTCGCACCTCGTCAGCCGAAATACAAGCCAAATTGGTAGACCTAGAGTCCGCGGTGTCTCTTCTACGAGCTAAGATTGCCGATGTCCCGCGCGCCGATGGATCGCGGCCGACAACAAGGCGACCAACAGTTGAGGCTGTCACATCGACCATCGCTACGATGATGAACATGGTCGAAAATAAAAGCGGCGATATTGACGTACTAGAAGTCCAAATGAAAAAGCTCGGCTTTGATACATCGGCGACACCCACCAGCCGAGAGGGGTCTCCTTTCACGACACCTAGAAAGGGACTTGGAAAACTCCCCACTACTCCTGGATCTCGTGGGACCATGGACGATCCGGTCAGTTCATATCACACGCCAGATTCTGCTGCTCGCGGGAAATTCCGGTCGAGTGTCAATGGGTCGGCAAAAGCAAGTAGGCTTCGAGCCATGGAAGCTGTCGACAACGTTGGTAGCAAAAGGGAGGTCGCGCAATGGAAGGCTAAAATGCAGCGAAAACAGCATTTGATCGGGAGCCTCAAAAAGGCCATTGGGGAAAAGGAAACGAAGGTTCGGAGCGTGGATGATCTATAGAGCTGTGAGGATCCTTTTCTTGCATATTTACTGGGATGTTAGTTCTTGCGCTACAAATGATATTAAAACCGATGAGTCACGGCATGGAGCAATCACGGATGGCAGTGAGTTACTTGTACATAGATCTTGCTCTCTTTTGCTTTGACATTGGCGTGAGTTGGATCATTATTTAATCGGCTAATAAAAGGACCAATTATCTCGTCTTCAATCCGGATTAATTATGTATATGCACATATGTATATCAATCTGCTAGAAACCGCAGCTCGCCCATTTAAACTTTCTGGAATTTAACATGCTTCATCCCCAGTCTGTTCAGTGGTGAAAGCATCTTCTCTCGAATTGGCGTTATCCTCTGCTTAAAACCATCGGTTCCTCTTGCCTCCTGGTGCTGGTCATAACTGTCCCACCCAACAACTAAGAATTGGACGAACGCCTGTCCAGAATCGCTCTTATCATGCTCAAACTCTCCAGGCCTCTCCACCTGCCCCAGCAGGAAAGTCTTGCTCCGCACTTTCTCCTCGACTTCCTGAAGGAGTGTGGTGCGGAAATTCACGAGGTCAGCGCTGAGAGCCGAGCGGTCTGGTTTTGAGAGCGAAGTCGGGAACGCGAGCGGCATGAGCTCAGTTATCGGGTTTGAGAGGAGGGCTTGGGTTGCAGGAGCTTCTAAATCGGATGGTTGAAGGGTGGTGTATAGGGTCGTGAGCTGGGTGTTTTGCTCGAGGAAAGGGTCGAGAGGGGAGTTGGTTTGCTGAATTCCGCTGTGCGAGTCGGACCAGTCTATTGGATAGTATATTAGCTTCACTTCACCTTCTTGTCTTTGTAGCTAGACTGGACGATGTTGGTTTGCGGGAAGAAGATACGTATGTATCCGTATGTCATGCAAGGCGGCGTGGGAGACCGGGAGACCAACCAATCGCCCAAACAATGACGTTTTCATCCTCCGCCGTACGGCCCCATGCCGAGCTGAGGTGTCCGCTTTGTGATTTCGTTGCTTTGAAAAGTCGAAGGAGAGCGGCGCCTTCGTCATTTGAGGGATCCTCAGGCTTTACGGAGCTCTTGGCTTGGAAGTATATGAATTCGGTGACGGCCGGCATCTTGGATTGAGAACTGGATCAACTCTTTTCAATCAAATAAATTCCACAGCAGATTATCCAGTATTTGTTTCTCTTGTCCAAGCAGCGATGGATGTCGGAATAGCTGCCGTCTTTTTAAGGGTGGGGTTGTGACTGATGTCATCGATGAGTTGTGGTGGTAATGATGTCAAGTTGTCATACTTGTGGACCGTTAATCAACCTGGAAATATGTATGTAGGGAGTACGCAAAAACATATGGAAAGAAAATTTGGAAATATTCATTATAGTTGAGAGTATGGATAAGATAGTCGAGTGGCATACAGCCACAACACACTCGAATCCTCGGGAGGTCGCTTTTCAAATAGTACAGCAAAAAGACAGCATGCTCTGAAACGAAACCACTAAGTTCACCATAATAAACGACTTTTATGTCGGTAACACAGATAGCCCAAGCTGCTCCTAAAAGGCAAACCAAATACGGAAACACATACGCTTCCCGCATTTTAAATGCGGTGCTTCTCACTTTCTGTATTACGGGTTAGATTACAGTACGGGGGGCATAGCACAGGGTGAAAACTAACCTAGTCTTGAATAGAGCATGTAAAGCGCCATTTGGTTGCATTCCTGAGTTCCAGTGATAGTCACCAGACGCTCATTGCTGTTCTCCTGAGGCTCGTTGATTTTAATGACACTTCCACTGAGGTGTCGAATCTCGTTGATCTTAGCACCTCCCTTTCCGATAATAGCTCCGACCATATCGTTAGGGATGTAAATCTGCTGAGTGAGTGGCTGGCCAGGCATAGCGCCGCCAACAGGGGCTGCCGGGGTCGGGCCACCTCGTGGCTGCGCTGGTTGCGGTGCGCCGTAAGGAGCAGGCTGGTGTGGGCCAGCACCAGCATATGGAGCCTGGGGGGCGCCATAGGGCATTGGCTGCTGGGCCACCGGAGCAGGGGCATGCTGTCCGTGAAGGTAAGGAACGCCATAAGCTCCAGCACCTGCTCTGTTTTGGTTGGGATGGTGACGCTTAAATGTATCCGGATGACCGTACTGGCCACCAGCTGGTTGGGGCACGTAAGGAACAACTTGCATCCCACCTGGAACAGCTCCGGCAGGACCGCCGCTCCGAGTCGCATATGCCGAGGCTGCTGGTCCGCCAAATCGTTCTGTAAGCTGCTCAACAAGGGTCACAGCAACATAGTAAGTAGCAATGTGTACAGCATCGGCAACACCAAGAATGACAAGAGACCGCTCAGTGGAAAGGGGAAGGCAGGCGTCCGAGGCGTTAAGACGGGCTCCAGAAGCCTCCTGGATCTCCCGGATACGACCACCACCTTTACCAATAATCGAGCCGATAAGAATGTGTGGAATTAGCAAGCGCAGGGGGTAGGTCTTGGATTGAGCAGTCGACGCAGCATCAAGGGGCTCGTTATTCAAAGTACGAATTATCAGACCAAAGGCCTAACATCAAGTCAGTGATATGGCTCGAGGAAAGAAAAAGTAAGAAACGGAACAAACCTTTGCAACAGCATCCTGAGGTCCGCTAACAGTCAAGATACGTTCGACCGCACCGCGGGAGTAGTCGCTGACGGTGCATTTGGCGCCTGATAGGCGACGGATTTGGGATACGTTTTCTCCGCCCTTACCAATGACGGTAGCAGCCTCTTGGCTGGAAATTACAGCACGGATATGAATCCAGTTAGACTCGTCTTGGGGCCGCTGTTGCTCGCCCTGGCTCCCGGCTGCTTCGCCATGAGAGGCAGTCGACTGAATCGGCTGTGTATCATTGAGCGGCCCTTTGGAGGTAGGTGCATCAGGGACAACAGTATCACCCTGGCCATCAGCATCGTTCGCGGCACCGGAATCAGACTTCACTTCTGCATTATCCTCAGAGTTATCTCCTTTGACTACTTTATCCAGGGCTGGACGCTTGGCTTCTGGCTGATCATTTGGACCGGATGGTGAAGAAGGGTCCTCAAGTGGACGCTTGGTCGATTGCAAGGCGGACGGAGAGGCGGACATTATGTCAAGTGTGCAGCCCGGTCTCGCTTACTCAAAGAGGCGAAGTAGAAGAATATCTGTCTTTTTTTTTTTGCTTTATTTTGATCGGCTATGTACACCAGGATTTCCCAGAAAAGCGTGCTGGTGCGGCGATCGATTGGGTAGGGAATCTGGTGCTTGGAAAGACAGGGAAATTTGGTGTAATCGTGAACAGTGAAGGAAGTGAGGCGGGAGAAATGAGAATCGACGTAGGTAGGAGGGCTGTGAAATGACAGGCGTTGAGGATTTGGAGAGTAGGGAGCCCCGCGAGATCAATGCAGTGCTGGGATAGGAAGAAACAAGAGGAAACGGCTTGAATCTGATCGGGTACGATGGAAGCGGAGCAAAAGTGCTTGTGTTGGGCGATGAGAAGGTAGTATAGTAGGTGGTTTGCAAAGGGTCGGGCGTGCTGGGAGCTGACGAGTGCAAAGCGTGGGGAAGATGAAGGATGAATAGGAACAAAAGAGATTGAAGAATTGGAACGACTGCCAAAGTTCGTTCTATCCCTTTCCCTTCGAAATTTACGCAACACTTCGTCGGTGCAGGTGTGCAATGCAGATATTGCAACAAGAGCCTACAGAGCCGGAGTACTTGAAAAACGGTTCCGAGTGATGCAAAAAGAGTATCCAACAAATTGGACTCGGTACTCAAGGGTAAGAGAGATGAAAGATAGGAAGGGAAAGAGTCAAAGGATGGCAAAGGTATCAGGAGTTAGTGTCGGGTGAGGTGAGGTAAGGTGAAGAGAAGTGAGGCGATCTCGCTGTCACACTACACTAGTCCACTCTGGGCAATATAGTCACGTGTTGGGCGTTCAACGCGCATCCCGAGGCAGCGCGTGGAAGCACAATAATACGCGCGCACCCAATCTAGTTTCGGCAGGATAAACCCTACCACAAAGATGGAGGTGCCTCAGGAGCGTGTGGAGAAAATTAAAGGATTTGCTGAGGACCGCCGAAAGGCTGAGAAGTTCTATGATGAACAACGACTAAGTTCGTTTGATATTCAAGCTTATGAGAAGAAATTGGATGATACGTTGAGGGAGCTCCAAGACCGAGTCAGGCTCCAGGAGGAGGACCTGCGCAAGGTTTGTAGGCACTATTTGAGCCTGATATGGCAGAATTGTCAGCATAAGAACCGCAACAGCTAATGCGATACAGCTTCGCGCCGCCAATGCCGAAGATATCTCAGAAATCGGAATTAATCCATCCTCTCGCGTCACGCAAGTACGACGAGCTAAGAAGGCTTATGACTCGCTTCTAAAATCGGATACGGCTTTGCCAAAGCCAGAATCGCCGCTGCCCTCCATCATTGCGCTCGACGAGACAAAACGTATTATCGACGAGAGTAAGAGTTCCATCTCAGCAACAGCAGAGAGACTTGCGAATACACGCCAACGTCTCAGAACCGAAGAGACGAATTTGCGTGATGCGCAGTCAATAAGGGATGGGCTACAAAAACGAATAGCCAACATCCGAAAAAATAAGTCAAGTAGCCATGAAAAATTGCCTTCAGATGCCGCACGCGAATTGCTGGAGGAGCAACGGCGGAAGAAGAAGGATATTGAAAAAGACACCGACAGTATAAGAGCTGCACTGCATAAGTTTTGTGATGAAGTCCTCGCATCAATGATAGCAGCTGAAGACCTGGGAGGTCCAGCAGTTGGAGACGTTGCTGAAGTTTCTGACGCTATCTTGGCAAGTGGTTACACCCGTCATGGTAAACCAAAGAAGCCCAAGGCCGTGGACAAGGATGATCAGGGCAATACCCAACATCGGATTGACGACATGCTTCGCCGCCAAACCGGACAGCAGCAGAATCAACCGTCAAATAAGAGAGAAGTGGCGGCGACTGAGATACATGAACTTCTGGACACCCTACTAAATGCGGGCTCTTCTTATTCAGAACTGCCCCACGAATCAGCAGCATCTAGGTTTCTGGTAAGAGCCAAAGTTGCTCAATTCCACCCACGCGATGCAAGGCGTTTAAGGTTGATCGATTTCGGACGTTCCTTAAATGATTGAGTGATGAGTGTACAGTTACGCCACCAGAAAGATATAAAATTAGTATATATATGCCTCCAAACAAATAGCCTGCAACGCCCCTGTAGGATATCATGTGTATGAACGAAGATGAAGTCAAAGCAGAACGCCTAACATGCAATGCAAAAAATAATCAATAGTAGTATTCGTCCGGCAAGGTGTCATCAAAGGTGTGAGTAATCAAACTATTTAGCAGTAAAAGCAAACAGGCCTCAAATGGGCATCATAGCTATTTGGCTGGTAGGTTTATTTGGGTTGGCCTTCGATTCTTTTCGCGCAAAGGAGCGACCTTGTGAGCGGTTGTGTGTTTTCGGGTTGCGCGAACCTTTCGTCCTTGGCTTTGGATCGGTACTCCGTCGCGTTCGTTTGTTGGTCTTCCGCTTCTGAGGTTTAGAGCCGCCAGCTTTCGGTGAGGGACGATAGTCACCACCCGAATCATCCTCGAAAGGTTGCTGCGACCTCGGAAAATATTGGCTGGTAACGACAGAGTTATCTGCCTGCAGCGTACTCGCTTGGTCCATAAAATCGTCATCGAAATCACTAAACTCGTCATCGCTACTGATATTGACGACGTTGTGATGGTTGGGGTCAGGGATTACGCCATCAACATCATCGCGTTCTTTCTTAAGTTCGGTGTAACGACGCTCAGTGTCCCGTATCAACTTAAGTATCTTATCGCCATACCGATGAACCTTGTCGGGGTCAATGTCAGGGATTTGAAGCATAGCCGATTTATCTGCTTGTGCGTCAGCAATTATTGCGAATCAACTCTACTCCAGTCCTCATTCACTCTCACCTTGGGGGAAGATCATGACCATTTCACGAAGAATCGTATCAGTAAATGGCTGGTTTCTAAGTCCTTTTTGCATAACAACCTAGCACAGAATTTAGCAACAAGTCTGGTAGAGGATCAGGGCAAGGGGTGGCTCTCACGTCCTGGCAGTAGTTCTTGGCATAAACCATGAAATCTTCGGCAACAGTTTTGTGAAGAGGATCCAGTCGGTCATATCGGTGGTCCTGAGTAATTGGCGGCCCCGGGAGATTTTTACCCTTCCGCTCATTTTTACCAGCGACACGGATCCTCTCAAATCCGTCGCTATCCCTATCGCTATCACCTTCGTCTTCCGCAGTGTTTGTATGTCGGTATCGAGCCAACCGGCGCCGATTTGCTGACTGAACTGGGGAAGAAACATTGGTAGATTGTGGCAGGTCATCCCTACCTGCGTTGCCACGCAGGTGTGAACTTCCATTGGGAGGAAGCCGGACGTCAAGCCTCAGACGCCGCCTGCCGCTCTCAAAATCAGCTGCACGAAAACCCAACTTGATATACTGGATTGGAAAATTTCTTTGGTTCATGATGTTCTCCTCTTTCAATGCCTTTTCCCCAAGTAGTTTGCGAAAGAGCCGCTCTGCGTCCCCAACTTCGATGTCCGCACCATCACCAAAGCAGGGTGCGTGCCGATGCTCGGCAGATCTGAATGACTTCGTGGTTCCGCGAAGCATGTTCACACAATATGATAGAGTAACTCTTTCATCCCTATCTTGGAAATACCGAACAATTCTGATAACAGCTGCAGCATGCTCGGAAAAGTCACGTACCTCGAAGGTACCGCCTGACTTGCAGTTGTCACAGGAAGCGTTGCAGTCTTGTCGCTGGAAGGACTCGCTAAAATATGCAAGAATCTGAACTCGCCTGCAATCGCTTTGATTTTCGCAATATTGCACAACATTGCGCAGCATCTTGCGCTGGCGGGTTTTCTGTGCATCGCTACCATCGGCGTTGTTTTCAATCATTCTCTCCACGGATTTAATATCCTGGTAAGCGAAATAGAGGTAACAGCCAGAACGCCTGCCATCACGTCCAGCGCGTCCGGTTTCCTGGTAATAGCCTTCCAAGCTTTTGGGAATGCTGTGATGTATAACAAACCGCACGTCTGGTTTATCAATCCCCATTCCAAACGCAATGGTTGCAACTATAACGTGTATCTCTCCAGTCTGCCACTTTTGTTGAGTTTGTGCACGTTCTTCTGCGTCCAACCCCGCATGGTAATGCGCGGCTTTGATGCGATAATTCTTTCTAAGAGTTTCCGCGACTTTTTCACAGACCTTCCGTGCAAGGCAATAAACGATGCCGGATTTATTTCGATATGAGCCGGTAATAGTTTCCGCTATGCTTTCAAGAAGATCCGCGTTTTTACCTTTGGGTCGCACCTCATATGTAAGGTTCGGCCTGTTAAAACTCTGGGTGAAGACATCGCAACCATCCATTTTCAAATTGTGGATGACATCAACTTTGACATTTTCGGTTGCAGTAGCAGTCAACGCCATCATCGGTACTCCAGGTATCCGAGCTCGAAAACTACCCAGTTCCTTGTAGTCAGGACGAAAATCATGACCCCATTGACTCACACAGTGAGCTTCATCAATAACAATGCGTGCCAGTCTCTGCTTCCGATTGAGTTCTTCAAGGCGGTCCATAATAGCATGGCTTTTGCTGACCATTTCTGGGGTAATATAAAGGAGCTCGATTTGTTTTTCAGGGGCCGAACTGGACAGGGTACCCATTACCCACTGACGTTCCTCTCTTGGAGTTTCACCATTAATCAGGTACGCTTTGATTTTATTTCGGCGAAGATGAGAGACCTGATCGTGCATCAAGCTGAGGAGCGGCGAAATCACAATGGTGACTCCCTTCGTTGAGCCAGTCGAAACGACAGACGGAAGTTGATAACATAGAGATTTCCCTCCTCCTGTTGGCATCAGCACAAAGGTGTCTTTCCCACTCAACGTTGAGTCAATTGCTTCAAGCTGATTGAGCCGGAACCCTCGAAGATGAAATCTTTCCTTCAAGGCATTTTTCACATCTTTTGTCCACGGGTGCTGGCCCCATATAGTGCCATGCGTCTGTGATTTCTGCGTGGCTGGGGCCCTGATAGCATTTCCTGAAGTTTCAGCAAAAACTGGACGACTGTGAGATTCGGGTCGGTTTGTTGATAAAGATCGATCGTTGTGTAGATAGTCCGCCACCTCCACCATATCCTCATCAAAATCATCCATGTCAAAATCGTCCATATCATTGATCGGTGGCAGCGGAAATCCCATGGTTCTGGTAAAAGTCGTTTCTTCGCCATTTATCATTGGCTCATCGTACTCAAATTGTGCAGGCCTCGGGGCGTTTCTAAAACTAGTGCTAACTGAATCTGCCCCAGTCTTCGATGCTGTCAAGTGTGAACCCTTCGCATCGCAAGTTGACGGTGCAAGAGAATGCTTCGCAAGACTACCACTTGCCACGGGGCTTTTGGTGAAGTGTTTATCACTGTAATCACGAATACTGGGAAGCGACGTTGTGCATGGTAAAGCTTCCAGTTCCTCCAGATCCGATTCTGGGGTTTCCAGCGAGTATTTGTCGAGAATCGCGAACAAACTAGCCTCTTGAAGCAAACGGCACAAATCGCTTTGAATCTCTTTCATCTGGGAGGTGATTTTTATCTGTTGTTCAAACTCCGGCAGCGTTGCTGGATCAGTCCCTTGGCCTATGGCTTGCATGATCGCACCTTTCAGAGACTTTGATTCTGCTTCACGCGACAGGTAGATAGATTTTTGCGTATTCAAGTTCTCAATTGCGCGGATTTGAGTTTGAATATTTCCATTCTCTGAGACTAGCTCGGGAGCGTATTCACCGTTCATCGATTTGTCATAAACAATAGCGGAGTTCTTTTGGATGATGCTTCGCATGTGTGCAGTCAGGCGACTAAGGGAGTCCGAGGAAATTTCAAAAAACTTTTCAACATCCTTATCCATTGGCTGGGTGCTGGGCTTTGTAGCAGTAGACGATGGCGGCGGAAGGGGCCGAGAGCTATTAGGTGTCGTATTGCTCTCGCTTATGGATGTGGGACCGGTGGTCTTTGGCATGTCCATTGAATCGGGGGATATGGGCTCTCCTTGCTTCAATGCAGGGCTCAATCCAGTGGAGTTTGAGTGATTTCCCGTAGGCAGAACGGGGTACAATGATTTGTGGCTGATTGGAGGAGAAGAGTGCTTGGTCTCAATCAGGCCTTCAAACAAACCGTCAACACTTTCATCGTCGGAATCAGGAATAGCTATAGCTTTTTTTGCTTCACGTTTAGTGGATGAGTGCGTCTGTTTCTTCTTTCTGGACGGCGGAAGTTCATCTTTCGATGCGCGTCGTGGAGTATGTGTCGAAATATTTTGGTCAGGTTGCAAGGGCTCATCGGGAATAAAAGGCAAACGTGCTGTGCGGCTGAGGTCTCCAGGGGAGAGCAGATCAGACGTGTACTCATCACTTTTTCTTTTCTTCCCTCGTTTTTCCGCAGGCTCCCTTCTAGATGCCGCATCTTCAGTCCATAGCTGGTGGGGCTCATCAAATTCCTCCCCAGTCTCAGACGACGGCTTGATGCGGTCAAAGTCATCTGTCAAATCAATTGTATCGATGTCTGTTATTGAAGATGGTATGTCCAGTTTCTGCTTCGGCGGGGTGGGGGTCATTATTCGTTCCTTCGGATCTCGCAAGGAGGAAAATACACTAGGTGATTCTGTATAATTCCAATAGTCAGTGCTGCTCGGAATATCTGAACATATCAGTGGGAAACAACTGTACCTTTCACTTTTTTGCTGCGGGGTGTTTGAGTTGTTTCCCGTTTCGGAGTTGACTGTGGCAGATTTGCAGTCCTTGAGATCTTTCGAGAAGTGCTAGGGGACTCTTGGGTACAACTGAGCATCCGAGGTTTGCTCGCCGACGGAGGGGCTAGCATCAGACGTGCCATATCTGCGTCCGAATATGCCTCGAACCCATCATTCGCCTGGTCTATAGTTGCTTCACAAGCCGGTTGCGAGTCCTTAATCCTAAGGTCTTCGGTCTGGCTGGCAATCAAATTCAATTTTGGGGCGGGATTGCTATAAGAGTCGTTTGGCTTGACATAGGACTCCCACGCGAGCGGTGTCAGTGCTGGGTATAGCGATGGGCCTTGATCCAACAGCCATTTGAGATGGATCTTCAAATTGCTTTTAGTCATATGGGCGTGTGATTCTGTACATCATTCCTTCGATAGTCTCGGCCGGGACTCGTACTGGCGGTCGTTGGGCAAGTTGATCGTTCGTTCTTCAACAGCAGTCAATAGTTGCGGGCACGCGTCTCCATAGCAAAACGCGACGTCACGTGGGTGAGTGGGCCGCGGAGAGTATGGATATTTCTGCCTCAGGCTGCATGCTCTTTCGGGCTAACCCTCTTGCAAGAACCACTTCCCACGCTGTGCCATTAATCCGCTCATGGTGTCTACTGTTTAGTATTCACTACGAATAAAAGCATTTCGAGAGCCAGGACCTTCGTGGCATCCGCTATATACTTATGAATAAGGACTGGAGGTTAACACTACTCCGTAGGGTATCCCAACCATAACGGAAAGTATATAATTGTAACTAGGAGAATTAACAACAAAACTTCGAACCTCTAAGTACCATCGAAATCGGTATAGACTCCGAAGTACTGGGCACAGGTAACCATTATAGCTATCCGATATCTTGAAATGGTACAATATCCTAGCATGGTGAATCTGTTGTTCCGCAAAGCGACATTGTAATTGTGATACACAAATAATACCACGGTATCGAAAAAAATGCGGGGGTTTAACAATTTTTCTTCGCCCCGCGTTGATAATTCTGTACAAGTCTAAGTCTTCATTGTACCTGGTTCCTACTTCTTTTTTTGACGTGGAGATACTGCCTGAATCGGTTGCAAAAATCATTTGGCTAAGCTGGTCTCCAAGGGTCTAAAGTTTCTCAGAAAACGCCTATAATTGAAGGCCCTGGCCTGTGTATTCCAGCTAGAGGCATGGGCAAGAACAAGAAGAAGTCCGCAGAGCACAAGGAGCGTGTAGCGGCAAAGCAATCCAAGAAAGCAGATAAGAAGGATAAAAAACAAAAAACCAAGGGGCGGGATGCAGACAGTGATGTCGAAGATGCAGATCTAGATTCCATTCTCGCACAATACGCAGAGGAACAAGCCCGATTCCTCAAGGTCACTGAGGTCGTTTCAGAGCCCCCGTCCCCTCGATCATCTGCCACTGTGCTCGCATCTCCTTCAAATAGGAATGAGCTACTGATATATGGCGGAGAATATTTTGATGGAACACTGGCCACTTTCTTCAACAACCTGTTTGTCTACCTCATTGATAGAGGTGAATGGCGAGAGGTTACTAGCCCGAACAGTCCACTACCTCGAAGTGGTCATGCTTGGTGCCGTGGAGGGAATACTGGGGGTGTATATCTGTTTGGAGGTGAGTGACTTACGTTGAGATTGGTTGTAACGCTGTCTAACTATATCATCTGGTAGGTGAATTCTCGTCCCCAAAACAAGGCACATTCTACCATTACAACGATTTTTGGCATCTTGACCCTTCAACTCGAGAGTGGACGCGGATTGAGACTAAGGGGAAAGGTCCCCCCGCCAGGAGTGGCCATCGAATGACATATTTTAAGGTATTTATTTTGAATTCTACCGCTTGATCCTTCGTCTATGATTTCTGATACCCGGTTAGAACTACATTATCCTATTTGGTGGATTCCAAGATACGTCACAGCAAACAAAATATCTCCAAGACCTATGGATCTACGACTGCTCCAAGTACACATGGTACAATCCCGTCCTATCGACGGCATCCCAGAAGCCAGATCCGCGGTCTTCTTTCTCTTTCCTCCCCCATGAATCTGGAGCAGTCCTTTATGGTGGGTACTCTCGTGTTAAAGTTAGCACAGCCGTGGGGAACAGGCCGACGAAAGGCGGACCTCAGCGTATGACAATGAAGCCGATGGTTCACCAGGATACCTGGTTCCTTCGAATTACACCTCCTGCCCCAGATTCTCCTTCATCAACACCGCCAACCATCCGCTGGGAACGCCGCAAGAAACCTGCAAACTCGCCCAACCCACCTAGGGCTGGTGCAACCATGGCATACCATAAAGGACGAGGTATTCTGTTCGGTGGTGTCCATGATGTCGAACTGAGCGAAGAGGGCATCGACAGTGAGTTCTTCAACACGCTCTTCGCGTGGAACACCGACAGAAACCGATTTTTCCCTCTGACCCTTCGGCGCCCTAAAACAACGGGGAAAAGCCAGCAAGGAAGCCAGGCTAAGTCGCGGAATCGAGCCAAAGCTGATGAGGAGGAGCTTCTGCAGAACCTCAAAGCCCTAGAGGCCAAAGGAGGGGTGCGCGATGGTGATGATGACGACGATGAAATCCTGCAGAATGGTCCTAAAGTGGATGAAGAACCCGCTGAGCCAGAAAAGCCCGCGGTGGTTCGATTCGAAATGCCCCATATGCGGTTTAACGCTCAGCTGGCTGTTCAAGAAGATACGCTTTTCATATTCAGTGGGACATTCGAGAAGGGGGACCGCGAGTTCACATTTAACGATATGTATTCTATCGACCTGGTCAAAATGGATGGAGCCAAGGAGATTTTCTACAACGAACCCAACAACTGGCATCTTCTTAACGAGGAGGAAAGCGATGATGAAATGGACGAGGATGATGAAGACGGTGAAGAAGACGAAGGCGATGATGAGGAGGATGCGATGTCCCTCGATGCTAGCTCACCTGCACCAACTGAAGCGACTGAGGTGACAGTGCCTTCAGTGACCCGCGAAATGGAACAGCTAGATGTCGAGGAACAAGGAGCAGAGCCATCTGTTCAAGATAGCAGACCGCTGCCCCGTCCATTTGAGAGTTTGCGGGAGTTCTTCAGCCGTACGTCTGAAGAATGGCAGGGGATACTGCTTGATACGCTGAAAGAAAAAGGGAAAGCGATTGAAAAGAGCATCAAGGAACTCCGTAAAGATGCTTTCAACATGGCAGAAGAAAAATGGTGGGATAGCAGAGAAGAGATTATGGCATTAGAAGATGAGCAGGAAGCAGCTGGTATTGGTGAAGTTGTTAGCATTGCTGATCGAGGCGAAAATGCTGGTGGCGCTGGGCGGCGGAGATGATTCTTTGGTTGCTTCCCCATAGGGTCATCAAAGAACTGGTGCATATATTGAAGAGCTATCTATAAAATTTACCCTGAACTGAAATATTTAGTACTAATATCTCCATCTTGGTAGCAAGTATTGTATTCATTCTGTTCCAGCCACATTATCCAGGACTTCCTTAACTATAGGGAAATCCCTTTCTGCCTGAACTCTCCAGTTTGAAATCGCAATTCGACAAGCTGGCCTTCCTTGCCAAGAGGTGCCTGAGACGAATATCTTGCGAGTCTGGTCAATCATGGCCGCAAGCTGACGATTCAGGTTGTCGTCTTTGGCACTGAACAAAACGACCATATAAGTCTTGTCAAGAAGATCTTCCTTGCTTTCTACATCTGGTAATGTGTTGTATTTTGGGTGATCAAACAGCCATCCGGCAATTAACCTAGCCAGCCGAATGTGCTCCTGAACCATTTTTTGATAACCCGCGCTTCCATACGCAATGAGGGAAGCGTAGACGGGCAGAGCACGAAACCTTCGTGAATTCTCGAGGCCGATGTTCAATGGGGAAGGGATTGACTGGGCCTGAGTGCTACCTCCAGTCAAATAGGCCGCGTTAGCATTTTGGAACACACTCATTGCCTCGTTCTGATGCCGGCAGAAGAAAAACCCGCAATCGTATGGAACATTAAGCATCTTATGGCCGTCTCCAGCAAGTGAATCCGCAAGTTCGACCCCTTCACATCCTTTCCTGACGACACCATACTCGGAATCCTCTGGAAGAGTACGGGCGAAGATTCCAAAGGCACCGTCCACATGAAGCCAGGCACCATATTCATCACAAAGCGTACGCAATTTTTGCATATCATTCAGGCCACTGGTGGCGAATTGCCCGGTATTGACCTCGCCGCACGATACAGCAACAATGGTGGCCTTGTTTGAGTTGCGTAGCTCCGTTTCGACCAAGTCCAGATTGAAGCGGAGAGGATCGTTTTTCAAAGAGACATCTTTAACATTGGCCCGACCAAATCCTAATATCCCGGCTGCCTTAGCAAGCGACGAGTGTGGCATTGTCGAGAGTATCTGGAGCCCCGAAAGACCCGCTGCTTGCATGGTCTCGAACAGCCCGGATTCTCCGACACTTTCGATAGTTGTTACCCCTTTCTTAGCAAGAGCGGTCCGCAAAACATACTCCCGTCCGCATGCTAGACCTAAGATATTGCTTCCGGTTGCCCCAGTCGTGAAAGTGCCATTGTGCCATTCGCGACCTAGTCGAAGAAGATCTGCGAGCAAACACAAGGTCGTATACTCAACATCTGTCGCTATAGTGTGCTCCGTAAGATGCACTTGGACATTTTGGTCATAGGCTGAAACAATCCCATCAGCAAAAAGAGCAGCGGGCGTAATCCCTCCAGTGACGAAGCCGTAGTAAAGCGGGCTTATGCTGCTGTTGTTGAAGGCCGGGACGATGTCTTCCAGGATGTGACGCCTCGCATAGTCATACCCCATACCATTATCACCAAGGGAGTGAGGGAGAGACTTTCTTGCCCGCGCCAAACTTGCAGCATCGGGAAGGACTGTTGATTGCTCTGTCTGCGAGATCTCCCACAGCCTTTGCTGGAGCTGGCCATGCTCCTTTGCCGTGGTCTCGACGTCCACATACATAATTGGTAATTCCGAACTAATATCCAGGGATCGGATATCAAATACTATCAAGAGGGACAAAAAGAAAAGAGAAACTTGGGGGAATCCATCCGTTTGGTGGGGGCACAGAGGGCTGATGTAGAAAAGAGACCGGAGGCCGAAGAGTCACGCCCGAAAGCCCGAAAGCTGGAATGGCCCCCGCTGTCTCGCAAAGAACTGCCCTCCGTTATTTAGACTTTCCTCTTTTGCACTCCCCAGGGCTTACGCAGCTTTAATCCACCATGGCCGCGAAACTTATTGACCGACGACTGCATAATATTCCAGGTGAGCTTTTTGTTTCGCCCACAGAGTTGTTGTGTGGAGACCGTTAAAACTGCCGCAGGGAAGTTCAGGGTCGCAGAGCTGTTCTTTGAGGTTCCTCTTAACTACAGCCGACCAGGAGATGGAACTCTGCGACTGTTTGCCCGCAGTGTGCGTCGACTTGTGAAGCCAGTTGAAACCGGAAAAGATGACAAGAACCCCCAAACTCCCTGGCTTGTCTATTTACAGGGCGGCCCGGGAATGGGTTGCCGCCCCCCGCAAGAATATGGCTGGGTTGGAACCGCATTAGACAAAGGATATCAGGTCTGTCAAGTGTTTGTTTCATTCTTCTGCCAACGGCCGGTGGACTAGCTTCTCTGACTTGACATATTGAGCAGGTATTGTTCCTCGATCAACGTGGAACTGGCCTCAGTTCAACCATCACAGCTGGCACCCTGGCCCTGCAAGGCAATGCCATCAAGCAGGCCGAATATCTGAAGAATTTCCGGGCAGACAATATCGTAAGAGACTGCGAAGCTGTGCGTAGATGCCTCACCACAGATTATCCCGAGGAAAAGCGGAAATGGAGCGTCATTGGCCAGAGCTTCGGCGGTTTCTGTGCTGTAACCTACCTCTCCATGTTGTAAGTGGAATCCCACTTTTTATATACCGAATCACAGACTTATTTCAATACCAAACCGCCTGAATAGTCCAGAAGGTTTGGCGGAGGCTTTCATCTGCGGTGGACTCCCGCCTCTTGTCAACGGACCAGACCCCGTTTACTCTCGAACATACGGTGCGTTCACTTGAATATACCGTGTGACTCGCAGCTAAATTACAGTAGAAAAGGTAATTGAGCGGAACAAAGCATACTATGCTAAATTCCCCGAAGACGTGGATCGAGTCAAGAAAGTCATCGCGTACTTGAAGCAAAACAATGTCAGCATCCCATCTGGGACGCTCACCCCTCGACGAATCCAGCAGTTGGGTATCATGTTTGGCATGCATGGTATGAGCAAACTGCTTTTTTCTATAAAATTATAACTGCTAACATGGTATAGGTGGACTTGATAGCGTTCATGGTAATATCTTCGGCTACCACGAATGAGACCAAGAGAGGCATCTTCTCGCTAACTCCATCTAGATCTGATACTGCGCGCCGCCAACGATCTGGAGGTTTTTGGTTTCCTCACCCAGCCTACTCTAGTGGCTATCGATAGTTTTGGAGGCTTCGACAGCAACGTCATTTATGCTATCCTCCACGAGTCCATTTACTGCCAAGGGTAAGAGTTCTCAGCTCGACCTACGCCTTGCAACACTTGCGTCCAAATCGCTAATAAAAAGCAGAGAGGCCTCGAACTGGTCCGCAGATAGGCTAAGGTCCTCGAACCCCGTGTTTAGCACAGACACCAACGCGCCGGAAATCTTCTTTACCGGAGAGATGGTATGTATCCTCCATATCTCGGCACAAAAAAAAAAAAAGAACATTTCAGTGACCTAGGACAAAAATTGCAGATCTATAAGGACATGTTTGAGTCTTATACCGAGCTTAAGCAAATCAAAGAGGCAGGGGACATCATTGCTTCCACAACCGACTGGCCAGGACTTTACGATGAAGCCCAGCTAGCAAAGAACGAAGTTCCTGTGTATGCGGCAACATACGTAGACGATATGTATGTACACTTTGAGCACGCGTCGAATACGGCTGCGAAGATCAAGGGAACTAAGCAGTTCATCACGAATGTGATGTACCATAATGCGATCCGCAGCAAGTCGGATGAGCTGTTCCAGCAGCTTTTTGCTCTAAGAGATGATACACTAGATTAGCTAGAAGACTGAGATGGTAGTTCATCTACGCGGTTCTCTGTTTGGCTGGTTGGTGGATTCCCATATGGTTGAACCACGACCTTATGAGACGTGTCTGCCGAAGCTACTCAAAGTACCTTTCTTCCCTTGTAAACAGCGAAATGGCACTTCTATATTTATGGTTTAGCAGCCATTCGATCGATATATATACCTATATATGCACTGGAAGCTATCGACTACGGACACCCCAACAGCTTAGAAAACCTAAAGTGCTGTTAGTAAATAATTGGTTGCCATCTTGGCTACAAGGGCAACTTACTGCTCCGCCGATTATGAACAACCTTTCTTCTTCCTTCTGCACCCACTGCACAACCTTACTGGCACTCTGAGCTAGCGCGTTTCGGTTTGCGTTCGGTCCAGCAACACAGTAGAGCTCAAAAACAGGCGTTACCCATGCAAAGGAGCTTGATGACTGAGTAATGCAATGGTGTACCTTGACATGGGTATGCTTAGTGTGAACACTGGCATGGAGATTATTGTATGTCGATACAAGTCTGATGGGGTTAGGCTGGTTGATGTAACATGCGTGGAGAGGGGATGTCATACCTTCGACGGCGGGAGGTTAAAGAGAATTCGGGTTCATATGAGGACATGGTGAATTGTACATTCGCCCGCGACTTATATACAAAATGATGCAGGACAGTCCCTGGGACAATGTCGGTTGTGTTAGGTCTGCCTTTATCGATGGCTTCTTTGATAATTTTGATGCTCCCATTCTTCTCCATTTGCTAGGAACCAAGTCAGTGATATCCTGCTTTCTTCAAATGCATGAGATGCTTGGGTTTCTTTTAGGTACGTACCTCCACGAATGTATTCCTCATGTTTTGTAGCTCAAAAAAACTCTCTTTATCCGTACTTATCAAAATAATTGCAACTGACTCCTCTGCGCCCGCTGTATTTTCGGCCGCAGTATCGGCATCCTCCCTGAGATCAAGGAAACTGACATACATGTACAGGTATCCATTGCTATTGAATCCAGGAAGACACACCGGAATCCAGCTTTCGCCGCCGCCAGCCTTAACGGCTTCCGCCTCGAAAATCATGTTGAACAAGAGCTGAAGGTCGCCCGGGTGTAGCGAGTGCTTCTTCGGTCTGACAACACTAACAAGCCGGCCACCAGCAACAATTAAACCGTAAAGAAGGTTGTTGACCTTCGCTTTTAACAAAGTGTTGTTGATGGTTTGGCGATGTGATTTGCGGATCTTCAGACATTCCAGAGCCGAAAGTAAAGTAGATGGCGACCCTCTTGTGAAGCTGTCGGCTAGTGTGGAGAGGAGGGTCTCGGAGCCTTGTAACGGACGCTTCAAATCTGTGGATGGCCGTACAGAGAAAAGGTGGTTCAGAGCCGGAAGCGTCAATGTGGACAGGATCTGCATATACAACGCTTCGAGCTGAAGCTTGAGTTGGGTATCACTTTCAAGGATTCGACTGATGGCCACCAAGTATAGGGAGCCTTTGGCAACCACTGTAAACTTCGTGTCGCCAGCAGTAAAGCCATTTAGGCGGTCGTTGGAGTCTTCGTAGGATGAAATTATTGTCTGAATGACGCCAACATATGTGGAAATGAGCCCACCATCTCCATGTCTCGTCCAAATCGGTTTACCAGCGGCTGACAGAATGATGTAGTGCTTCCGCTTCGTCTTCCATCTCTCGAGAACCAGATCTGACCGATCGGCTGATTAGCGGGGCATACGACCGTAATCTTAGGGGTTTATAATACCTTCATTCTCTCCCCCCTCGCTGATATCCCCGACCGGCTCAAATTCACTTGTAAAGTCATCCTCTACGTCGTCGGCTTGGAACTCCGGAAATTGCATCAAGCCCGTACTGTCCTGTTGAACCATTCCTAGCTCCGAGGAAGCGAGGTCACCAAAGATATTCTCCACATCCCCGGCCTCAGAGTACGGCGCATAGCTCCCGATACTTGCGCTGTCAGCAGTGTCGCTCCCACCCTTCGGAGTTGCTAGATGACTCAGGCTGGCTTTTGCGTGGACGGTACCAGGAAAGGGGCGAAGAGCCGATGTTTCCTTGCTGTTGTCGTGGGGAGCAATTTCAGCCAAAGATACTGCTGTAGTAGCCCTAGATTGCAAGCTTGAATGCGGTATTGGTGTATTAAGTCGTGGCGTCCCGGGTGCTGCTCCTCCATCGTCTAACAAGCTCAGCGTATCTGGACGTGGGGGTAATGGTGGGGGACGACCCTCGGGGCTTGAGCTGCGGTCGGAGCTATGCTGTTCGGTAGATTGCTTCAACGAAGCATCATAGCTATTTGTGAAGTTAGGCTGTGCATCGCCATCACTGTACGAGGCTTGCGAGGGATCGTTCTCTCTCGACTCCATGCTCGCCAACGGAGGCGCATTGGGAATGCTTGATGGCGGAGCCTGCGTTGTTCAAGAGGTTGAACAGCTCAGTGTGACATGCTAATTGCACGTACGCAGTAAACACCGGAGCAAAACACAAACGAACCACGCATTTTCATGCTGGAACGAGTAGCGCGGCCTTTGTGGGAGGAGTGGTTGATCGACGTCAGTTGCGCTGGGCGGAGAAGCTGGCGAAAGGCGGACAACCTTCACAGCAGTGACCGGCCTGCGTCCGGCTGCCTGATTCGACTGCGTGGCTTCACCTGCATTCAACTCGACGTGCTCTCCCACCGCCATGCTTCCTCTACTCCAGCTTGATCTACATGTCTGATCTACCATGCAGTGCGCGATACCGGTATCTGTGTCTTTAATTAACCGACAATCGCATCATGAGCCTTGATCCGAGCTCGTTTCCAAGGTCCAATTCCCCCGCAAGCTCCGATAGCTCTTTGACACGCTCCCGGCTACGGGGGAAAGAAGGTCTGAGATCCACAATGCAGCTCCATGCTTTAGATATTATACAGGCTATCGAGACTGACGTATATAATCTTTTTAGGTTCCTTGAAAAAGGATAAGAATTACCGCCGATATGCTTCCAGCGTCGAACGTGCCCTGTCGCTCTTCGACAACACCCTTCAGGAATGGGCGGATTATATCTCGTTTCTGAGCAGGCTTCTTAAAGCACTCCAGTCTCATCCGCCGGATTATCCTGTCGTTCCCCAGAAGGCTGTAGTTGCGAAGCGGCTATCGCAGTCTATGAACCCATCCTTGCCTTCGGGAGTCCATCAGAAAGCGCTCGAAGTCTATACCTATATCTTTAACCTAATCAAACCAGAAGGACTCTCCCACGATCTTCCGTTGTACTATCCAGGAATTGCTCCGACACTAACGTTTGCCTCGCTTACCGTTCGACCGCTCTTCTTGTCTTTGGTGGAGACATACGTTTGCGATTTGGAGCCATGGGCTATCCGTCCAGCTTTAAAGGCGATTATTCTATCGTTACTACCCGGACTAGAGGAGGAAACAAGTGATGAATTCGAACCTACACTGCGTTTGATAAACACCCTGCGTGAAATTGCTGGTCGAATGGACACGCAACGGCCAGGGGCGGAGGCGAACGCAACCGGCCAATATTTCTGGCAATGCTTTTTTCTTGCCTCGATTACTAGTCCTAGTAGGCGTCTAGGTGTACTGGCTTACTTGAACCGATACCTTCCCAAGCTAGGCATTACAGACCGGAGACCTAGCCGAGACGATGAGGCAGATGCTTCTGCCATGCCGCATGATATACTGGTGGCAGTGGACTCGGTCATTTTGCCCGAGCCCGGTCTGCTTATTCGGTGTTTCGCAACAGGTCTAACTGACGAGCAAGTCTTGGTCCAGCGCAACTTTCTCGATCTGCTGGTCACGCATCTGCCTCTGAGTTCGCCGATATTGCAATCTCGGATAACAGAAAATGACCTTCAACGGCTCATTCTCGCAGCAGCAGGTGTGGTTTCCCGTCGAGATATGAGTTTGAATAGGAGACTTTGGGCCTGGCTTCTCGGACCTGACCCTGTGGGTGATCGAGTATCCTTCGAGGGCCGCCCCTCAACGTCCAGTGGACCTCCTAAGCCAGTCGCCCAAAACCAAGAACTTTCACAATCTCAATATTTTAGCCGGTTTGGTCTCAGTCCTTTGGTTAAAGGCTTGCTTCAAATGCTTCAAAGGGATGTTGATGTGCCTTCAGAGAGGGCGCGGCCTTTCCGGATTACGCTCTCGCTCATGGACCGGTGGGAGGTTGGTGGCCATGTCGTGCCTGCGGTCTTTTTACCGTTCATACAAAGCGTTCAGGTTTACGAACAGACAGCCCCGAAAAACAATTTCGATGAAGTATTTCGCAGTGCGGCATCATTTTTCGATGGTGTGGAAAGTGGCATGATCTTTTCGGAGCTTCTCAATTTAATCGACTGGGACACGAAAAGCCTCGCCCAAGACATAGCCCAAATATTGGAAAATTTGAACTTAGCCCTTTTCATATTGGGTCACTTCAATGTTCGTGAAGAGGATATGGTCTTGAACCACGCTCCGCTGCTGACCCTCTCCGCTCTTGTCAAAATGAGTGAGTTGTCTTCCAAGGATATCCCGCCAGTGTCTCAAGACCAATTACGAGATATATTATCGGGCCTATCCAAGGTAGTGACTGCCTTGACTGGGTTACTGACAGAGCGCGCTTTCCTTCGAAAATCGGATTTTAAAAATTCTCCGAGTGGCCAGCCAGTACTTAATCTTCCAGGGTCGGCGACCTTGGGGAAGATACATACATTTTATGATCAAAGTAGGAACAGTCTGGATCCCCAGCCACTCCCGTTTGCGCCTCGGGACCTAGCGGATTTAATCATCAAGAATGTTTATGAACAGGCCATATCAGCCGTTGGCGACCGCAATGGCACTATCTCAATATCAGAAAGATTGAAACTCCTGGTAGTGGTACTGAAGAAGCTTCCCAGATCGCGTATCTTGCGGGATAAGCGACTCTATATGGCCATTAACAACCGGATCCAAGTGACCACGGCCGAACCATCAACAACCTCATTCTCACTCATTTACTCCATGACATCCACCATAACGAACCTGTATTGCACTCACAAACTTGGCTATTATATCAGTTATGAGGACGTCTCTGACGTAATTCCGCCGCTCGTGAGACAGCTCTGGCAGTTTCTTTCGCCATTAAGTCCAAAATTCCATGTTGAAGCCGTTCGTTGTTTGTGGAATCTGCACTCTGTCTCATGGTCCGATCACTTAGTTGAATCTTCGATTACATCTTTGATGTTTACTTCACCGGCTGCTGGATCATACCAGCTCTCCTCCGAGGAAGAAGCTGGTAGATACTTCATTCTTTGGAACCACAGTCACCATGGCACATATGAACTTCCTCCGAAACACTCGCAGGATTCGGTCCAATCGCAAGCCTCTTACCATTCTTCAATGCTTGAACGTCCCCTTTTCACGGTTCTCGATTTGTTATCCCAAGGGTCAACCCAGCCTGCCCAGATCGTCCAAGCGTGGCTCCAGGACCTGCCCTCAATAGGAAAGTGAGTTCACCTGCTCTTGACTATTTTTGTCCACTTATTTATTCGTTGCCTAACCGCCATGTAGAGTGTTCCGTATAGTTATCTCAAAACTTGAGAGCGTTTTACAACGGGGAAATCAACTGGGGAGCTTTGAAGGGAACACTGTCGTGTCTCCTGATGACTATACCGAATGCATATACCTTTTGGAGACAATGCACAATACATTGGGTGCTCTTACTCATAATGGCTGGGTTTCGCTACTTACCCAAACAATGGTACAACATCATAGATGGCACGATGCCTCCACTTCAGAAGGTCAGTTAACCGCAATAGCGTTGGAATATCCCACCTAACCATCCAAAATAGACAACGCAGAAGCCCCCAGCCTTCACTCCATTCTATTCCAAGCTTCCCTGAAGGTTGTCAGTGGGTACATGTCGGGCTCAGAAACCGCAAATGCGGAGGAAGTGAGATTGCAGCAGATATCTCTTGTGGTTATGCGTCAACTACTGCTAGGACCGGGCGTCGAAGAACTAGTAGAGTCTGGAATCGACTCACTCCTGGTTGATCGACTTCTGCTCAATCTTGACGAAGGTGGAGATGTTGCCATTCAAGCGGCTTTAATCGACACTCTTCTTGCTGTTTTGAAGGCCCGCTTTACCCAAGCCTATGTACCACCTGCCCCTCCAAAACCCAAGCACCAGAGAGCAGGCTCCCGGGAAAAATTGACCAGCCCATCAATTTTGTCCTTTACAAGTGACAAGCCAGATAAATCACCCGTGGTGGGCCCTTCACCTGAGCCTCCCCGGCGTCTCCTGGATTGTCTTCTCAAAGGTATCAGCTCCCACAATTCTAGAGCGATCATCGATAAATGGACGATGCTACTTTGTGAAATACTTCCTCTATATTCCGCGTCTATCTTTCAGATCCTTTTGACCTTGGTGGATTGCCTGGGCAAAGAGATCAAACAGTCTTACATGAGCCTCCAGTCTACCTTCAACGAGACGAAAAGTTGGCCGGGGGATCGCTCGGAACAGACCACTATATCCCTTCTCGCCGGATTTGAAACATGCATTGCAGCTGCTCATGAGCGCCTTCTCATAGAAGACGTACATGTCCCTGCGGCTAAGAGTCCAGACCAAACCCATGGGTTCTTTGGGAATATGGTGTCGGGGGTTTTCACATCTGATTCAAATCATCCACGCTCTGCCACTATGAATAACAGACTCACTGTACTGCTATCATTTCAGGACGCTGTCCGTCTCTGCTTTTCTATTTGGTCGTGGGGTGCCGCAGAACGGACTAGCCTCCCTCAGGACGCGCAATCGATTGCTTCGTTCCAGTATACTTCGCTACGGATGCGAAATAGGTCCCGTCGGATCCTTGAGCACCTGTTCACAGCGGAGGCATTGGAATGCCTTGAAACAATGGTAGATATGTGGATTAAGTCTGACACTGATACGTCACCGCTCATATTCAGTCTGCTTCATACTTTGGATGGATCTCGCCCTAAAATTGCTGTGCCGGCCATTTTCAATGCCATTTATACGCGAACAAATCCAGCTGCGCTTGAACCGAGCCGCAAGTCAACCATGACGACAAACCTGACGGAGTCTGAACTAGCAGGGTTTTTGGTAACTTATGCTAGATCGCTCGATGATGATGTCCTTGATGAGATATGGGCGGACTGCACAACTTTCCTCCGTGATGTGCTGAGTAACCCTTTCCCCCATAGACATATTCTTCCAAGGCTAGTCGAGTTCGCCGCTATTCTGGGAGCAAAGTTAGAAAACACGAACTTTGGCGAAGATCGTCGAATGAGAAAGGAACTGGGCGTATGAAGTCCTCGATGCATTGATATATGATCGTAAGCTAACATTTTCCAGGATGTACTTCTGCGCCTTCTCACTGCAATATTCACAAGCAAACCTCTAGGCCTTTCGCAAGACCAAGGACTTCTGGGTCGGAGCTCGGTGGATTATGACAATTCATCTGTGCCGCACATAGGACCGGACGATATGATGAGCATCCTTGCCACGTCTATGCCCGCGTTCTCAACGACCTTAGGGGACTTAGATCGAATCACGACGGCGGTTTCGGGTATATCCACCAACGTGATCGGCCCGTTCATACGCTCTCGGCTCTTTCCCAATAATCTCAGTCGCAGCTTTATGACTTTGCTCCAGCTTATTGCTAAAATCCCCCAGGCGGCAAAAGTGTGGAAAAAAGACGTTGCAGAGGCCTTCAATGATCCAAGATTCTTCGGCTCGCACCTCGACCTTGTAAAGGACGGTTGGATGACCCTTTTGCGGCAATGGGTCTTAGTTGATAAGGACCGGTTATCTGAAATAATGTCTCGCCTTACCCCACCGGCCACGGCAGGGATAATGTTTGGTGTCGGAGCTTCTGCTGCTCGTTTGGACGCCGATCATAAAGCACAGTTGAATCTCCGTAGGATAAGCCTTATCATATTGTCTGCAAGTGATGATTATTTCATCACGGAGATGCCAGCGTTACTGCAGAAGCTGGAGGATCTCTTAGGTGCCACCGCTTCGTCATCACCATCGTCCGCGACGAGAGCCGAGGTCTTTATGGTTCTTCGAGCCCTCACCCTCAAGAGCACAGCGACTACACTCTGTCAATTCTGGCCGCTGATCAATGGCGAACTCCAGGAAGCCATCTCGGCGATTCCAATGGGAAACCAACAAGAACTATATAGTTCATACTCGCTTCTCCAAGCCTGCAAACTTTTGGACACGTTACTTGTTCTCGCTCCTGACGACTTCCAGCTACTTGAGTGGCTCTATGTAACGGATACTGTTGACGCCATATACCCCCCAGACCGATTTGAACCGATGGCCCTCGCAGACGAGGTATCTCATAACTTAGGAGTCCGGTGGTCTACGTCGTCTGATCCAGCGAGGGAAGTGGCTGGCCTCCACCGTGGCGTAAGGTACCCAGGTTTGACGGCGGACTGGATACGCGAGACGGCGAAGGATGAGATCGTCGATCGTGTGCTTCGACCATTTTTCGACCAACTCAGTATCCATGCATTTGAGAGCACCTACAGTGTCAGCAATCCTAACTTGGAGGCGTGCCGCGATGATCTGCTGGCAGATTTGTTCAACGAGAGTACCATGGCTAATTAGTACCGATTATTCGCACTTGGAGAAGCTGCTGGTATATGTACTATATATCATATTTATAAAGATGCTCTGGATTCTCTTCCTGAAAACCATGTAGAACGAATAGGCCCTCACCGTGGTCGCTGGTGCTGTTGTATAGAGCGACCCGCGTGATTGGCCGGCTCCGCCCGAGGGGTGCCGACCAAACCGACCGTCTGCACAACGTCACTCTTCTTTGAGCTCCAACATCGAACACTCCTTTGAACTCACGACTTCGTCAACTGTATTTTCCCGTAAAAGAATATTCGCTTAACAATGACAGCCAACCTGCGGCGGATACTCCCTGGGCTACGGCCATTCACCGCACAGCCACGACTCGCGTCGGCGCGGCGATGTTTCTCCAGCACCCCCTTCATGAGGGAGGCCGAGACTGCTCTGCCTGCTAAAAAGCCCGTTGGGGCTTTTCGAGGAGGGTATTACAAGCCTATACAATGAATTCATTGATTGATGATTTCAGCATATACTAATGGTTATCATTAGTCTATTTGGCTTCCTTTCCGGCACTGTTTTCGCGGGGGCAACGGTCTACTACTATATCCTAGGCGAGTACAGAGTGTCGAACGAGATGCTTACTGAGGATATTTATGTATGATTTCGCCTTTATACCCTCCTGTTCTTTGTTTTCTTTATCATATACAGGTTTTAACCATCACCAGGCTTTACAATCTGCAACCCAGAAGCTCCAGACTTACATTTCGGAGCTGGAATCACGGGTAGATCAACTGCAGAAGAAAAAATGAGGTACTTTCGGTATTTACGACTGCATTTTGTACAGGCTGTATCTACTTTATCTCTCTATTCGCGGGAGTCAGGCTGTTTTGCCGTGCTTTTCGTCTTCATTCCCAGATCATTTCTTTATGGCTACCCCCATGCTCCCTATTCCGGAATCATTCATATGCGCAGCATCAGCATAACCGAGGATGAACCGGGCTAGTGTCGCAAATCGTGTACAATAATACCTCTTCATTTATTCGTCGAATTGATATCGCTTCATAACTATATGTACAGCTTATTAATGGTCTATGCACCGAAATATACATTTGCCGGGGTAGACTGAGCTAGGATGCAAACAATGCAAACATATTAATTTCATGTATCGATAACAACTTGGTTGCTCGACAGCCGCGTGGAGTCTTCATCACTCTTGATAACTACGCCATGACTGTCTAATATCGTCTACGAATACAACACGACTCATTTCCCCTCATTTATAACACCAATACGCCCATAATGTATCACGTCGAAGTAATCCCGAATACCTCTTCATCCCACGTCACCCCAGGATGGACTTATGTCGCCGATAAAGGCTTCGACTCAGCAAAGGCCGCGATGCCTCCTACGACAGGTCGAAAGCGCGGAATTAGAGACCCGGCGCGAACAGATGTGTCCTCGCGACAGGCGAATGCGATCGCCAGGCACTTGGCGGAACTTGATCGAGAGAATCATAGGGATGCTGCGATTGCCATTCCCGCGAGGAAAGATGCTCAACCAAGGGAGAGTGCGACAAGAGGTAAGTAGGCTAGCTTAATTTATATGCACGGCATTTCTGCCCATCTTCGTTTAACCTTGCGTGCTTCTGATCTCCGTTCACGGGAAAAGAGAATATATATGGTGGCTAATGGTTATTCTTTGGTTTGGAAATAGGAACAAGGACAAAAGTAACGTCAAATGTACGGCGTATTTTGCAGTCGCAGAAGACGTTTCGGAATTATCTCGATGATGAAGAGGCCGCACTGGCTCAAGCGGCCTCGACCTCAACTACGACGCAGCGTGTGCCGTTAAACAAAATCGCAAAACCTTCTTCCGCATCATTGTCACGACGAAGCTCGACGCCAGCTACGACGCCGAAACCAGATACTTCCACGTCTCGCACAAAAAAAGACACATCCAAGAAAAAACCTGAGAAGACTCCGGCTGAACCCGAACCCATGCCTCAACCCCAAACCGAACAAGATCAAAAGGACCAAGAAGACGAAGACCAAGACGCGCACCCTATAAAATCCCAATACGATAACGATCCCCTTTTGAAATCATACATCCCTTCTGCCCCATCAGAACGCATAATGCGCGCCCTCCTTTCCGAACCGCCCCTCGCATATAATGCGTCACGCGCAGGTCCCCCACTGACCGGGAGATCGACGCGGAAGTTCTGCTGCATATGTGGATATTGGGGGAAGATTCGGTGTCGGAATTGTCATCAGCGGACTTGCGGAGGTGACTGTTATAAAACGCATGAAGATTCAAGGTGTGGGGCTTTCTTTTAAGAAAGTTTTTAAGCTCAGACCACTTGCATTCTTGATGTTGAAGACTGCAATATACCCAACCTACATTATTCATAATAATATAAAAAAACTAGAGAATCTGTATATTATATGTATATTCGAACGGAAATCATCTTTACTCTCAGGCTCGAGAAGTATCAGCACTTCATCCGTATCCCAGCTCGTAATTCCTCCTCCCGGATTTCGAACATGACCTGTACACCGACGAACAATGCACAGCATGCCGAGACGAGATACACCAGGCCAGCATAACTCCCCAACAACTCGGACAGAAGGCCTTTAATCCCATCGACGCCTAAAGCGAAACCGACTAGGTTCGCAATCATCATCATGAGAACATTGCCTACTGCCCCAATACCGCAGATAACGCGGTATGTATTCGGGCGGGACCGCCATCGCCTAGGAGGGAATAGGAGGGTGCCAATGACCTCAGGCAAAACAAAGAGCGTGATGAGCCATCCCCACATCAAAAGTCGGAGGTTGATATCGTGCCAAAGAGCTATGAAAGTAAATACGACGAGGAAGTTGAATATCTGGCGTGCTTTGGAGAAGAGAGACGAATGCGATTCTCCGCCGCTTGCTGGCGCTGAGCGGTTATTTCCACCACCTAGAGGGACATAGAGATAACGGACGACCCAGCGATTGAGGGAACGGTGCCAGCCACGCCAGAAGGCAAAGGCAGAGTAGTTGTTTGAAACACAGCGGACCATATTTTCCGGAGGGTCGATGCCGTCAAGAAGAGCCCAGAGGCGGAAGAAGCGCCACGGGATGAGAAGCTTCAGCCAAATGATGTGTAGGTTAAAGAATGCCAGCATGCTGAGCTGCCCTGGAGTGTAGAGAGACCAGTCTGGCGAAGAGTTGGAAATTGCTACCGCATAGATGAAATGCAGGATCAACTCCATTGAGAGCAGAGTTAAGAAGAAGCGTGTTCCATAAAGGATTGTGCGGGATTTGGTTAGGGACTGCGGCGCGTATTTCTGTTGTGATATATAGTCGTTGAAGGTCACAATGGGTCCTGTTAGGTACAAGGGTGAATAGAGGATATAAGCGATATAGTTGCGGCCATTGAAAGCGGATTGTTCGGCAGGAATCTTGACCCGATCACGCTCGGAGAGCGCTGCCGGATCAAGTTGTTTCTTCTTATGGCCGTCAGAGAGGGACCGTACTATACGCAGGAAGAAGACTCACTTCGATTGGACTCGTAGCGGGAAAGTCAAGGCTCCAATGATAGTCCATATTGAAGCTGATCAGACGTAGGATCGTGATCTTGAACAAGACCTCCCAGCGTGGCATCAAACCACCGAAATCGTCCAAGCTCCGTGCCCATTGTACCAAAGCCGAATCCTGACCAACCCCGTCCCCCGCGGTTGTCCAGAAAGTAACAATGCGTTCAAGTGGATAACCACCGCAGAACTCATTGGCGAAGAGAGTCCCTATACAGAAAGTCCAAGTAACGGCTGGAACGTACTTCCGGGGAAGGTTTTTGGCGATTTTGTAGTTCAAGTAAAGAATGACCAAGATCTTGATTGCGGATATACCATGCAAGGCAGTTATAAACAATAGGGCGAAATAATAGTCGAACTGGATGCGTCGCGTAGCGCGTGCCTCTCCCGCGGCCGTAGTGGAGGCATTATTGGCGGTGGTTACATTCGAGGTACGAGTAAAGTATTCGTATAGACGGCGAAGACAGGGGTGTGCGACTAAAAGGACGAGGAGATAGGGGATATTATCACGGAAGCCCGAGTATTGCGCGTCGGAGTTATCCTAGGAGCGAGCAGTATGCATTAGTATCTGTCTCCCGGTATTAATATTCCGCGTGAAACTCACCACTTTCCGACCTGGTATCCAGCCTTGAGAAAGCAGGTGAGAGTATGTTGGGTAGGTGGGGTGTGATTCTAGAGCAATTGTATCAGCTTGGATCTGGCTTTTAAGGCCAAGAGAGCCAACCTTGCGAGACTCCAACCACGGTCTTGAACATCAATGGAACAGCTATGAGAAAAACAACGTAGTAAACATAGAATTCGAGAGTGCCCCATTTCGAAGGGGAGGCACCGCTGGCGACAGCATTGGAGCGGGCATCTTTCGCAGGGCCGGATCGCGTGTCCTCAGCGGCAGCCTTGATAGGGGTGTTGGCGGGGACGGTGAATCGCGTGTCCAAAGTATCAAGCGAGTAGAGCCGCCGAAACCAGGCGAGAACTGAAAGAATCATCATAGCACCAGCATGTCTTGGTCCTGGGCAGCCTGACGCGAAAGAGCTGAGGGACACTGTGGAGAGGTTGAGAAGGCACGAGAAAATCAGGGGCGGAAGTTCCGAGGTCCACTCAGCTTCTATACATTGACAAGCAACGCCAGGAACCACAATGGCAGATTCCAACCATTTCTGCGCAGATTCTGTTCACTGATTATGCTTTGTACTATTTTCAGCGGAAATCACATTTCATACAGAAATATGGGTTTACTACCTAGTAGAGCAGAAGTGCGCGCCCACGTATGCTCAGGCAATTGCTCCAGAGACCATCTGTGCCCTGTGATATAAGCATTGAGCATTGATACCACTTAAAATCGTGTCTGTGTACTTTATTAGAATATCCCAAAGACTGCAGTGGTCAACCACCACCCCCTAAATGCTTCCTCCATCCTGAGTAACATGGGAAGTGCAAGTTGAATGCCAAATAGAGCACTGAATAAATTTAAATAATTGTAAATGTATTCCTAGAGATCACTCACCGGATTCCGGAAATAAAAGGCTCCAAACAAAACTCTGTTCCTCATGCACATAATGCCTTCAGGTCATGACCATTATTCCTTCTCTATTCAGTTCCGCGCTTCCCAAAACCAACGCTCTCAAAGACCCGAATCTCTGAGAAAAGAGATAGCATATCAGCTGTCCGAATAATAGATACCTAAGCCTTTATTATTACAGGTTCAAAAAAAAAAAAGGGGGGGGATAATGTTTTTGGCGTTATAGATCTAATGATCATTATATTTATTATTCCGGGGCCAACATGATTGACAACAAATATTATTACTGGGAAGAAATTCAATTAGCCTAGCCTGCCTTAATTGCAGATAATTAGAGGCCACAATGCCTCTGGTAAGTGCCTTACACGGAGTTTGCGTTGTGTTTGGCACTGGGATTGTAAACCAATGCTGTCAACGGAATGCGAATATTGTTGTTTATATCAGGATGGATAGCTCTTATGGATAATCAATGTTTAATTATAAAGAAGTACAAATAATCTCTACAATTTATATTTACCGACTGTAGCATCTAATTGTCAATTTGAACGCCTTGCTGAAAGCTCTGACCATTAAGTTTGGTTTTTGCTATAACTAGAGGAAAGAAAATCTTATATATTGAGAATACATAACACTCATCGGCCAATAGTGGTCCAAAATATACTACTGCTTAGTTTGCTAATTATAGTCGAGCTATCCTTTAGTAGCCCGAGTCCTTGGTATCGGAAGATGATTGTCAGTACGATAGATGCTCTGCGACCTTGGTGGTAGCGCTTGCTTGGTTTCCTACTCCTCATAACCTCACTTCTTCCAAATATGCCACTACTGTCTTTTACCACAAATGCCTTCCGGGATTCTCGATGTCCAGTGTAATTGAGAGCATCGCGACTCTCGTGTGGCTGCATCGTCGCACAGAATTGACCCACATGGCCCACCTGTAGAACCAAGCAGCGGCCCGAGCGGCCCGCTATCCCATTTTTGTGAAGGGTCGGCATCAAATGCACCAGAGCCGCACTATACATAGGCCATTTAGATAGAGTTGAGACCTGAGATGCTTCGATGTAAGGGATTTATACTTGGCATATCTTAGAGCTATTCAGTAGAGTTACAGCTATATGTCGCAGTCATTAGGTAAGTATGCGAGATTGGGAGCCGCTTTCGAGGGCTCTCTTTCCAGGTGCTTGCCAAGTTGCCTTATTTGTTTTCTGTATGCTTCAGTCAAACCACAGGTTTTAACCATCTGCAAGATTATATTCTCACGACAGGGCGGTGTAATGGTAACATACACCTGGACCTATGACCGCGGCAACGATATATAGGTTCCAATCCTAGCCTAGGGACTTTTCTTCCCCACTTACCCGCACAATCACAGTCCTATCACCTGAAATGAGGGTATTCTGTCAGAAGTAGCTGATATAGTTCAGCAAAGATCTCATTCTACGTGGTCAAGTCAGTAACTGATGACTAATTAACGGCAACGTGCTGGTAAAGGCTGATCAAATGTTGCATGCACCATAGCCGCACATTAAAGCAAGAAGCAGTATGTCGAGAAGTTTTGTCATCAGTAAGAGAACAGACATATAAAATGGCAAGAACTCTAGACAACTGAGGAGTTGGCTCACCTCGAAGCGCTGGTCATCGAGACCCCGCAGTGGATCTCGTCGCGCTAGACTTATTCCGGTCGCATGTCTGGCCAGCAAGATGAACAACACTCATCCAACCAACTAGTACAACAACAAATAAAAATGGCAATGCAGAGGGTACTTCTTACTCCTTGGATTTGTATTTTGTATCCAGCTCTCTGTTAAGTCTTATTAACGCTTTCTCAGATTGCATTCAAAGTCCATGGCACCGTGCAAGGTAGGTTGTTGAATTCCATCAGTATATTCCTACGTGGCAATGGTTAACGAGTGACTGTCTAGGTGTCGGCTTCCGGTAGGGAAAACATCTTCCTAAAGTCTACTTTGCTCTAACCTTTCAATTTCACCAGTGACTTCACCCTCAAGCGTGCTACCGAATACGACCTAAAAGGCTGGGTCAAGAATACAGACTGCGGAAGAGTATGTATTCCTCCTCTAGTTCTAATTACGGGACAAGCTCTAAATAATATCCTTCTCAATCTCATGCTCGCGTTACCAATGTGTCTAACCCCATACACAGGTTGAGGGCGAAGCGCAAGGTCCCGAAGAAACCTTACAGAAGTTCCTTAAGGATATCAACAGTGGTCCGCGATTGGCACACGTAGTTAAACTGGAGCAGAAAAATCTGGAATCGAAAGAAGATGACGTCCAGTTTGGGCTCAGAAAGACATCGGCGTCTGTGTTTGAATCTCTTTGATGTTTGGATAATGTACAGTTAGGCAGTCTGTCTATCTTCGAACAAAAAACCCCATCCAGCCTAAAGCCTCCTCTTAAAACAGGTTCCAGTATTTTCCCCGCCGATATAACCGTGCTCCAACCAATCCTAGAAACTTCAGTAAAGATCTGAAATTGAATGTTTCCTGGCAGCTTCGAGAGAATCTCGGCTGACGTCATTACTCGAGAGGCTAACTATTCAAATCCCGATTTATTCTCGGCTTCCCGTGAGTCAGCGGAAATATCTCCGGCTCTGTCCATGGTCACATGGTGGGTTGACATTTCAAAAATACTTTTCTTTCTGTATCAGAGTGACACATCTTAATCTTACATCCCAACAAGCAAGGTTCTCATCGCAACATAAAATCAATGGGAAGCAAGTGTGAACTGATTCCACTTTTACTGGACTCATTTCCGCTATTCATGACCACCCAGCATTGAACTCAATTAACATTTTGTTGTTGGTCTGGAGAGGGACTAGGTAAACCGCTTGGTAATAGCTGGTAAGGCTTAGATACAGAGTTGGCCTGAGTGGCCCTTGGAGAACAAACGGATCGGGCCCAACAGGGCGGTTCCAGAGCGGGATCCGGGATTCGCCAACCCCTGTCTTCTCAGCCACCCTGCGATATGGCCGTGATCCAAGAATGCTTTCTCTCTTCGGTGAATGAAATTCGGGGTTTACGGCCCGTATGACTGTTTGCGTAGGCTTGGTTCCGACTTTTGCCTGGCTATGTTTTTCATTGAGTTTTTCTGTTGGCGCTTGGATTTTGGCAATTGTAAATATAAATACCAGGGGCCCTGGTTAGGGTCAGATTACTCCTTCCTCATAAGCAACTGCAAATTGAAATATTTTGACAACAAACTATCCAACATCATGAATTCGCTATCGACCACGGCGCCCATCAGGATGGCAGCTTTACCAAAGCACTATCTACAGTTCACTGTACGAAGTTATACAAAGCAGATGGCTACTACTGGGCTTCGATGCACCGGTCAATGGTCTGCCAATAAATGCCATCTGCAACCGACGACAAAAAGATACATATCATCTACGCCACAAACACAGATCAAGGATTATTTTCCTCCTCCTGATGCACCAAAGATCAAAGAGGTTGAGACGGCTTGGGTACACCCTGTGTATGCTTCACCCCCTTCATGCGGATTAATGGGAAAGAGACTAACGCCAACACAGTTATACAGAAGAAGAAATGCATAGAGTCACCGTCGGCCACCGAGAAGCAAAGAACTGGGCCGACTGGGTTGCACTTGGCAGTGTCCGGATGCTGCGATGGGGTATGGATCTGGTCACAGGCTACAAACACCCCACGCCAGGCAAAGAACATGAGAATAAATTCAGAATGACAGAGCAGAAGTGGTTAACGAGATTCGTCTTCTTGGAGAGTGTGGCTGGTGTGCCAGGAATGGTTGGGGGTATGCTAAGACATCTAAGAAGTCTTAGACGTATGAAGCGGGATAATGGATGGTACGTAAAATCATTCTTGACTTCGAGTTTCCATGGCGGTTATGGCTGACATGATATATAGGATTGAAACCTTGCTGGAAGAGGCATACAACGAGCGGATGCATCTGCTTACTTTCCTAAAAATGGCCGAACCTGGATGGTTCATGCGCCTGATGGTGCTTGGCGCCCAGGGCGTATTTTTTAATGGCTTCTTTCTTTCTTATCTCGTTTCGCCACGGATCTGTCATCGTTTCGTCGGGTATCTCGAGGAAGAAGCCGTCCTCACCTACACTCGGGCTATCAAAGATCTCGAAGCTGGTAGACTACCGGATTGGGAGACACTGGAAGCGCCCCAAATTGCTATACAATATTGGAAGATGCCTGAAAGCAACCGGACCATGAAGGACCTGCTGTTATACATCCGAGCAGACGAGGCCAAGCATCGCGAGGTCAACCATACGCTTGGAAATCTGAAGCAAGCGGTCGATCCCAACCCATACTCAGTCAAATGGAAGGACCCAACAAAGTCGCACCCAGGCAAAGGCATCTCGAACCTGAAGACCACTGGGTGGGAAAGAGATGAAGTAGTTTAAAAGCTCTTGACGTCGTTATTTTTATGTCGGAGTATTATTCGCGGGAACGCATGGGTATTTTGCATTCGCGGGTCAAGACGGCGCAACCTGGATTAGATTATAGAATAGCTTAGCAAATGTCTCCCCTCTCTAGCTAATGGACAGACTTGGGTTTTGAAACAATCCATGAGTTCAAGAATAGTGGGTTCTGATGCTGGAGATCGAGTCATGGAGAGACAGCACTAGACCCGATTGGGGCGGATCTCTTGCTGTCACCAACACCCTTGTCTTGAGTTTATCACGCCGTCAAATTCTCACATGTCCGCGTTGGCAGCTTGATGGCCCGATGCAATCCTCCTAATGCTAATGCGGGGCAATTGTGTCAACAAGGTCGGTGCAGTCTGCACGGCGCAATGAGGTGTTCATATGGAAGCCGTTTATTAGTGGGATGGGGATCCCACTTGCGCAAATTGCACGGCATATCCTCCGTCAGGGGCTACATCGGATGAACAAAAAATCAGGTCGAAGAAGCAAAAACACTTGAAATGCCGACAACTAGACGCTTCCTTTACTGCTCTCTTGCATCCACAGTTCTTTGAGGGTCTGAAAGATGTGGCGATCATGCTGGCAACGTTGAAAAGCACTGGCGCTACTATCGAATAGTTGACCAACTTGACCCGCTTCCCCTTTTAGTGCCGAAAAAGAAGCCCAAGAACCCCCTGTCGAACGTCTCAGACTCTCAGTTTGTTCTCGCCTGCAGATCGGTCACGATCGCCAATTTCGTTCTTCTTCTGCCGAGGAATCGTTCTTTTCTACTTTCGTTAACTGTCATTTCTCCTCCCGTTGACCACCTGGCCTCTCCTCCTTTCGTTGCTTCGCGATATCCATAACCAGCCTCACACGTATTCTTACCTACCCAGTGTCTGCTACAATATTCGTATGAACCAAGAAACGGCGTCTCATCTACGTGGCAATGGAGGACCCCGTCGAGTTTGACGCTACAGCCCCTCCAGTCCGAGCCTCTTCGCCCTCTCCCTCCGTCTCTCCAACACCTGCAATCTCGTCTTGCCCGTCGCCAGACCGTACATCCCGTACGTTTTCTACATTCTCCACGGTCTCATCATTGTCGACATCCTCCGGCGCTTCCGGTGATGCCAGATCATCGGTGTCGGTCTCCACCCGGAGACGGGGGTATATCCGTCCTCAGGGAGCGGAGTTTGCCGCCTCCGCAAAAAACCGGGAGAGCGTGATGAGCTTGGGAAGCATTGCCCACCTGCAATACTATTTTGCTCGAACTGGTTTGCTGGATGGCAAGGGTGGGAATACGCGCGAATATAAAAAGAAGAAGAGGAACACGGAAGAGTTCCCGCAGTTACTCCTCACCCCAAATGCTCGATTCACAGACGATTTCACCACGAGCCCGACGGAAGAAGAGCACACGGATCCAGGGGAAGACGTGGATGACGAAGTCGAACTCGGCGAGGAGGTGATGCTTCCTCCTACCGTTAGCACCTATAGCATTAAGACACACTACATTCCACCCCCTCCAGACCTACTGCAGCTGCGGAGAGATCTTTTAAATGCGATATGGAAGGCACAAAAAGAAATCGACACGGTATCCCAGGACCAGCGTTCTCCAGAAACACTCCCCCCACGAATCGACATCTCGCCTGAAGGCAATACAGACTCCGATGAAAACTCACAAGGCCAAGCGGATTTGGCTGCAGCTCGTAAAACATGGGATGAGATCCAGGGCATGCGAATTCTGGATGTCGTGACGCTTGCCATTCGCGCAGCAAAGATATATTATACTACCCACGAGTATCCGGAACGTCTATCATCCATAAGAAGCGAACGGGAGATCAGGCAGGATTTGTTTAATGTGTTGGAGGTTCTGAAGCGATGGGCTGGCCGCAATTTTGCAGGCGGGCTCCGGCAAGACGAGCAGAAGGCTGTACTAGACTGGATGTCCGATGTGCGCGACATGCTCGGGCAAGAGGCAAGGCTTGAAGAGGCGGAAGTTAAGGAGCGCGCCACTTGGGATTGGATCGAGGGGGACTGGACAGGGCGCGAACGACAGCGAGAGGAGGCATTCCTAACTAGCCTGACGGGCCCGGACTCACCGCTGCCAGCATGGACAAAGCCTGAGAACGGCTCACTACCATCGCCCTTGCTTGAGCAACTTCGTGATGGTCGCGACTTGATTCGGATTCACAACATAGCCGTCAAAAAATCCAAGCGGCCGTTTGGCGAGATAAAAACTTTCCATGAAGATATCGCCAAGCCTTATCGACGTGCAGACAACCTTCGATTTTGGATAAAGGCAGCCGAGATCCGATGGGAGACGAAGCTGGACTTGGACGTGATGAGTGTTGTCAACGGCAACAGCGACGAGGCGTGGCACCAATTTGACAAGGCAGTCGCCGCTTGGTGTAAATCTGTCAGGCAAGAACTCTCACAAGACCTGCGAGTTTTGAGAAGACGGGCGACTGCAGCCAGTGCCGATGGACTGCTTGTGAGCAAGAAACGATGATTTCTTTGCGCGCCCGCCATCGTGTGCCTGGACAGAGCCAACACACCTTGGACGGACAGAAGAACAAATTTCGGGGCGTGATCATTGGGACCATGTATTATTTTGATTCAGGATGACGTTTGTTTGCAGTCCACACTGCCTGTATTTGATACCCCTTACTCGCCGATGACAGTTTGCGACGAGCGTTCAGTGTTTGTCTTCATATGCACCCTTGTATTCTGCTGCATTGCGCCTCTCAATGATTGGCCAGATTAGACATGTACATTTGTGGCGTTCGTTTGGGCGTCTTCTCTTCGACTGAATCAAACTGATTCAATATTTAATAGTAGCGCGCAGAGGCAGTTCTGGCCTCTGGGAAAGACAGGGTGGTTCCATGGGAGAGGAATGTTCGGGACTGCGCTACCGAGGAATGCTCCCTGACTACACAATAATCCCTTGATAGCCAACGAAGGACAAAAATACTACAAATTTAACTGCAAAGGAGAGAGGGAGAGAGGAAGCATGGGCAAATAAAGGAGCCTTGGCCAGCTCCCCTTAAACGGACCCTAGAAAGTTACTATTGGCATCGGGGCATTTGGGGGGTGGCGATCAGTAGCAAGTGAAGAACTGTGAGGGAAATTGTAATTAAAGGACAATAACGGCGCTGCCTCCGTTTCTTCCCTTTCTTCGAATGTCTTCTCCTGCAACTCTCGCCTCTAATTATTCAGACTTTGAGTAGACTACCTACCATGTAGCCCGGTCCTCTCAGCTCAGAAAAAGAACAGCTCATCCTTTCATCACCCCACTCCTGTTACCACCTCACTCCAAAGCAACAAACATTCCTATAGGGGCCGGCATACTTAACGTCGCGCTGCGAAACATTCTTCACACGCAACACCATTTGTATCATAGTGCCCACCTTCCCGCCTCTAGTTCTCTAGCCCGCAAGGATTCTCCGGGCTAGAGCGGGCGTGCGGACGTATCCATGCGTGCCATTTTCTCTGCCACTAGCACTCACCCCTCGGATCCCGCTGCAGACACGTCTCCGTCCACGTCGCAAGGTTCGCCGCCACCACCTCCTCCTGCACCGCCCTCTCTATCCATCTCTACCCCGGATGAGTCGGCAGCACCACGCAGGATCAAGTCGAAATCCTCACTACGAAGCCTCCGAAGTATCGGTAGCAGCAGTTTACACGAAGACGATTTTGACGATACCCAGTCCGATAAGTCGCTCATCCGCCCGAACATCCTCCGTCGCCTGTCGCCCGGTTTAGCGGCACGCGTGAAGCTACTTGACGGCAGCGCCAAAACAGCAGCTTCTTCTCGCAACTCCGGAGCAGTCGGTCGGATTCCAGAGGAGCAAATCAAGGAGTTGGATAGTCTACATCACAAGAGTCCTTCGATTAAAGTCGAGAAGAAGGGTCGCGCTTGGAATGGGGTAACTTTTGTCAGCAAAAGTCAAAAACATCAACAACAGCAACTACAACCGGACGTACCTGAACCACAGCCGGTCGCTGACCCAACCCTTGGGTTAGATCAGGACGCCCCCGCCCCCGACCATACCGAAACAAAGGAAGAAGAGGTGGAAGATACGCCAACAGCGATGTCTGTCGTTGAGTCAGCCCCAGCACCGCTGGGCCCCGAGATAACTGGTTCTAACGTGGAAGATCAGACCGAGGCCCAGACAGACTTCGAAAAGTACATCCAGAAAACCAGCGAGCTCGAAGAAACCGGCGCCCCTCCCCCGCCCCCGAAAGACTCCCCTCCTCAATCGATCACATCGTCGAACAACCAGTCCTATTTCAATCCTCGTGGTCTACAACGCACAGAATCGATATACTCTTTCTCCCGATCCTCTTTTAGCAATCAGATATCTCAGCTCACGTCCATCGCCCTTCCGCAGCCGTCGTCGCTTGAAGCTAGCATCAGCTCAATCTCGAACGCCCCCGCTGCAGTAAAAGCCCTGACTAGTGCCGCAGAACAAATTCAGATATGGATCAGGAAGGCATCAGGTGTCCTCAGCGGATTGGATGCGGAAGATGATGTCGAATGGGCCGCGGCTGGTGGACGAGAAGGTCTCGATGGTGTGGACAAGTCTATCACAAAGTTTGAGAGTCTAGTGAATGTCTACGTCAAAGCCATCGAAGATGTGCAAGTGCGTGGCGACATCGCTAATGTCAGCGCCGAGGCCTTGGAGACGATCGTCACCCAGATGGACACTATTTTACAAAGTTGGGCCCAGATAAAATCCCGACTTCGAGCAGTCAAGGGACAAGTGGAATTGGCTATGGAATGGGAAGAACTATGGAACAGTGTTTTAGGCGACGTGGGCGAGGAAGTCGAGGAGTTGGAAGGGCTGGTCTTCGAGATGGAGGCCAAGCGACACTTCAATCTGGCGCAAGAATCTACTGGGATGGATATCAACGAGCTGGAGACGATTGTGGAAGAAACACCGTCTGGTGGACTAATGCCTTCGAACAAGCGATCCAGTGTGGGTTCAATATTTCCTGCACCGCCTGCGTTAGACAAGCCGATTATCCAAACACCGCAGGATGACACAAACCATTCCAACCTTGTTGAACTATACGCCCGTCTCCAGCCGTTGCGCGCATCGCTTGATTTCCTGCCCATGAGGCTTTCCATGTTCCAATCACGCGCTGAGCGCCTATTTCCTTCTGCTTGTGAAGAATTGGCAGGGCGATGTGACGATCTTGAAAAGAGCTACAGGAACCTCCAAGCAGATGCTGATTCACTACGCAAGGAACTGGAAGAAGATCGGTGGGTCATTGTTTTCCGAAATGCCGGATCTCAAGCGCAAAAAATGTTTGAGTCTGTTGAGCGAAGTATTTCGAAGCTGCAAGAAGGTCTTGAGACGGGCATGCATTTGCATAACCCCGCCGGAATGACGAGTCGGATTGAGAGCTATGAAGCCAAGAAGCAGCACTATCTTCCTGCTATTGAGCGAGTTGTTACAATTACCCAGAAAGGTGTCAGTGACCGACTTACTGTCAATGGGGAGATTTTGCGACTGCTGGCAGAAATGCAATCCAAGGTCGATGCACTGAGAGCCAGCATCAAGGTTATGGACTCGTCCTTAGAGGACATTCAAGATTTGAGAACACAACATCTGCGTGATTCCATTTCAACAGTTGTCACAATGGATAGCCCAGCAACGGGAAGCCTCGTTGACACGCCCGGCAGCTCACCGGCATCGTCTGTCATAATGACGCCTGCAAACAAGTCGACAGCACCGTTCGGATCCTCTAGTCGTCGCGGTAGTTCCGTTGGCTCTACTGCTCGAACGTCGACTGGTCGCCGAGTTTCAGGGCTACCGCAGCTGTCGTCTAACCTGAAGTCAAGGCAGTCTAGCATCCCCAAGACCACTCTGACGGCTCCTTCACCGACGCCAACAGCACGGAAGACTCCGCAACCCGTACTCTCACCGGCCATGCTTAACCGACCGCGATGGAATAGCAGCACGAACACAACTGATCTGGATGTCGGGCATAAGCATAAGGGCTGGTCCCCATCTCTGCGCAAGTCTTCAGGGCCTCCTCGCCCCTCGCGCCCATCTTCGACAATCCCGCCGCGGGACGTATCTGCGTCCCCCGTACCAAGAACTTCGAGTCGCCTGTCTAGTCGTTTGGCCTCGCGCAGTCCCGGACGCACTGCATCGCCGTCGTTTGGTCGTTCGCTCCTGGATCCTCCCCCCTATAGCAAACTTCAGCGCCCTTCTGGAGCCGAGAACATGCCCAACACACCCCGAAGCCGACAAAGCTTTGCAGGTATGTCCTTTAGTCGCAGCGTCTCACAGGACCAGGATCGAAATCAAGATAGCCCTTCAAAAACGACACGTCCCGGAACAGCGCTCGGACACTCAGGCAGCCGGCGCATCAGCCTGCTTCCTTTGCCACGGAACCGTAAAGACAATACCCCGACGACGCGAAGCAAACTCGCGGAACGACCCCCATGGCGAGGTTGATTTTTTCTTTCTTCTTCTTCGAAGGAAAGTGAGCGTCATCTACCGTGTTGTCACTCATCGTTCTCTCAATACTCTGTTTACCTTCGTCACTTGTATTATCTCATGGTCCTGTTCCAGTTGCCAGATTGTTTGATTGATGATTCCCCTTTCGCAGAGATACCTACCTGTTGATTTAGCGCAATGTATAAAATTATATCATATCATATCATATCAGGTGTATGGAGTTATTCTCTCTCAATGGCTCAAAAGTATCCATGAGTCTAATCTAAGCTGTCTCTGTCTCTGTTTTATCTTCTGCTACTAAATCTTTCCCGATAATCAACGCAGCAACCAGTTCCTCGCTATTTGCCAACCGCGCAGCCCCTGGCACACGCCCGATGACACTGAACCCAAGCTTCTCCCAGATCTTTACCGAGGCGACATTATTCTCGAAGACGAGGTTGAAGACAGAGTATTTGTATCCCTAGAGACAACAGTCAGTCAGTCGCTGATACACGCGGTAGCTTTGTCTCATGAAATCGGAAGAAGTTGGAAGAGACGCACCAATAACGGGGCAAAATGCAAGTATGCCTTTCCCATTACCATGCCCACGCCCTGGTTTCTTGCTGCCCCGGTCGTTAGGAAGCCTGCATTGCAGACATGCGAGCAGCGGCCTGGCGAGCAGCCACGTCAGCTTGCAATCCCAATTAGAGTATCCAGTATCTGGTACTAATAAAAAAAAAAAAAAAAAAAAACATACCGGGATAATTAGGCTTAATATAAAACGTCCCCACGCAGTCTTTCTCCCAATCTCTTTCCTCCCTGCCCGCCAATAACCCCTCGCCTCCATGTCCCTCCTGTGAATCAAGAATAGCCACCACTGCAAACGTCCCAAACCAGTACTCGGCGAATTTCTCAAAGGACATCACCTCTTCCATGGGGTACGTGCATCCTCGCTCGATCTCCGCGCTGAATTCGCGGTGGAGGAGCTGTACAAGAGAGCGTGGGACAGCAGATGGGCCAGTGGTGATCGGGTACAGGGTTACAGGTGTACCGGATTTTAATGTCGTTTTTATGGGATTTATAGATTGAGTCTTGAGAGATTCAACGTGGGTTGGGGGTGGGGGAATTGTCGACGAGGGGTCTTCAAGGATCGAGGGCATCTTGTAAGGAATGGAATGGAGTAGATTATATAGAGTAGAAAGTACTTTGGGATTGATGAGAAAGATAAGTAGATTCAGAATGTATATGCAAAATATATATGCAGGAAAATGTCAAGTGCAGGGCGTGGAAGTTATATGGCCGACTTCCCCACCGTCTTTTGTTCGCGGGGAGAGAATTCTTATCGATAAAAGTTTGGCTCTGGTTCTCGGACATTCCCCGGAGGCAGATGCCGTTTATTATCCAATTGATCATATCTTGATAAATTCCTTTCTATAGGATACGAAATCAATCTACCTGGCTCAACTGAACGGTCGTCTTCGATTTATAGATTTATAGGTTTGCCGGTGTAGTATACATAGGTATACCTCAGTATCAGCCATAACGAGCTCAATGTCTAGGAATCCATGATCTCCTTTGCCTAGGTTACGATGACATGTAAGTTAGTAGAAGGTGTCCCAGCACTACGTATATGCCGCGCGGGTTTTAGTTTGCGCATATTGAACAGTTTGTATCTCGGAAACTCTCCAAAGATGGTATAGTAGCAGTAACAAAGACGCCAATGGAGTACTCAGTATATACAGAAATCTAAGTATTACAAAGATCATCAACAGTTTTCAACGCCGGCAATAATAAGCGCTAGAATATAGCATTGCCCTGGAATATAGCACACCGGGGTTGTCAATTAACCAGGCCATTTCCGCTCCCCGGCCAAGACCAGATATAAGCCGGTCTATTCATTCCCTTCCCCATCTTTATTCCGAATCGTTTGCATCAACTCGTACAGCTGCCCAAGTTGCTGGTCTAGTCGAGTAAGAATCTCATTAGTCGTCAACATTCCCATTGAATGGCAAAGCGCAGGTAGGAAAATGGAAGAAAACGCACCACTCATCTTATCCAATTTGCCCTTATCCAGCTTCTCGCCGATCCACGAATCCCCCTCTAGCTTTTGCGCATACAATTGCCACTCCGTGAGGAACCCGATCTGCGCAGCGGGTGAATCCTCGTTAGCCTCACTTGCAAGCTACTCACATCCCTCCATCGCGAACCACAAACCAATTCAACCGACGGGGGTGAGGAAACGTACAATATGCAGCGGGTTTTCCGTCCTCCGGTGAGCGCGAAACTCGCTCTTCAGGTATGAGTCTCCTAGAATGCGCATTTCGGGATCGAGCTTCTTGCGGTGCACGCGGAGGATTCGGCGGTAGAGCGGGATGGGTGGGAGGAGGGCGAGGGCTTCGGTAAGGCTTGAGACGGAGCCGATGTTGGACGGCGTCGCATAAAGAAGGCGGATGAAGGCGCGCATCTTCGTTATATTCTGCTTTAAAGATTATTTAGGATTGGGGATTAACTCGGGGTTGGAGATGGCGGCCGATGGAGCCGCGGCAGATCAACTGCAGCTTCAGCGGAGAAATTTGTCTCCGCATTGAATTATTCTTCAACTCCAAAAAGAACAATATCATTCAAACTAATCCATCCGACTAGCTCTCTCTCAAGAAATAAAAAGGAATAGAAAGGGGAAAGAAACAATGCTCCCCACCCCTGATACATCCCACGTCTCGTTCGACACAATCTACGAACCCTCCGAAGACTCTTACCTCTTCCTCGACACCCTCTCCTCCACCTCCGAATCCGCCTGGCTGAAATCCCGCTTCAGCTCTTCGCCGTCACCGTCCCCCTCGCCTACCCTCCTCGAAGTCGGCTCCGGCTCCGGCGTCGTCATCGCCTTCCTAACCGCCCACTCCTCACTAATCCTCGGCCGGCGTGATGTCCTCGCCCTTGCAACAGACGTAAATCGGAACGCCTGCATCGCAACACAAAAAACAATTACCAAAGCCGTAGATGAACGGCAATCACAAGACGAGGACCAGAATGCCGATACGCTGAGTGACAACACAGGGCCAAAAATAAAATCGGTATGCCTTTCGGCTGTAACCGGGGATCTATGCGCAGCTATCCGGCCGGGAAGTGTGGATATTTTACTTTTTAACCCACCCTATGTACCGACGGAGGAATTACCGGCTTTACCGTCTACTTCGACTGATCCAGCTGCAAAAGAGTATTCGAGGAGCGCAAAGTTCGAACAGGACTCGTATTACCTCTCTCTGACATATGCGGGGGGACGAGACGGGATGGAGACGACGGAGAGGCTGCTAGAGTCAATTCCTGGAGTTTTGGATCCGGATCGTGGTGTTGCGTATGTGCTCCTTTGTGCGCAGAACAGGCCGGAAGAGGTGAAGGGGAGGATTAGGGAGTGGGGAGATGGATGGAGGGCCGAATCAGTAGGCAACAGTGGGATGCAAGCTGGGTGGGAAAAGTTGGTGATTGTGAGGATTTGGAGAGAAACTTAGCTCAGAATATCTGAGCTAGACAGGTATACCTTACATAGAGTATGATGACGACGTTACGATAGATGCTAGATGGAAGGGTTGATAGATTTCTTTTCATTATTTGTGGTATTCGACCCTCTTGCGGGGCTGGAAGATGGTGGTATTTGATCTTTATCATTCCTTGCGCCTTTTGTGGAAAGGGTAATCGGTGCTTCTCCCAGTTGTGAAGGTTGGGCGCATTGGTCTGGCTATCCTCTTTCGACTCGCCCTCGTCTTGGGACACATACTGTCCTCCGACCAAGTACGAACGGTAGATTCTTTCCCCGCCTCCCTTTTCTCAGCCTCAGTAAATTAGACATAACAGACAACCCCGGTTGTTTTTCAATCTCATCCTTTCCAGCCATGGCCACTCGAAATTCCGCAACCCGTCACCCTTGCAAGTACCGGGGGACACGGGAAAAAGTGCAACACTCAACCAAGCAAAACAAATGTCGAACAGTAAAACAAACTCCGCATCCAGAGATCCCAAATACGAAATACACCCATGCCATAGACTAGCAAGCGAGCGAGTAGCTAGCTTAGAATCCCCGACCCCGGCCTCGGCCTCGCCCCCTTCCACGTCCCCGTGGGCCACCGCGACCAGCACCACGACCACCGCGATCGGCCTCCTTGCGCGCCTTGTTCTTCGGCTTGGGCGTATCGTCGATGAGCAGTGTGTCTAGCGGCAGACTATCAGGTAGAATGTAGTAGCGGATCGTCGAGCCTCGGATGTTGATCGTGTCGAGGGAGATGGGGTCACGGCCTTTAGGCGTCATCTTGACAGTTCGGAGAGAGGTGTTCATTTGGGGGCTGACGGAAGTGATGGTTCCGTGGAGAATTGTGCCTAGAGAACGATGGTGTGAGTGGTTGATTTGTGTGGTCAAGTTCGAGGTTTCAGGTGCAAGTGATAATGATAGGAGATAGCAAAGGGACGAAGCAAAACGTACCATTCTTCAACTCGACAGTCACCGTCTCATTGGCGCATTTCATCAAGAATCTAGGTTCGATGTGTTAATGCTGCTATTCTTGGGCAATGGGGGAGCTTCGACGCAAAGCTCGTGACGGGATTTTAACTCACCGAACAAGCTTCATGGTGGTGGCGGTATGCGACTTCGCTGGCGAAATGAGAGATCCAAATAATACACTAGAAAAAGAAATCTGTGCGGGGAGCCTGTTAAACCGGCCGTCAACGGTGCTTGCTGGGTGATTGGCTTTGGGGTCGATTTCATGTCGTTCATTTTATCTTGATCGCGGCTCATCAGAAATGCTGACTGACCTAGCGGTCACGTGATCACAGTGCTACACAGGTGCAGCTACATTGAAAGTTTTACAACAGCCCATGGATTGTTTATCTAGATAGAGATAATGCTGTAGCTGTGTCAATAAATAACTATTTCAGTTAATGTTCCTGGCAAATCGCTTCGTGGTATCTTGCGCCCAACAAGAAGACAAGTCAGATATCACCAACGCCCACGTCTCGCTTATACAGAAAGAAACCTAAGTCATAGAACACCATGTCTGGCTTTGAAAATAGCAATCTTATCATCGTAAAAGAGTATTTCCCGCAAGCGGAAAGACAACCGGGGTCGACCGTTGTCGTAGTCTGAAGCATCATCGTCGCCTAGTGAATGACGATCGTCTTCCGACAAATCGGATTGTGAATCAACCGTCATCCCTTCGTCGTCATCATCGGAATCTTCATCATTCGTATCTGAACCAGCCCAGTTCTCAGCGCCAGGGACAAACCCCTCACTGTGAACATCATCTGCCTCGGAATCGTATTCATTGCCTTTACCTTCGAGAATCTCATAGCATTTATTCTGCATGCCCACATAGCTGATGTTAATCTCCGGCCGTAGCGTCACGATGTCGAGAACCTGCATGGCGAGCTCTTTCAGGTCGAGATGAACAGGACGGATAATGTGAGGAATATGGAGAGCTCGAAGTTGAGGAACAGAAGGTAGTCTTTGCAGGAAATAGTGCTAGTTACGTTGGTCAGCAGATATCCAAAACAAGTCGATAGCAATGTCTTACCCAGTCTTTAGAGTCAATTGTCATAGAGAGTTCTTTCAGCTTAGGCATGCGCCCACTTGTCATGAAGGTAAGGACCTCTCGTGTGAACATCCATTTTCTCCAGCGGCTAGTTCCTATTTCAATCCCTGCGGTAGATCGTTCGGTGCTATCCACCAACAACTTCCTCAAACTCATCCGATGGTTTCGGATCACATTCCGGTATATCCCTTCAATGTGGACAGCGGAGTCATGCATGGGGGCCCCATGAAGGAAAACAGTCTCGAGCGTGTCAGGTCGAAGAGTATCCTTGATGAAGAGCAAAAGATATGGCGAGACTGCATCGGTATGAATATGCTTTATTTTCAAAGGGTAATCAGGCGAACCCTTCTCTTGAATTGTCCCTCCGTTTCTGCCATTTTTTACGCACGGTGTAGAAGAGGGGGGAAATCGGCGACGAAGGCCTCTCCAGAGTTTTTCATGACCTTCGCAGCGAAGGATGGTGAGCGTGGTAAGTCGGGTCCAATCAATCGTATCTAGTAAAACAGGTGCCGAGATAGGCACACGCTCCAATTCGAGGATTTCCAATTTTAAGAATTGACGATCAGAGTCAGGTATAGAGGGGTATATTGCTCTTGACGACCTCCTTGAGCCCTCTCTTGGAGCTTTGACCACAGTCGATTGGATTGGATGCGTTGGCTGAGTGTTAGATGGTGGAATATTTCCAGCGTCAACAATATCTTGTGCTTCTACTAAATGATGTACTGGTGTTACATCAAGAGTGTGCAAAGAGAGCCCTTCGATCAGAGTGTTAACGGAAGCCGGCGTTTCAATTTGGGTGGAACTATCTCCAGATGCAATCTCTTCTTCAGCTTTAACCGTATCTTTCTGTTTCAAAGAAGACTGGCGGCTATGGCGTCCAGGCCAGCCGAGTATTGCCCCAAGCACTCCGCCAGCTCTCGGCCAGCCCGATATGGGATTTGCGGATGTGGCTTGTTGTTCTGTTTGAGAGCCCCCCTGTGGTTTCAGCCATTCGGCCTTATAAACCTTTGACGAAAGGCCAATACGGAGCTCTCTCAGTCTATCGCGCGAGCGTTTAACGAGTACCGACATTTCCTCAAGGTATGACGACTCATCTATGTCGAGAACACTGAGCTTTTTGAGAGCAGGGAGAATAGAGAGCGATGGGTATTCTACATGCCCATATTTCCGAAAGAGTGATGAGCTTGCAGGGGGCGGTATCAGGATATTTTGGGTCTCAGGGAGAGTTAATGAAGATGTGGTAGGGACGCCTGATAAAGAGCGGACCGTATTTTCAGAATTATCGTGCCAACGTATCCAAACGTTCTCCAGACGGCACTCATGTCCTGGCCGGTCTGCTAGTGATGATAGAGCGATCCATACGTCTCTCACGACGCCGGTTGGCATGTCCCAAATGAAAGTCTCCAGGTTTATCATCCGAGCGACAGCTAAGGCAACGAGCGTCCCAAGCATTTTGCCTGTCTCTTTGGTGACTGAGTATTCCTGGACCCAATCTGGTGGCCCATTACCCACGGAAAACTTGCGTGTGTATTGTGCAAAATAGTTTCCACGACGGAATCGGCCGCTATCCTGTTGAGAATGTTGCGCAGGAAAACTGCTCCCGCATTTGGAGCACGGATGCAGCACAGGCTTAGCAGGTACTTCACGGAATATGTCCTCTCCCATAACCAAGGTTGCCAATCCGTAGGAAAGGGCATCCACTCCTCCGGGATGGTCAGACTGCGGGAAAGCATCTGGCCAAACTATATCGAATCGGGAATACATCTGAGGGATCGCGAGTGCGTGGAGTGCGGAACAGGTAAGGGCTAAGGAGGTCAAATCATTCGTATGTGTGACCTAGGAGACCCCAAGTGTTATCATGGATGTAGGAACTCAAATCGGCAGCCTAAAGATACACATACCTCTTTTATGATTTCTTGAAGAAGGTCCACTGGAAGATCCAAGAAGTTTCGACTCCTTGGTGTCTCGGCATCTTTAGCTGATTCGGAATGACCGTTGTTTGAGGATATCTCCGTAGCCTTATCGGCCTTATCGACGTCACCTTTAAGCTGCGGATCTGTAACATTTAGAGTGTGGTCATGTTGAGTACGGAGCTTGGGCGCAGCAACTTCTTCATCGGGGGATTGAAGCGTCTCTATCTGGTGATCGTGAGGCCCTGATGTTGTGCTCGCGGAAGAATCAAAGCCGTCTTCTTCATCACATATCTGCTCCAGGTCAGATATGGCGCCGGCATCTGCGTAGGCGCAACTAAGATCGGCCATGGTGGCGGGATGATACTGCGTCAAGTCGAGAGAGCGGGATCATAGGAGGAGGAAAGGGCAAGGCGATAAACAGACTGTCGCCCGGAAGAAACGGGAACCCGCTCCCTTGACGTCTGCGGATGAGTTAGAAACTGGCGGATGAAAGTGGAACGGACGAGGCTGGATCCAAAACAGACCAGATGATGAGCAGCAGAGTGGATAGGGCGTGGCGGGAAATGCTGGCAAATAAGCCGTCTAGAACAAAGCTACCAATCACGGATTGTAAGACCAAGGCGGGCAAACGCTCCCATTCGGACCCCTGACAGGAGCTGATGCCCTGCTCTGAATCTCACCTGGTGAAGAACAGGCAGAAAAGAGTGAAGTAGTCGCTACGATCTCATGGCCCCGAACGAGCAAAAGCATCAAGCTGGAGCTCCTTGGTGACGGTTACTGGTGCAGGGACTCCTTCAATCTCGGCGGGGCTTTTGACTGAATTCTGGGGCTAACCGTAGTGGGGCGCTTAGGCTACGTATTTTCGGAGTGCACGTGCCATCGTCCCAGCTCTCCAGAATCCATGTAGTGTGTAGTCGAGTCTGTACCCATCAGAAAAAGGCTACATAAGAAATAAATAACGGTTCTCATGTGTACACAACATAATAGAAGCTCAAATTATACAAAAAGCGCATAAATTAGATAACAAAAAAAAATCTATAAAGAGATACCTCAGTCCCCACTCTACTCGGAATGAATTACTTCACGAATACGTCCAACGAAACCTTCAAGACCAGAGGGCGAGCTGGAGCCCTCTGCGGAAGCTAAAGCAGCCGACGCACCCGGCATAAGAAGCACCCTGGACCCAACCTCCACCCACTCAGCCGAAGTAACGAAAGAAAAGGTGATATCGATATTGCCTTCTACTGCATTGTCCGAGGTATTGATCATCTTATTCACTTCCGGCTTGCTCGGCGAATCCGCGTCGAAACTGAAAAACTCCGGCTCGGTGGGAGACGGTGGTGATGATATGATTTCATCACCGGCCAGGGCCATGCACGTCAATTTCACTGTCGTCCGAACATTTGCAATATAGGCGATCGCATTGCCACCCAATAACACTGGTGGTGAGAGGGAAGACGAGAATTCGCTAGCGGCGAAACTCGCGACAAATCCAGTAAGGGTCGGCAAAGGGCGAGAAACGGAAGACATAGACTGGTTAGCTAAGATGACACCCTTTCGAATCTTGCCAAGGCGCGGAGGTTGCTCGTCTGCGGTCGTCCACAGGGGTTCGATTCCAATCGTGCCGACTTGGTCCTCTGTCAATTTCTGGACAGGCAACCGTAGGCTTCGAGCACTAACAACCCGAACACGCTGCCAATGCACTTGCGTTGTCGACAAGGTCTTTGGCGGGTATGAGCTCGGGGGGAAGGAGCTTGAGAAATCACCAGATGGGGGTCGGCTGCGGTATGAGCCGTATTGTCTAGGCCTCTGGGAACCCGGACTATTCTCAGATTCTAGAGGGGCACTAGATATGAGAGGCCCAATTACGAGCTCATCGCCAACAGAAATAGAGCCATAGCGGATCAAACCACAGAGAACCACGCCATGATTTTGTTGGCGCTGTTCTGAGTAGACTTTTGACGGAGGGATCGCAAATACCTCATCAACGTCGAAAACAGTCGTTGGATGTATTGGATATGACAATGAATTTGGCATGGTGAGAGTTCGAAGGGGTGGTCTCGACGGGATTGGCAGATTTCGAAGCAATGCATGTAGCTTGTCCACTCCCGAGCCATCGACAGAACTAGTAAGTACGATGGGCACTGTTTCCATCCAATCATGGGTTGCAGATATCAGCTTTTTCACTTCTGCTGCGTCTGGCGACTTTATATGCTGGAGGTTTACAGCTTTCTGAGACGAATTGGATGGGACAGGGAGCATCGCCGGCTTCTTGCCCGAGACCTTCAATGCCGACAGCACCTTCGCGAGAATATTTCTCAAGCCAGCCCGTGACGCAAGATCCATCTTAGTGATAACGACAGCAAGCGGTATTTCTAGTTTCGTGCAAAGTTCCAGGTACGACAAGGCCAGGTTCAAGTCCATCGGTTGCTCTGACGTATCAGAGCCAGATCTGACAGATGCCTCTTCCTCGCAAGTGGCAGCAATGCAAAGAAACACATAGTGGGGAGCCCAGCTGACTAGTCCTCGTAAAGTAGACTTCAGGTACCTCACGGAGCCGGGAAGGTCGGAAACGAAAGCCAATCGGCCGCCTTCTGAAGCTGCATGGATGTCGTCCCATGCTGTAACATTCCCTGAAGCGTAGTTGACCACATCAACATCCTCAGAGGACGAAGTATTCGGGGCGTAGCCGATAAGTTCATGAGCGACAGAGCTAGTAACCCCAGATGAAATCTCGTGCCTGTGCTTTAATAGGCCCAGTCTGCTCGTCCCTCTTCCATTGTCCAACACTGACGACGTTAGCGTGCCCAGAAGTGAAGATTTGCCGACAGTATTTGGGCCCGCTATAGATACTCGGATTTGATCAGTGTTCGACGTATATCCATCGGGTCCCGGGCTCTTTGTGGCATCCGACATCGTCATATTCTCTAGCGATTCGGACTTGAGCAATTCTACGCGATAATATTCCCAGTCTGGGCTCACCAGTGCCTCCGCAACCCAAAGATCCTCGGAGTGCACCTTACTCAGATTCGCTTCCTGAGTACCCGGATCCTCCATCCATTCACAGTTACCGACGATCACTCTGCGGAGGACTTCTATTTTGCAACCCAAACTAGAAGCCATGGCCTGTAGGTTCGACAAGCTCTCCTCCAGTTCATCGTGAATGAGCCCTACGAACGTTCCGTCGTCGGCGACCCCAATCTCATACAGCGCACCCTGGCTCTCTTCAAGACCAGGTAACAGCCGTGATGGTTTCGGAGTCGCCCCCAATCTAGGCGTTGCTTCAGGGAGAACAGGAAGCACAAGATTAGCCGTTGTAGAAGAGTGGAACGGCGATGACTGCTGCAAACGCCATAGCAGCTGGGTTGTCAATTGCTGTAAGCGTTGCTGGCGGCTGTCCGTTGAGCGAGACTGTGGCTGTCTCAAGTTCGGCTCCTCACTTGGGGTTGTGGAGGACGCTGCGGGTGCGGGACCAGACGTGGACAAGCTTGCACGGAAATTATATGACCCACCCACGAGATGACCCGTAGACATTGCAGTATAGGGCCTCCTGGGACGCAAGAGGAGATGCAGTTTGTACTCGGTGGGACCCTCTTGCGGTTCGGGTTCAAGTTTCGAAATCCCATAGTCAGAAAGAAAATCATGCCCCGCACTCTCCAAGTTTGTGCTGGAGCGGGTGCGAGTGGTCGTGCTTCTGTTGCCAGCCAAGGCAGCCTGTGGAGTAGAAGACCCGGACGTTGACCAGGGTGAAGATACCCTGGGGGGATCCGGGTCGTAAGTAAATACCGACGCCATGGTATATTAACGACCGTTAGAGCGGGAGGAATGGGAGGTATCGGGGGAGAACCAATAATCAAGTAAAAAGGTACAAAGCGGCAACCAAATCAGGCAAATATTCGGGTCTCTCCAGGTATACGCAATTGTATTTTATTTGTATATCGGTGGTGTTTTAGTCCTTTGCGTAAGCTTTGTATTTCATATAAAAGAGTCATCTTGAGGTGTAACAAGTACTGACGGGTTGACAATCGACGTGACAAAGGGTGTGGGAGAACAACTTGTTCAAGAGAGAATAATACTGCTTTAAAACATTCACAAAGACAGATGCAATAAGGCAATTACAAGAGAAATGACATTTTGAAGAATGAGTCACAAGTTGTTGCAGTTGATGCATGTCTTGAACTGTTTAGGGACACGGAGGCTGAGAGAAGATCAGGTGATGTGGATGGTCAGGTATGACGTAAGCATCCACTCCCCCACGTGTGGAGCAAGTAAGGGTCCCTTGCGCGATTCAACGGCTGTTTATTTTGAACCCTCGTAAGCACGTTAAAAGAAGGGCCTGGTACGGACCTTCTTTCATAGATCCTAGCCGGATGGAGACCTCCAGAATTTACAGCTTTCACTCTGCGAAGTATGTGTGCCTCGCCTAGTTGAAAAACGTATTGAAGTGAAAAGCAGCATACGATATATATATACTAGACCACACATTCATCCCGGATTCTTATTATTGAACCACAATTCGAGATCGAATCCCCGGGAAATGTCTGATATATAGCGGGTGATTAACTTTGAGATTTCTGTAGTCTAGGTTTACTTTTAAAAGTAAAAATATTTCGTCCGATGGATGCGGAGGCATGACCGTATTTGTTGCGCACCTTTGCTAGCAGGTCAATCTAGGAGGTGTGATTTGGCATGTATAGAGAGAACAGTGACAGAAACTAGATGTGAATTATTTGGATCACTGGGTATATGCAGGGGATAGTCATGCAAAATTAGTATTTAGTCAAAAACTAGGCATGCAACTAAGTCTGCGTGGGGCCTATCCCAAGGCCTCTTGGTAAATTCTATTTCAACCCTGTTCCCCAGTAACACCGATGTTCTGACAGCCAATTATGCGCCTTGTAATCCTTTCCGAGATGAATATAACGAATGCCGTCATGAAAAGATCGAATGAGCATCGGCGCTTGTCCCAAACAGAGCCGCCCCGTGGAAACCTAGGTGGCACTCTTCGCAAAAACTAGGTACTTTGGAAGTAAAAGCGTTCTAATTGCGACAGACACTTGTACTTGGTGTTCAAACCACAGGTGGATTGTATGAGCGCCGAGGCCCTTTGCCAGATTTATCTTCCTACCAGCTTTGGCCGCTAGGTTGAGGATTCCCTCCCCACTCCTTTGCATTTATCTTGGGAAACATGGATATTTCTCGCCGTCGTGCGCGTGAAGACGGCGCCACAGTTGGGACATTCGGCCTTGGCTACGACACCGGATTTCTCCCTTTGGTGGCGCAGAAGATTGCTAAACGTCGAGAATTCGCGGCCATTACAGCCGTGGTCGAAGCATTGCGGTTTTGGTCGATAGCTCACTACCCGTGGATTCTGTATATCTGTAGATACTGGGGTAGATTCAGGCGATGAGTAAACCGTGCCGGATGACATTAGTGGTTGTGGTTGAGGACTGGCAGCTATGGACCCGGCGTTTGAGCTAGCCGTTCACACCATGTTAGTGCGCAACATATAATGAAACAGGGCCGTTGAAGTACTTACGGTACTGAAGAACCATGAGGGAGATAATAGTCGTGCTGATTAACAAGATATGAAGGCGGGCTAGCAATCCGTTTGTCAATGGCGTGTTTTCAATGACTTATAGACAGCTATGAACTCACGAGGGCGTAAATACGTGCTCTTGCATTGCTGGAGAGCTGATAGGCAATGTACTGGGTGGCACTGTGCTGGCAGTAGGGAAAGAATATGGTAAGGATGCACTGTTCCTTCAGTTCGTTAGCCACTTTTAAGCCAGTCTGATCAAACAGATAGAAACCTATTTACCCTCTAGGTTGTCGAGTTTGCGGTGCACCTGGGTGCTGTGGATAAAAATACTGCGAAGAAGGAGGACCACCTTGGTAGTTTGGTGGCGCTGACTGGTGATGTTGAGGGTATCCAACACCTGCGCCTGCAGCGTACCCAGGATGTGGAGGGAGGCCGTTGGACTGTGTGAAGCCCTGTTGATCCATGGGCATTGTTGATGGGTGGTGAGGTTGTGGTGATCGTTGTTGCCAGCCGTAGCCTGTCGCAGGTTAGATTGAGATGCGTGATGGAGATCTTGAATTGAAGCGTACCGTGACTGTTGTGATTGCTATGACCGTTATGGCCGTTATGATTGTTGTTTGCCATAATTGAAGAAAGTGTCGGGTACGATTTCTTGATTATGGGGCTGATTTGGAATTCGTTTCTGTTTCTCAGTGTCGGAACTGCTGCTGATGAGCTTGGGACACTGTCTAGCTGTGTGGGGGCTATTCTTTGGCCCGACAGACAACACAGAGAGATTGGCTGCAGCTCGTAAGCCGTGGGGTCAGGCTTGGGTCAGGCTTGGGTCAGGCTTAAATAAAGAGACGGCGAGCAGCTGGATTGATTTGAGCTGCCAACGACTAATTTCGACCCGAATGTGTCAGTGGTCGTGGTACTTGAGGCAGTGCTAATAGTCCCTTGAAGCCTTTGGAAGGCCCGGACAAAGACACAGAAAACAACACCGCCTTGTTCTGAGCTGCCAGAGATCTCAGTGGAGTAATACTAGGCAGTAGTTTGTGGAAACCGCTTTGCTGTGAAAGCTAGAGCCGGTCAGCTTCCATATGTGGCCATGTGTGCACTGGGGATATCCTTATTATCCTGGAGGGGCATGTGAACTGATAGACGATATGTGTGAGGCTCCCGCCGGCAGACGGATCAATGATCAAACAGCAGATCTCTCGGCCACACGGGAGAGAAGAGACATTGATCCCATCAATTCATCGGGCACAGGCTAAAGGTCTAACGCAGACAGATCGGGGAGAAACAATGGATTGGAACGGGGAGGCTGTGATGAGATGGGGAGTGGGAGAGGAGGCTTGGACCTACGTGCAAGCTGCATGCGAACGTTGTAAGATGGATGGAACTCGAGCAACACGAGGAGTAGGGACAACCGTGCATTTGCTAGGATCGAGTCTCCAGATACACCACCCTGAGGCTATCCCCGTATTTAAGAGTCCCGCACTGCAAAGTAGTGGGATAGCAACAATAAATAAGAGCAGAGCAGACTCGAGTAAGGCAGGATGAACAAGAAACGAATAAGCGTGGGCCGGTGCCGGACCGACTTCGTTCGCTTGAAGCGCATTTGCAATTTGCCAGGATGAGCAGAGCGAGCAATAATAAGAATTCTTATTATTATTCTGGTTTCGAGCTCAGCTTACTTCCTCATCCCATGCTCAACGCTCATCATTTTTTAATTATAAATTCCCAGCGCTCGGCTGGCGGAGATTGAAATTACGGCCTGCTTGGCCATGCGCTTTTATTTTTGTTTTCCTCTTCTGACTCCGGACGACAGCCATCCTTGCCTTTGCACATGGCCAACATGAGGTGTTGTTTGCAGCCTCGCCTCCAGACTTCAGCCGTGGCATCACTCGCACACACAACTTCCACTTAACATCAGACACCAGGGTCGTCTGTATTCACGAGTTCTTGTCCGTCCATCTATCTCGTGCTTCTCTCCCTTTCCTTGCTCGCCTCACGCAGATCGTGACTCAGAAGCTTACACTCTGACTGGCTAGGGCAGCTTGCGAGAAGAAACGGTGTGCATCCACTCCATACCACTCTTGACCTTGGGAGAGCCGATCCAGAACGCTGGATACCGAAAATAGCTTGCGAGTCGATTATTGGCAACTCCGTTGCCTGTGAGCACCACATGAATATTTTTGTCTTGTCAGAGACGGTACGGCCAACGGCGCCGCCGTCAACGATTCCCTACTGGACCCGAACTCCACCAGCGGAGGAAAGGCAAGAATGGCGCTAAAAAATCCAGCAAACGGGGACAGGGCTCTATCAGAGCTTGGGAGACCCGGGGAAATGAGCTCCTTTCCTTGGTCTCAGTCTCACCCTCTCAGTTTGGCCTCTCTGACCCCGTAACCCCCGGTACAAAACGATGATTGCGCAGAGCGTGATTCCATATTTTTCTTCTTTTCGGCCCCAAGACGAGAGTATCGAGACCCACTGCTCGTTGGCTTTAACCCTTTCCTTCATAGCCGTTTAGCAGTGATTTCATTCTCCCTCTCTCTCTCTCTTTTTTTTTTCCCTTTTTTTTTCCCTTTTTTTTTCCCTTTTTTTTTTCTGTCTTAGTTTTACGACGGTAATTTGGTTTTTGCTTTTTTATTCCGGCGGTGGCTGTTCTTCCCCTTTTCCGTGCTTGCTGGCTCGCCTGAATATTCCTTCTCCATCCCGCTTGGCTTGCCCTTTTTGCAAATCTGGCAAGTTGACTGACCAGGAGTCCATGATAGGCCCCTCAACCCGAAAACGGCAGCAATGGCCATAAAGTACCTGACGGGAGTGATGCCTCATCTCTCGGGGATTCGCGGAGTGGTACGAGATCGCCGTGTTACGAAAAATGCAGTGCGCGATCTCGGCCACATGGCGACGGGCAGCGGACAGTTGAATCAAAAATCCCAGCGACCAGTTCCCCGGTCAGAAATTGGTTGGTTGGACCACCCTGTTGCCGGGAAGTGTCTGGTGGGGAGAGGTCTAAAAAGCGACGACACTTGCTCCCACTAATCAGCGGCTGGAATCTGACAGTGACTGTTGGGGTTTGGAACGGGGTAGACGTGAGACTGGCTCTGATTTCCCCGACTGGCAGTGCGGACTGCGGATAGGACTTTTGGTCTGATATTTGGCCCCCAAACTGGGAGTAAGGCTGCTAGCCAGCCACACTGACTAGTTTAACGCTGACCCGACAGATGCTTTGGTTTGGGCCTCTGGCTATCATTTCTTGTTACGCTCGTGACGGCGTAAGACGGCGAGGAACGGGAAGGTTGAAGTTTCCTGAGTCTCTCAGATCCTTAGGGTATAGATGCACTTCGCTTGAACCCGACTTCCTCGGTAAATTGAAGGATGTTTATTGTCTCACATCTGGCTATTTGATGACTTTCAAGTTTTCAACAATCATTGTTATCAACGCTAAAATTCCATGGACTGTGCGCGAATACGATAAATATCACATGGTGGTGGCCCACACAGGTCGAACGTCAACTGTAAAACATTGGTCAAGGACTTCTGATCAAGCGCTGAGGCGGAGCCTGTCAGGCGAGACTCGAGGACACGCCTCACCCCCTGATGGCCAGCGCAGCATGATTCCAAAGGGGTGATAACTTCCCAGAGTTGTGGTAAGTGTTTTTGACAGCTCGGGAAAGGATCGACTAGGATCAAGAAAGACCATGCGAACATCCAAACTTCAAGGGCCCTCCTGTGTCGTCAGAAAACATTCGGTTCTCATCTCTTAAGGCAAGACACCGGTCTTTGCTAGTGACGAGACAACCACCAATAATCAATGAGACTGCGTCAACCAAAGTAAATTAAATTGACTGCCCACCGCGAGTATTTTTACCCCAAATACGAGCTGGTTTACCTGATGCTGACAGGTGGCTTCGTCGACTTCCGGAAGACCACTTCCTGGCGCCGCGTTACGTGTCCCACTAGTCGAGCTTATCGGCGCTTTTGTCTCGTCCCGATTAGTGCCTTCTTCCTTTCCATCTCCACAACAGGAGAAGCCGCCCATCCACCCCAGCCCCGTCGTCGCTGAACTGAACATTGGGGCCGTTTCTCGGCGAAACGTTTCCGAAGGGACCTCTGACAGCGATTGGAGAGCCACGGACGAGCTTTTCGTCCCCTCTGCTTGATCCAAGTTGGAAATACGGGACAAGATGTCCCAAAGCTCCGACATTATCTCAAGCCGCACCTGCTAATTACCAACTTACAATACAAGAGACAAGGAAGTGAAGTTCGCGCTCTCGTAGTCGAAATTCGACCAGTCAGAGGGCTGTTTCGTATCTTCTCATTCCGACCTCTTTCTTCTTGGATAGAATGAACCTGATTCGCTCTGCTCATGACCACGCGGGCCAGGATTTGGAGATCTGCTTGGGTTCCACGTGCGCGGTGGCACTTTAATCGATCCTGCTGGACCTGCTGCCTGACTCCTGGTTTCGAGAAGCCTGGGTGGATAGCCAAGGGCAAAAGTAAGCCTTCTTTGTTGCCTTCACAGATTCGTTGTCGGTATGCTCCCTCCGAGCCGGAGGAATGAGCGTCTCCGGCCTGTGGGGATACGTCCAACCATGGATTTTCGTATCGGTCGAACCCGGCTTCTGGCATTGACACTTGGACGAAGTCTGTTGAGCCTTCTCCCCCACCTCAGAACCGTGGTACCATCCTTCCGTTTTGTGACGTTTGATATTATTTTGATTTCAGCCGTATCTACTCGTGAGGGCAGGAAAGGTCTTGCACGGAACCTTCCATTCCACCCGCATGACGATCTATTTCGTCTAATTGGGCCCTTGGATGACCAGAGCAAGCCTTTGAAGCCTTGTCAGCCTTCACGGGCGTGTTAACTAACTAATTTCCTTAGTTTTTGAAACCGCGAACAGCGAGGCCAGTATGGGAGCCGGAATATTAATCCTGAATGGCTAAAGACCGCCCAGCTCTGGCAATTACCACGACGGGTGTCAAGCAAAAGGCTTTCCTGTCGTCAACATCGTCGATCACAGGAGCACCATGCCCATACTAATGAGGACAAAGTGAGACAGCATGAAACAATGTTATTATGACAACTGAACCGTGTTCCTTTATATTATCCCTCCCTCTCTCTCTCGATATCCACCAAAGCCAGGACGCCGCGGCATTCCTTGTACTTGATGCTCGATTGCTCATTTTACGCAAGGCCGAAACCCTTGCACCTCAGGACCACCAATAACTGCAAGCGGGAGGATGATCCAGATGTTTGATGAGGTATTTGTGCCCCTGGAAGCGCCTTGGCTTTTGTAACGCCTCTCGTTGGTGTAAACCGTTAAACGGTTGATCATCCACATTAACTCTTATGTGACGATGATTATTCTAAAAACTTTGTCCGGATACTGTGTGGTACAATCAACCACTGCCTGACATCTTCATTCCCGGAATGACTCGCTCCTCACGAGTCATCCACGCAGGTTTTCGCTTTGCGTTTCACGAAAAAGAAAACCGCAGCCAACGGGCCTTCGACAGGGTCGACTTGTGGCGGATGCGCGGGATCATGATACGTCCTCGATCGAGACTCGGCGGGTCGTTGGCGTTTCGGGGTTCGGCCATCCGGGCTCCATCACTGCCTCACGACGAGCGGCACGATTCTCCAACTGGAGCTGGTCCACAAGCCAGTGCCCACTAACGTTCGGTTTGAGGTGGAGCCCCTTGCTGCCAGATTCAGAATGCCAGATCATTGTTGGCGATGTGACGCCCACGGTGGCTTGGTGGGAGACTGGCAGTTGGGGGGCTTGGGGAAATAATGGGGTCACGGATACGGGATTGCTTTATCGAGAGTTCGAGACGTCGAGGGTGGGTCGGATTGGCGAATCGTGTGCAAACCAGTACGTACCTGAGCTGGTCATCGAGCGTCGAGTGACTTCACTCGAACTCTGGCTTTTCCTGACGGTCAAAACAGTCTGACTGGATGACGCCCTGGAATTGGTGCTGTCGTATCTTCTTGACGCTAATCGAGCTTTGTACCCACGATTCACGAAGCAGCTATCACACCATCGCTTTCTCATTACGGAGGACTGTACACCACCAGTCGCTTTGGGCCGCTTCGAATTTTTGTCCTGAACTTTGCCATGTATGATTTGAGGGGCTTTCTATTCTTCCGATTTTATTTTTATTTTTATTATTTTTGATTTATCCCCCCCCTGGCCGCAGAACCGCTCCCAAATCCCAATTGCACGCTGACATGGAGCCGAATCTGAATGGGCCAGTCATCTTCCCCCATTATTGGGTCGAAATGAGAACGGCGTGGCTTGCAAAAGATGACCAGAAATACGTGCTCATGTGAAACCGTTATTTGTTTTTCCAATGGCGTCCCATGATACGTAACCTCGGATCTCGAGCTCCAGCCGGTGTGCTATCAAAATACGAATTCGGGTGCAGGGATGGCAGCCCGCTGGGTCAGGACTCAGGACTCAACACGTCTCTGGGCCTCCTTTTTGATCCTTCCGTACGCGGGGCAGTGTCGATCGGCTCGAGGCGTTCGTGACCCGTGGCCCGTGGGACCATGTAAGCCCAAGCCCAAGGAGGGTTTCTTCCACTGCCACACTTAGTATCTCACGATCTACTGGCAGATGTCTGGATGACAGATTAGGGGCACAAGTCATCTCGGAAACTGCGTAATCCAATTATCCAACATCTCATGAACAGCAAAGCAACAACCTCAACCTTGATTTTTTTTTTTTTTTTTTTTTTCCCACCTTACATCCTTTGAACGGCACGGCCCGAGGATATTGTGCATCCCAGTGGCGGTGTGGGATTTGCCGTTCCAAATCCGACGAGCAGAGGGCTCTTTTCGGGACCGCGGTTTGCTGTGTCTCCGACGAATCGAGGCCCGACAGTGAAAATTTAACGTGATACAACATGGACGAAACCTCACGGTTTTCTTCTTCCTATCGGTTAATAATCGCTGACTCGTTTGTGTATCTCACTTTCGGTTGAATTTCGGGAACCAGAAGAATGTTCCTCGATACGAAAGGCAAGGGATCTGCCATCTGTCAACATTCAACCAACCTTCGTCGACTCATGCTTGTTACCAGACTGGAGTACCGCCAACCGTGAAAAGGGCAGACTGGGTGTAAGCTAGTCAGAACATCTATAATTCTTTTATTGAGTGTCATTCGACACAATTCACTCTATTTGTTCGCCGCATTCGGACATGGAGGCCATGAGACACCCGGCCTCCAGTTGCTTACCATGATAAAGCCTGTAAATGACCCCGAGAAGCGAGCTTGCTGCCGTGACCGTGTAGGTGAGGTCCAGTGTCACACGAATTATCTCGCTTTTTGGTTGAAATGCATCCCTAATGGGCACAACGACAAGTTTTGATCACCATAAACCGAGCTGCTGCTTATGCTATGCAAGAGTGTGACTACAAAAGGGGTGAAGACCTTGTTATAACCAATACTTACCGATGACGGTACGGCCGTATGGAATAGATCTGAGGTGAGTTAAATTGTCCTCTCTGGTATCAGGAGGAAAGCACCTCGAGACGCTTTACGTTGAGGCTGTTTTATCTAGGCACGCCTGAATAAAGGGAATATATTCGAGATAATTCGAGATAATTACATCCTCAGAATAAGCCATTCATGGTAGAGCCAGGCGAGTTAAGCCACTCTTGGATCTCCCCAGACCGTCGGGATTGCGTGAAAAGAAACAGGAAAAAAGGCACGGGATCAGCTATCTAGCTGAGTGGCTGCTGCTCCAGCAATTCCTTGACACCTACGGATACTTGTCTGTTTGAGATGGATTCTCCAAAGAGCTCATCTATAGCATGTTGAGATTTTGGAACTTAATCTATATCTTTGTTTATTCTACAAGAATGCTGACTAAAAAGGGTGGTGGAATGTAGACACTCACATGACTCTATCCAGAGCTCGCTTCAATTCTTGGGCTTGCTCATTCATACTGTGCCACTTCTTCTTTCATTGCTCTGGCCCATTTACAGAACTTATAATGGCTGCCTGATGGCCGGTAATCCGACAGGCTTAGGGTGTCGGCGTTATCGGGCTGGAAGATCTACTATCAGGCTCTGAATCTTGTAGATAACCGTTCCCGATGAGGCGTTGAGCAGTCTCATCGATTGTGTGTCTTCGTGACGGCCAGTCCCGGCTGAAAACTGTCAAATGAATAGCCAGTCGTATACAGGCTTCCACAAGCCGTACTTCATAGTGACCAGGGTCGAATTCAGCGTATCAGTCCTCCTCCTAGCTGCTAGATGCTATGCACCACTGCGAATTGTGAAATCTAACTCACCTGATCTACCTTTGGCAATTCTTACTTTTGTATGCCGTCTATTATAGCCTCTACTAAGTTATTCTGGATCAATTAACCTTGACCTCAGATATTTGGTGCCGCAAGCATGGCAGTCCTCACTATTGCCGCAGAATCAGGACTTGGTGTCAGTGGGATAACCCTGAATAACAATGATCAACTCAACGCTCTTTTTTACGGGTGGCTCAATCAGTTCCTGGCACTCATTGCAATCGGTCTGGGAAAAGTCACGATTGTAACCTTTCTCCAGCAAATCCAAGGCTACCATACGGTCTTTCGCACGGTGCTTCTCTGGATCTTAGCAGGCAGCACTCTTATTGTGAATTGTATTGCGGCTGCATTGCTCATCACCCAATGTGATCCGGTTCAGGGGCTCTGGGATGATTCTATTCCTGGTTCATGCCAGGGTCGAAAGCGGATCCAGGTGTTTGGGTACGTGCAAGGAAGTAAGTTGATCGACCTGCCCTGCCATTGCTCCCGGATATATTGGTTACGAATGCAAATAATTTAACTTAGCCTGGTGCTATATTAGCGTGGTCTGCCTTTTGTGACTTTGCTCTGGCCCTACTCCCGGTTTTCCTTTTTGCGGGGATTCGGGCCATCTCAGTCCCAGCGCGTATAGGGCTGAGCCTTTTGATGGGAAGTGGAGTAGTGTATGTCAATCGCCACCATTTTCGTATCTAAACCCTCAGAATGCATTCTAATAAGCCACCGAGCGTAGTGCTGGCGGCTGCGCAGTTGTCAAGGCCATGGAGCTAAGTCGCTTAACATCGTTTACCGACGCAACTCGTATGTATTTTGAGTCTTTTTTCTGATAGAAGTAACACTAGGAGTGTCCTTTAAGTTAGCGTAGAGGGAATCACGAATGTGCCTCGCGATTGAGGGATGCAAGCGGCGTTGTGTTTCGAGAGTTGTATACAAGGGCAATTCTTGAGCTCACTAGCCTTTCAAATAATGAAACGTCGAGAGAATATCAAACGTCACCGTCGTGGTTCTCTTGATAGCTCGTAATTTCCGACTCGAGGACGAGGCTGTAAATGTTGAGGATAGCTGGCTAGCCACCGGCCTTGCAGGGTTTTTGGTGTGGCGGTCTAGCGCCTCTTGTCAGTAAATAGTCACCGATGAGAATTGGCATGCTCGACGGAGGGAAGGAGAGCAGTCAGGAGATGCGCTTCTAGCACCTCTCTTACTGCTTCACATATCGCGACTTTCGCTTGCAGCTTCTGCAGCATTTTCAGATTGTTTGCCATCCCTGAATTTGTAACCCCGATAACGTGAGCTTCAGCCAGACAACGGAGGTCTATCTCGCCGTGACTGTGATGTAACTCGTGCTTAATGTCCGTATGTGTTGAAGTAGTCTGTACAGGTTCAACACAGGTTCAACACAGGCGTTTTGTGCAATGCCATCCACCCGTCGTTGATGTATCCTCATTTTTTCATTTCTTATCATACTGTAGATGTTGACTAGAGTCCCACGAACCACCTCATTGAAGCCAGACACTGCCGAAATTCTCGACGCATGATGGAGGCCCAGATCTGTCACCGTTGTATCCGTATGCGACCCTTCTCGGCTGCCGCATAAGCAAAGTTGACTTACCAGTGTCAGAAGATGGAGATCAGCTGCACAGCACAAGATCGCTGCCTGAGAATACCCAACGGCGGTTAGCGTCCCTGACACCAAAACCGCCGTTCCTTACATAACGGACCATCTACCCCTCGTCGGTTGGTGTCGTGACTTGGCCTGGTGAGTTCCTCATCTCCTCATCTCCAAGGAGAGATCATATTATTACTACTGAGGTTTCTTCTCTGCCATCCCGCTTTGCGTTGGTGAAGTCTACGTTGTTCTGTTTTTTACGCCAATATCTGACAGATACCTTATTCCTCAGGCAATAAAGGCCCATCAGCGGCAACCTTCCGCTTCTTATCTTGTGGACAGCTCCACCGCCTCGCTTTACTCTCGATCTCCCCAAATCTCGACTGTGTTTGTGTGAAGGCCCATACTATTATACCAGGTATATTCTCCGCTATTTGTTATACTTTTTTCCACAATGCCCTGGCTAATTCTGAATAACCAGCTTTAGTAGCTTTATTGTTTTCCGCACCGCGCTCTCTTCAACTACCTGAACCTCTTATAGCCCAAGATCTACCCACGCAATACATAAAATCAGCTAGCTCACCATGCCATCGTTTATGGAGGATCTGTGGTCGAGCATCTTTACTGCGGGCCCTACTCCAACTCTCCTCCTTGCGACAAACGCCACCTTTGCCGCCTTGCAGACCCTCCTCTTCATTCTTCTTCTAGCTACATACAGCATTCATTTCGCTATCCTATCGATTCTCTCGGGTGCACTTTGGTATTCGATCAACTGGTTTGCTCAGGAGTTGAAGCAGGTTCAGGCACAAACAACGGGGGAGGATACGCTATCGGAAAAGGCAGCCGCGGAGACCAAGCAGAGTGATGCGAAACCCCGGGGCGTGGACGGCGCTGATAGTGACACGGAAACAGAAAACTTAGGGGAACGAAAGAGTGCGGGTGATCCTAGTTCGAGCTCACAACCGGCTACTGCGTCCACGTCACTCGGCGTCCCAGGAAGCTCGAGTGAAATTCGAAAGCGCCCTAGTGTGAGCGGCGACAGCTCCGGGTATACGAGCACCGATAGTGAGTGGGAGAAGGTTGATGACAATGCCGGAAATTAACAGACGTCTGCGCTTAACAATCTTGTGAGAATCGGTCTGCCGACTTTGAGACGACTGGGTGTCGTTTGGTTTTATGTGGCGCTGTAGAGACTGTCCGGGCCACGGTATGTCCGGGATAGCCTGTTGCTCCTTGTGCATATTGCCGAGGGCATTCGTACCCTGGAAAGATACCCCATAGATACTGCTTTTTATCATTCATAAATTATATAGTCTATTAACTAAGTTCCCAGTTTTTGTTTTAACTACGCGAGTGATGTTGATGACCGCGGCGGAAATCTGCCTGTGGAGTATAGTAGCTTGCCTCAGGCTAATGCAGCTCTTATCTTATCGATAAGCCGCTGACTCATCCGACGCGCTAACGCCCGAAGCAGATCGCGGGTTTGTTATGGATTTACTCTCTTGTTAAACAACGACGTTTGACGTCCATATCTGAACCAGTTTCGACGATATTTCCTCGATAATGCCTTGCGCTTGGCAAATATTGCAAATATGACCCCGGATTCGTCGATCTGCGTGGGTCGCAGCCACATATTGGGGTCCGTCTTCCCCCCCGCATCCTCGGACGACTTCATACCAGGACTCGCACCGAGGACGAGATCTTCACAACGAGAGGGATCAATACCAGAGAATGGAAAGTGGGATCGAGCTTGGCGGGGGGTGACATCGTTTCTTTCAATCCCGGACGGAGAATTTGAGCAGCTAGTGCTTCACAATGAAGAGAGCGACGGGGAGTTTTTGAAGCAGTGGAATCGACACAAGAAGCCATTGAAGGAGATCAGGGATGCCTTGAGTTATTTGATAAAAATTTCTACAGTGGATGATGAAGATTCGCCGAAGAATATCATCGACTGGTATGGCTCTGAGATTCGTCGGCACTTCTTGCGGAACTTCAAAGACGAACTATACGTAGTGAGTTCTACATTCTGCACTTGTATAATTTTACTTGGTCACGCTTTACTGAGACGCCACAGATTGTCTCGTCTCCCTCAGATCGAAATTACTTACTTGAAACACTCGTTGTGAGATGCCTTTTACTAATGCGCAGGATATACTTTTCTCCATTGGTGGAATACATACTTCCTTTGCTGGACAGTGCGCTGGAGGAGAAGGTGTTTATGAAGTTCCAACGATCATTCAACTTGATGATAGGATATGCTATGCCATGGCCTCAGCTCTCGGACCTACTTACTCGAAACTTGGCCAAACATGCGTTTATCATCCTAGGAATTGCGGGCTTGAATGAAGAGGCGGATATTGTCGAAAGTGTCCATGTTGATGATATGGAAATTGATAGACAGTGCTCAGTATCGTATCAAGGCTGGCGGGATGCGCCATCTGCTGAGATTCGGTCACAGATGATGACGGAATTCGAAGATGCACGAGTTACTACAGCCCGCGAACGCCTGCTATCATTGCTTAGCGACCTTCAGCTTGTTGGTTTGGGAGGCGAAAAGGCTCAAGAGGTCTTCGCTGGCGTAATGGATACAATGATGACAGAATTCATCCGGGCAGCCTACACTGGTCACTGGGAAGGTCCATCACTTATCTCACGTCATTTGCGGCAGTGGATATCAGATGTGTTTGCAAGGTTAGCCGTGCAGGTTCTTGCAATCATAAACGTACCAGAATCCGGCATCAAGGACCCAGGGGAGTTGGAAGTGAAATTCAGTGACCTAGAAAAGTGGCAGGAAGTTGGTATTGCCCGTCTTGGGGCACTTCGAGTAGGGGAGTTATTTGATATTATCGTTGAATGGCCTGCAAGCAGTGGAGCGATTGAAGATCTGAGGCATTTCACAACGCATCCTGCAGCACGACATCACTTGACACAGTCGTTTGCGGTGGCGCTTAATCGACGGTTACTACACCCAGGTGCTTCGACCGTGGAGATTTTACAAGTTTACATCTCGATTATTCGATCGTTTAACCTCCTCGATCCGAAAGGTGTCCTTCTAGATCGGATTGCACGGCCGATTCGTCGATATTTACGAGACCGCGACGACACCGTTAAAGCAATTGTTGGCGGTTTATTAGCAGATCCCACTGACGCAGATGGCCGTGGTACATCGTCTAGCAGCGAAACGTTGGTAGAACTATCCGCTGAGCTGAGCAAAGCGCATCAAAACTCGTTGCGGAACGACACCGGCGAGCTGGACTGGGATGACATGAATTGGATGCCAGATCCGGTAGATGCAGCACCAGACTACCGCAAATCCAAGAGCTCCGATGTGATCGGCAGTCTCATCAGTCTCTTTGAGTCCAAGGAGACATTTGTACGCGAGATGCAAAACATGTTGGCGGAGCGGCTTCTTCAAAAGCGTGCAGAATTCGAGCAGGAAATGTCCGTCTTGGAGCTACTCAAACTCCGGTTTGGCGACAACGCCTTGCAAGCCTGCGAGGTTATGTTGCGTGATATTTTCGACTCAAGACGAGTCGACACCGTTGTTCGCAATGACCAAGGCATGGCAAACGCCGCGGAAGACGACGAAGACGTCCCCGAGCTCCATGCCAAGGTTCTATCGCACTTCTTCTGGCCCGAGATTCAAGGCCAGCAATTCAAGGTTCCCGGCGAGATTACTGAACTCCAGGAACGATACTCTGAGGGTTTCGAATCACTCAAGCAATCGCGCAAACTCACCTGGCTTAATGGCCTCGGCCAGGTCACGGTCGAATTAGACCTGGAAGACCGCGTCTTCGTCGAAGAAGTAACCACCTGGCAAGCAACCGTGATCTACGCGTTCAACAACCCCGACGAAGCCAACGAACCTGTCGTCAAAACAGCCACGGCACTCTCCGAACAACTCGACATGTCTCCAGTGCTCGTGCGCAGCGCCTGTCTGTTCTGGGTTAGCCGCCGCATTCTAACCGAGGTGCAGCGGGATACATTCCGCGTTCTAGAGACCCTCCCCACCAGTAAAGAAACCATCGCAAACGAGGGCGACAACGACAACACCACTGCATCCGAAACAGGAGGCCCCGACGCCGCAGACGTCTACGTTGATGCCGCCAGCAGCGCCGACGCAGCGGCTAATGCAGCGGCCGCCGCGGCGGCAGCAGCAAAGGAGTCCGCCGAAGCAGCAGCCATGGAGAAGATGAATCTCTACTGGCAATTTATCGTGGGAATGCTGACGAACCAGGGTGCGATGCCGCTGCAGCGGATCGTCATGATGCTGAAAATCGCGGTGCCCGGTGGGTTCCCATTTAGTAATGAGGAGCTGCGCGAGTTTCTGGCGGGGATGGTGTCGAAAGGGAAATTGGAGATTGTTAGTGGAGGTACTTATAAAATTGTGAGATGAGGAGTTGTCAATTCTTCATTGCCACTATAATGTATTACTACTAGTTACTATCTACATCCCTTGCTCATGATTAACGATAAATAAATAGAATAATTTTGTGAAATGAGAATTAACCGAAATCGCTAATACACACAAATCAACCAGCCCTAAGAAAAACGGGGGGCAACCTTCTGGGTACTCGAAGAAAATAAGAGGAGTCTATTCCGCATCCAACAACGCCACTGGCGGTGTATCATCGACCTGCACACCACCCCTCTTCTTCTCATTACTGTCCCAAAACGGCAGACGCCAGCCGCCCTCGCTCTCCGGTGTGGAGAGCCAAAGACGCATGAGGTGTCTTCTCGGCGCAGGCGGCGCAAAGTCCTTATATTCCGTGCGCGAGTGCAGAACATGCGAGTTCGATACGAACTGGATGTCCCCGACTTCAAGGATCATGTGGAGCGCCAGACGCTGGCAAGTTTCTTCGAGGACTTGCAGGGCTTCGAGTTGGGCGGGTGAGAGAGGGGGGATGAGGCCTGCGTCTGAGAAGCGGCCGAGGGAGCGGACGTAGTAGGGATCCCATCTGTTACAAAAAAAAAGCGAACCCGGTTAGTATTTGGAGATTGGATGTGGAGAGGAGGAGAATATGGATGGATGGATGATTGGGCTGGGTGGGTTAAAAGCGTACTTTGTGTATACGCGCGCGTTATCGCCGCGCTCGAGATAGATGACGCTGGTGCGGATATACTCCTCCTGGCCCTTGGATGTCTCGCCCTTGCGGTCGAAGTACCAGATCGGTTCGATGAGGGTCTTCAGGACGTCGGGGCGCTCTGCGGCGAGAGTGTTGTAGACGTTGTGGGTGGAGGCGATGTCTGATTCACCTCCCTCGAGGGCGCGGGCGATGCAGAGGAGACCGACAATGTCGGAGTCATCGGCGTGGAAGAATTGTCTAGGATCTGTTAGTTCTATGGCATTCCTGTGTGGGGTAGTGGAAGGGGAGACGTACCTGGCGTTTGTGCGGTAGATGCGCACAGAGTCAATCTGGGTTGGGTCTTCGCCGAGATCCTTGACGTGGCCGAGGACATGGCCGCGGCTGTTCTGGGAGACGAAGTAACCTAGGTATGTACCGAGACCCATGTAGGCAACGGCGGATTTGTGGTTGCCCCATTCCTCCACGGGGAAGCCCTTGAAGAGAATGAAGCCTTTGCCATTGAGGAGATCCTCGCGGAGTTCTGTAAGGAGGGCGGAGAGCTTGGGGAGAGGGAAGTTGCTCTGTTATTGTTAGCTTTGCTGGTCGGGCAGATGGGACAATAGGTACTACCTTTGAGATACCGGTCAGAGGGGTCTTAGCGGCCAAAAAGGCATCGGAAGTTGCGCTGAGCTCGGCAATCTCCTCAGCAGAGAAGCGATGGGTCCATTTCTCAGGAGCGTCCTTGTAGTCCTCGGCCTTCCACAGAGTAGGGCCTGAGATAGACTTGGGGAACTTGTCGAAGGGACGAAGGGCGTCATAGAGCGGGGGGTGTTGGCCAGTGGTTTTCAGGCCATCAGGGAAGGCATCAAGAGATAGAGGGGTGGCAGTTTGTGTGAGAGTCGCCATCTTAGCTGTGATTTTGAAGACTATTACTATTGAGAATCACTTCGTCTGGGTTGCTTTCCCCTCAACCCCTCGGAGGGGCACGTGGAGATTTATAGACGCCGCGAGCTCGGATGAAGCGACTCGGCCGGGAGAGATGAGTATAGACATCGAGAATAAACGCAAGCCGTTATGCAAACAGTGGAGGACATTGCGTGCTGGAAGATCACCGAAGTGTGAAGCTGATAGGAGGAGAGGCCGACGAGGACGGCGTGATTGGTCCTTGCGATGGCGTCATCTCGGGCGATGAGCACTCATCCTGAGGCGAGCACAGACTGAGTGCGCGACGGGAGGGAGACAGGAGCAATGCATTGATAATTGACTCGAAGATCGGGAATTGGCCAGTGCCACCTGTCGGAGTCCCTTGTGGTCTGCAGATACTGGACTGTCATATGGTGGATCGGGAGTGGTAGGGCTCAGGCACATACCAGGAACAGCACAGGGACCCTGGTACTCACAGCAAACATCATCAATCTTTATCAATCTGGCCGTTATACATGCTCATAAATGCCCCTCCAGATCAGCAGTGCAGGCGATAATCAGAGTGTCAGGATTGGGCTGTTGCTGTTCCTGCGGTGGAGTCTGCCCTGAGTCGCCGTGATGCCTGCATACTTCTGCATTTCCTGCAGTCCTTGTAAATAACTATACAGACTTCGAGTCACATCGTTTCCCATCTGCATCAACATGTCTACACCATCTACTTGCCCTCCGTATGAACTTACTAATGGCTACCCTCGGGCACTCGCATCCAACTTCCCTATTCGGTAATTATTTGCTCAGAGTCCAGTCCACTCACACCAAATGAAATTCACAAACTTCTCCAACTCCTCAACAACTTCACCAACACCACCACTCTGCGCTCTTTGTCCTCGACATCCGCCGCTGGAAATGCTGCATATCGCGATCTTGGACGTCGATGTCCCAGTCCCGACCGTCTACGCCGCCCGCGGCCTCTACAGCTCACAGTTCCGCGCACTGCTCCAGCCCGCCGCAGCACGCCTCAACCTCCCCGCATCAAGCATATACACAACGGCCTTTGATGTAGCCGGCGGCTCTCTTCCTCCTCTCCAAGCACTGCGGTCGTCGCCTCGATCAACGACAAATGGAGTAGCAGATGAACAAGCACTCAACCCGCTTGCGCTGCCAATAGACGGGATCCTCATCACCGGGGCGGCAGCGGGGGCCTACCAAGCAGCAAAACACCCCTGGATCGTGCCACTACAGAACTTCATCCAGACGGTCTTCGACGACTTCCCGCACGTCAAAATGTTCGGTTCCTGCTTTGGCCATCAGATCATCGCGCAGGCTCTTTTATCATCAGATGCGCGCGGGGCATCCGACTCAACCCCGCCACCAAGCGTAAAAGTCGAGCAATCCCCATATGGGTATGAAATGGGCCTGGCATCCGTAAAAGTCACCCCGGAGTTTAGCGCGCACTTCCCGGCGCTCTCGGAAACGCTCCCGCTGCCAAACGAGATGCGGCTGCAGATGGTCCACGGCGACTGGGTGGCTTTTCTTCCGGGTAAAGACAGACTGCCAGAGCCGTGGGTAAATGTCGGATCAACGGAGGCCTGTCCCGTCCAGGGCCTTTACTGTCCGGGCCGGGTGTTGACGTACCAGGGACATTTCGAGTTCGATGTGTTTGCGAACACGGAGACTTGCCTGGAGTTTGCGAGGCGGTACGGGTGGGATCAGACCGATGTGGAGAGGTATCTGGGGTTGATTGGAAAGGGGAGGGTTGAGGGCACTGTGGAGAATGCAGATGATTCGAGGGCTGCAGCGGAGGTCGTTGTGTTGTTTTTTGGGCAGTGAACAGGCCAAGTGTTATATAGAACTGTACATAGAGTATAGATTATGATTCATGAACTTCTAATTGTTGATTAAGTTTGTGTAACTATATAGCGGCAACCAAAGAAAATAAACCCAGTGAGCTGAACTGAACACTTGTAAATTACATCAAGCTGCGAAGAGAAAACCAACAATATGAGTCTCTCTTCCAGAAACACTCGCCTGTTTCAGAACAGTTACACCCCATTAACCCCACAACTTGTATAGTCTAATCGGGGAGCGTCCGCCCCCCCAAGACCCTAGCACTGCAATTAACCGCAATTAATCTACAGCACAGGATGATCATCGGGACTCGATCGCACTGCCGTGAAGAATTCCCCTGTGGAACGCGTCCAACTCCCGCCCCATCGTGTCCCTGACAATCAAATTCCAGTTGCATTGCATTGCCCTTGCATCTGCCAAAAGGGGCAATCATCGTCGCTACCCCAGGTGCCCAAGGAATTCCTGTCGTTTATTATTCGCATTCCTCGCTTTTATTTAGCTTTGCGTCTCTCATCTCTCCAGCGCCTTGTTACTCTTCACGGTGCAGGGAATACTACCACCACCACTACTACGTATATATAGAGCACCCGGCTGGCTACAGACAACCATGTCCGCGATACCTGGCCTACGCACCTTGGCCAGCTTGGGTCTATCCCTTGTCTCCATCCCAGCGCTTGCGACCCAAGCTCAAGCCCAAACAACGGCCGCGACACTCTTCGCAACGCATTACAACACGAAGTCGATCTATACGCTTTCGCTGTCGCGCGCGTCCAATGGGTCGTATACGCTGACTGAGTCGTCGAAGCTCGAGACGTGCGGGGAGTATCCCAGCTGGATCACGCTTGATGCGGAGACAGGGACGATCTATTGCTCTGACGAGTATGGGTGGAAGAATGAACAGGAGACCGTGAACGGGTCGTTGACTGCGCTGTCTGTTGATGAGGGCGTGTTGACCGAGATTGCGAAAACAGATGCGGCGCCAAGTGGTGTGAACAATGTTGTTTATGAGGGAGACGGAGGGGAGCAGTATCTTGCGATTGCGCATTAGTGGGTGCTCTATTTTCTCTCTCCTTTCTATTTCCATTTCGCAATAACGGCTTGGATTGGAAACTAATATACGATATAAACGAACAGCTCTGGCTCCGCGGTCTCAACATATGCGCTTCCGCTGGAAGACGGGGCCGATCCACTACAACTCTTCGAATTCGAATTATCCGCGCCCGGTACGGTCCCCGCAAACCAGGATGCGCCTCATCCACACCAAGCTCTCCTCGATCCGACTGGAGCCTTTGTTCTCGTTCCCGATCTAGGCGCAGACCTTGTCCGCGTCTTCGCCATTGACAAGGCGAATGGTAAACTCAACACTTGCCCGCCATTGAACTACACATTGGGTGGGGGCCCGCGACACGCCGTGTTCTCGACTGCATCAGAGGATCAGCAACTTCGACTTCAGGGTAGCCGTGCTCCACGTGATACTGCTGGAACAGTTCTCTACGTAGCTGGGGAGTTGAATGGCAAAGTCGAGGCCTTTGCCGTTTCGTACCAGGAAAGCGGATGTCTTGCATTCAAGCAGATCGAGGCGGAGGTGCCGTACCCGGAGGAGTTTCCCGAGGGTGCCTCCCTCGGTGAGATCAGACTGGCTGATAGCCACTTGTACGTTTCTGTGAGATCGGACAAGGCGTTTGATGGGAATGACTCTATTGCAAAGCTTGACTTGGATCGTGATGGCAACTTTGAGTTTCAGAATATCAACTCCTCCGGCGGCGAAGTTCCGCGCACATTTGCGATCAACAAGGCCGGCGATCTGGTTGCTGTCGGGAACCAGGTCTCTTCTAATGTTGCTATTGTTGAGCGGGACCCCGATACTGGCCTTCTGGGTAGCGTTGTAACGAGCCTGTTCATTGGAACCCCTGGCGACCCTGACAACTCACTTTCGGGGCTAAGCAGCATCATCTGGGATGAGTAAACCTGCACCCTGATCCTATGAAAGAGTTAAGGAGACAGTAGCGAAATATATCGACCACAGGGGTCGTATCAGTTAAATATCACAAATCTTTTAAATGCACTGTCAAACATCAACCATAAACTTAGCGAGTCTTGTAGAAGTCATTAAAGGATATCAGCAGTCAAGGCATAACATATAACATTAACAAAAGAAACAGAATACCACCGCGATGTATATAAACCGCCAGATCATAATACCAAAACATACGCCCCAACATGTTCAAACAAAAAGTCCAGCTTTTTTTCTTTTACAGTGGATTGTGCTGCTCTTTCCAGAGCGGAGTGAGAACGCCGTTAGTTGGTTGGGCCAGCCCTTCCATAATATATGTTGTCCTCGTCGAGGCTGCCTGTCGGTGTTTTGAGGCGTCATACCGTGGAAATGTAATTGTGAGTGCCGTAAGCCTCTGCCGTAATTCATAAGATCCATAAACCATAAAGCAACCCGCCTACGGGTTTGACATAACGTTTCATTTGACATCCAGTTGGAATGCTTTCCACTTTCCCCCCACAGCCCGACATCGCGGACAACCCCGCGGACCTGGATAACTTGTTGGGCCATGGGACATTGCACTGCCAGGACTGGATGTGACGTTTTTGAATGGTGTCGGTGGGCTGCTGATAAACTGCACCACGCAGTCACGGCATACACCGCAGATGCACTCAGTGCAGGCGTAACATTCGTTCAGAGGCCATGCCTGCTTGCAGCTGGCACAGAAAATCTGTATTTCCCTGTTGCGGAAGGATGCTGGTGTGGGGTTCGAAAACCGATGATGCTGTCGCTGAGCTGCCGATGATGGGAATACGTTCAAAACCGGACTAGAACTGGGATGCCCCGTCGAGTTCAAGTGATTGGAATATCCAAAATTCTTCCCGGAGGTCGTGGATGCCGAGTCCAAAGACGACTCAATGGATGGAAATGGTTCCAGGTCAGCGTCACGGTTGCGTGAGAATTCGTACGGCGGCGGCGTCAATGATTTGTGCAAAGGCGACGCCGTGTACGATTGTGGCGGCGGGAAGGAACGATGGGATGTAGGCGGCGGTAGACCGGGAGACTGGAACGCGGGTGGCATGGATGATCTGTTCTTAACCGAAGGTGCCGACGTTATGGATGTGATATTGGGAATCATCGGCGGGATGGTTGGTGAAGGTCCCAACTGCGATATCGTCAGGTTAAAGAGTGTGACATTACTAAATATAAAAGATAAACTCACATCTGATTGTGACTGTCGATCATCATCGACCTCTGTTGCTGACGTTGCGGCTTCGATGAGATCCTCCCAGCGCTTGCCTTGGGCCCAGGCAGCCGTTTGGGGCTCTGCCGATAGGGCCTTCCTATCCCCTAGACTCGGACGCCGCCGGTATTCCTTGGATCTCGAACGCTCGTGTTTGGCTTTTCGTGCTCCAGAGATAGAACCTTTGCGGGGACGAGGAAGCTTGTCCGTCCGCTGAATTGGAGGAAGAGTTGAAGAGCGACCGGGAGGGGAGTGGTTTAGAATCGAGGGTAAAAGTGATCTCGGACGAGGCGATGAAAATGGCGGCAATGAGTCCCGCTTGAAGTGATCGCGGAGAGATGGCAGTTCAATTGACGATCGCATCGGTGCTCGGTCGATATCGTTATCAGAATGGATCTCCTGGGTCTTGGTTAGTACCATCTTATCTTATCTGAACCGGATAATGGGGGAATTGCGCACCACATCTGGATCCCAGTCAGATGTTAAGCGGTTATGATGCAGTTGGGCCAATGCGACGGCCGCAGTAGCTGCAGCCGGATGGGTTTCGTCGATGCCACGCGGGGTTGCAGGTGAATTGGATCCAGCACCGTAGAAATCTCGATCAGATGCATCTATAATGTATCAGCTCTACTAGCCCCACAAATATCATTTGTAAAGATTGGAATGCTAACCGTTGCGCCGCCTGGATTGAGGAGGTGTAAGGTTGGCACGCTGTTCTGGAGGAGTAGTGACCATCAATATAAAGCTTTCTTCAGTTGCTGGGAGCTTCGGAATGTAGTGGTTTGGGTGGGCTCGACGGATGTGCTCCTGCATCGAGCGATAGCGTTTCTCCTATTGATAGAATAGCACATTAGTTTCATGTTTAGTACAGTGGGGGAAAAAAAGTCACTTCACGCCTCCCTTTATCTCCAGACCGGCGCTGATGCGATTGCGTGGAGGGGCCGATCGAGAACGGAGAGGTCGGGGAAACTAGGTGGCGGGGATAGATAAGAAGACTCACCCCCAAGCATCTTTTCCGACAATTCGAGCCATCGTTATTTTTCAAGGGACAAACCACCTCATTGTTGGCATCGGTGACGGAAAAAGAGCTGGTCAAGGACGCTCGGGGCGGCATGGTCTGCATGAATCCGTCTTATTGGCGGGGTTGAGGATGAGCAAGTCGACAAGAGCGATTCAGATCGGAGTTGATAGAAGCTGGCCGGATCCAGTGCCGCGACACATGCTCCGGGGGAGGGATATATAGAGCGGTTATAGAAAACGGATCGCATGCAACAATGAACCGTCGAACAAAGGATCAATGGGAGGGAGGGGTAGAGCTCAAAGAATGGAGCGATAAAGACAAATGCTAGATCGAAGGCCGATGACCGGACAAATCGAACAGAATAATGATCAATGACCTCGACCTGCAGCTCCAAAGGGAGTAACAAGCTCTAATAAAGGAAGAGAGCTAGGAGGGAGGCGACTGCATCGGAAGGGCAAGGAATGAACAGGGCAGGCTCTGGCAGGGGAGGGGGGAAGGTCAAGAAGCTCCTCTGACCTCCTGGGGAGCTAGGCGTGAACAGGCTAGCGGCAAAGTGAAGAAAATGGACGAGTGATAAGCAGGCAATTGATTGGAGGGAAAAGGCAAGAGGAAATGAAAATTGCAGGAGGAGCGAGGATGGATGGAGGCGACCGGGTGGGAGAAGGTGGAGAGTGCCGCGCACTGAAGCAGGACTCGGGCGCGGGAATGAACGGGCAGCAGCAGGACCCGATACAGTATCTAGCTGGGAGCTGGAGCTCTCGAGGTAACTGTATCACAGCTGGGACTGATCTGGTGACACGGGGGAATCTTCGACAGAGGATTCAGACGCCCGGAGGGCTGAGCTACAAATGCGATAACCACTTGCATACCAGGTACATCACCACCACTGCCGGCAACTGGAACTGCATTTACTTCAAGGCACAAGGATGCGAAGATTACCGATTTACTAATAGAGGTCTAGTAACTATCTCTGAATTTGTCGCCTGAAATCATCGCTTACTATTCCAGATTGATCCGACCCAGTGCAGTGCGTGGCGCCTATCGATAACCCGAAACGTGGGACAGCGCGATATCCGCTGGTAGAGGTGGGTGCGCCGAGGTTCATTCAACTTTGCTTGGTTACAGGTGTAGACGTATTGCGGGCTGCTCTGGTCATGTTTTCTTGTTTTGCATCCTTTTGGACTTTGCCATATCGCAATAACGATTGGGCTGTTTCTGTATTTCACTTCATGAGGCCCTGTGAGCTCACCGAGCTGCCTTGGTTGTGCGTGCAACGTTGCGACGGACTCCAGTCTGACACTTGCATTCCCTTCGGTAGCATCGGACCGCAAGCTTTACCTGACCGTACTGTAACAGTCAGTGCGCCGGAACTCACAAGCTGCAGCAGTCTCCCGACATGCCCACGGCCGCTGATGGAGATTCTCTTGAGTTGAATGCAATGATTGGCTTAAACCGGGTTCAGTGCGAGGGGAAACCAAGACTCTCATCGAAGTCTGGAAAGGTTTCAAGCTTGAGCCTGGTAGTTTAACCTTTCGACCTGTATCGTACAATACACTATTAGTCATCCTGACCAGCGGTTCGGGTACTCCGGTGGAGCCCAGCAAGATGGACTCGAGAAGCTCCGGCATGATCAGCTGAAAAGTTCGTCGTTGCGACCTTGCATTTGGACTGGGGGATATGAACCTATGAAAGACGGCAAACGAAGAACTGCATGTTGACGATGGTGTCATCTCACTTTTTCTGCCGTTTCCTGGCGACTGGGCGATGGAAAGCCGGGTAAAAGGCCATGTGCGAGGTGGTGCCCCTCCCCCTCCCCCTCCCAGCTCTCCCCAGCTCCAGCAATTCTGAGCTTCCATGCGACCAACCCAGAGCTGGGAGCTCCAACTTTCTTTTGGCTTAGAGGTGAAATTTCAGCTTAGCTCAACGCCACTTTTTGGTTCCTTCTTCCCGTGGGGTGGGGCAATGCTTAGTCAACCGTCGAGAATCCGGAAGGAGCGCAGAACATGGAGAACATGGAAGTGCAGAACTGGGAAGGAACGAAGGAAGACGGATCAGCCTGTGGCAAACTCGACGCTCTCTCCTGCTTCTGAAATTTGAGGCAGCCATTCCATGGATCTCCCCAATGTGAATAAAGGGGCCCCTTCTGCCCCCCATGGAACATGCTCGAGGTGAAAGAGATCCCCAGCGGGCGAGGGGAGGTCGTTGCCCGTTAGTGGTGCCTCGGGATCACACTACTATCGCGTCCAGTCCACTGCACGGGAGGGGTTGATGCCCAATTCGTCCTTAAGCGAAACAAAGCTGGTTGCCGTGTCTTCCGCCTCGAATTTGGAGAAGTCACACCAAGAGCTTTGGTTGCTTGTCTGTGCTCGCTGCTCACCGATCACCTGCATTGAACGATTTCACAAGCTCATCCGTACTCTATACCTCAGCTTCCGATAGCTGGTTGGCTGTGTCAAGACAGCCTCCGTAGGCAAACCCCTGGCGATGATTTGGTCTAGATACCGTCTCCCGATGGACACACGCCCACGCAATAATGAAAAATCTTCACCGACATGGATTTGTTCCAACTTCCAGGTTTTAGAGTTTCAGCGTCGTGCGGAGAAGGCATCGATTTCGGCGGGCCACGGGTTGGGGTTTCCTTTAAAGAACCCCATCGGATGCAGACACAGCCTCCAGTGTTGGAATCAATCCAGCTTGTCTAGGTGCTAGGCAATTCCTGATGTAGGCCTAGATTACTGCAGGTCGCATGTTTCTCGCAGACAAAATGCCGCCCCAACTGCTCGCCAAGGTTTGGGGAAACTGCGGGTTTTTTCGTCTGGCCCGGTTTAACCTGCGGCGGGCAATTGTCCGGCCAGTTACCCTTCCGGGTTGGTTGCAGTGCAAAAGTATTCTGATTGGTAGTTCTCGAGAGAAGTGTCGATGCAATCCCCAGCGCATTGGAGTGCATACAGTGTCCCGCTAGTATTTCTCCTGTTGTCCAGTTGTTCAATGATTGTATGGAGAAGGCCGACTTCCACCCAATTGCCGGAGTTCCCCGGATAAGCCAAGGCGGCCGTTATCATGCCAGCCTCTTTGCCCTCTCTTCAGGCCCTGGAGTTCTGGGATGGATTCGTGGTTGCTAAAATACGATTGGGCATTCGGAGTCAATTCCGGAGCTATGAGTCGTAACTCGGGTTCGGAATGGAATCCGCCGCTCTGATGGCTTTCGGATGGACACCCTGGGGCGTGCATGAACCTAGGAGACATCAAATCTCACCAGTGGCCTTGATCGCGATAACCCTCAAGATAATGTGCCCCGGTTTGCTTGCTGTCTTTGAAGTATGCAGCATATGAGCCTTATTATACGGTGTACTGATAGCCGATGCAATGGTGTGCATTGGTTCCGGGAAACCCCCAGACAGGGCTGGCGGAGGGTGGCACCGATATTGAACCGATGCTCCAGCCAGCGCCCCAAAAAATGTAGCTTAATTAGGATTCACCCATCTGAGCTGGCGAGTTGTCGGCTGCGTAAGAGCAAAGCATCTGCCGGTTATCCGCGAGGGCCGTGTCCCGCATCCGATGAGGGTCTGCCGGGGGCAAGTGTGGCCTTCCCCAGATCCGACGACCGTTGGTGGGTTCCGATTCGACTGCCCAAGGTCTCCATGGCTTCGATCTTTGTCCCGCAAAGTCGTAATCAACGATAGATAAAAGCTCGATGGTCAGCTTTGTCGCCCGCTTCCGCCTCTCTTTCTCGACTGTATAGAGACAGGCGTCTAGACTCCCATACAATGAGCCCAGCTAAAACATCACCCTTCCACGTTGCCATCGTTGGAGGCGGCATCGCAGGCCTAAGCTTAGCCATCGCCCTCCACCACCGTGGTATCTCCGTCCGTATCTATGAGCAAGCGACGGCTTTTGCGGAGGTCGGCGCGGGAGTCTCCTTTGGGCCCAATGCTGTTGAGGCAATGAAGCTCTGCCACTCCGGGATATACGACGCCTTCAAGAAAGTCTGCACACAGAACTTATGGCCAGCCAAGGAGAAGGTATGGTTCGACTATCTCGACGGATACACCCACAATGAAGCAGAATACAGTGCATCCTCGGGGGGGAACGATAAAAAGCGACAGAATATCGCCTTCACAATTACCAACAGTCTCGGCCAGACTGGTGTCCACCGCGCGCACTTCCTAGATGAACTGGTGAAACTCGTCCCCAATGAGATTGCGGAGTTCAACAAGAGGCTTGAGAGCATCGAGGAGCGATCTAGCGATGGGAAGCTCGTGCTAAAGTTCGCTGATGGAGCGGAGGGAGAGGCAGACGTGGTGATAGGATGCGACGGGATCAAATCGAGGGTGCGACAGTTTATTGCTGGGGATAACCACCCATCTGCTCACCCATCATTTTCCCACAAGTACGCCTACCGTGGTCTGGTGCCGATGGACAAGGCGATTGAGGCTATTGGGGAAGAACTCGCCTCTAACTCATGCATGCACGTACGTAAACCAAAGCTATCCCAGTGAAAAGTACCTATATTAACATATATAGATGGGCCCCAACAACCACATGCTCACCTTCCCCGTCAATGCCGGCAAAACACTCAACGTCGTCGCCTTCCACACAACCCCCGACTCTTGGAAAGAGTACCCCCGTCTGACCCGCGATGGCACTCGCGAAGAAGCGCTCCGCGACTTTGGCGGTTATGGACCCAACGTCACCAAGCTCCTCAAGCTATGCGATCCAAAGCTCAGCATAGTATGTCCCATACAATCTTCCAATAAGCCACCTACTTGGATAATGCAAGCGCAATACTAACAGCCATCCCCACAGTGGGCAATTTTCGACCTAGCCGAACACCCCGTCCCGACATTCTTCAAGAAGCGCATCGCCATCTCCGGCGATGCAGCACACGCTACATCCCCGCACCACGGCGCCGGCGCCGGCTTCTGCCTCGAGGATACCGCCGTCCTTGCGACTCTCCTCTCGGACCCCCGCGTCCGCAGCCATAGCGATCTCGAAGACGTCTTGGCTGTCTTCGACGCAAGTCGAAGGGAGCGCACGCAGTGGCTTGTACAGAGTAGTCGGTTTATTGGCGACTGTTACGAATGGCGCGCGGAAGGCGTGGGTAGGGACTTTGGCAAGATCGAGGAAGCGATTAATTACCGGAACGGGATCATTACGGACGCAGACGTGGCTGGGATGTGCAGGGAGGCGAAAGAAACTCTGGGGAGGGGGTTAGGGGATGCGAAAAATGCTTCACTGTAGTGTTGGTGAGAATAGGTGTTTGTGAATATGATGTGCTTGTAGTGACCTGTATATAGATTGTTTTTGTCACTGTTTGAATAGAAGCCTTCCTGCATATATGGTGTTGGCACTCATGATAGCAGCCTCGTCGACGTGTCTATTTACTTAGAATAAATATGAATATAAATAAATCTATAATTTAACCCCGGGCCATCGGCACAGTACATCGTAGTGGCTGAGAAAGCCACAAAGGAGGGAAATAGTGATAACGTCAGCCACCGATTTAGGGTTGGTTGGTTACACCAGCGACCACCCGTGTATAAAACCACCAACCATCCAAATCTCCCCATCAATTTAAGACATTTCCCTTTCCAACACCAAACACCAGTACAAAAGAACATAAACCAGACAAAATGACAACAAACTCCGCAATATTCGGTAGCACCGGCGCCGTAGGCTCCCAAATCCTCTCTACACTCCTCGCAACCCCCTCATCATCCACAATTGGAACAGTAACAACGATCTCACGCCGAGCACCAGCAGCCGAATCACCACACTTACAACCTCTTCTCGAAAAGGACACCACAAAATGGCCCTCAACTTTGAAAACAATTACCCCACCGCCATCCATAGTCTACAACGCAATCGGGACCACCCGCGCCGCAGCGGGCGGAACAGCGAATCAATGGAAAATCGACCACGACCTGGTAATCGACACCGTGCAGGCCGCGAAAGAGGCCGGGGCGCGGACGTTTGTGTTTGTGTCGAGTGGCGGGACGAGGGGCTCCTTGTCGAAGTATGTGCCCTACTCGAAGATGAAGATCGGGGTTGAGGATGCGATTCGGGAGATGGGGTTTCAGAATGCCATTGTGCTTAGGCCGGGCATGATTATTAATCGTGGGGAGAATTCGAAGGCGCCGGTTTTGGAGAGGCTAGTTGAGGGGTTAAGCTTTTTTGGGCAGTGGGCGCAGGACTGGGTAGGTATGTATTTATCTGTTCCTATGTCTTGTGCGCAACTGGATGGGGTTTGTGGTGCTGATGTGGATTGTAGGTCAGGATCAGAGGGTTATTGGGCGGGCAGCTGTGGCTGCAGCGAGGATTGCAGAGGAGGGGAAAGCGCCGTCGAAGTATTGGGTTTTGGAGCAGGCAGATATTGTGAGGCTTGGGAGGGATGAGTGGAAGGATTAAGGACTGGAGGTAAGCTTGTCTTGCTTGTAGTCTTATTACTGCAGTGCTGACAAAATTTCCAGATTGGAGTTTGATAGGAGTGGAATTATATTATGTTAATAACTCATCAAAACTCGCTCGTTGAGCATGTTTGAGCCAGCATTCAATACCCAACGGTTCTGACAGTTATATATCCTCTACTATATCCAGTGGATCATCCCCTCTCATATTGCGCCACCACTCGGTTTGTCTAACAAGGTCCCCCTCTTCACCACCTAATAAATTCCAGTACTTTTGTACAAACCATTGCTGGCCCTCCCAGCTGCGAGGGTCCCACGGCGTGCCTGTAGAGACCTTCCCAGCAGAGGCATTTTGATCTCTCTCCCGAGCTCCTGCGCCTCCCCAGCACACTAGCCCTGTAACCAAGTCCAAGAAGAATTCATCCTCGTTAAATTCTCCCTGGTGCTTGATAAGGTTATTCCGGAGTCCCGGAAAGGGAATGATATCAATATATGGGTGATGATCGATGGTGATTTGTTCGTGGGTCGGTCTCATATCGGGCTTTAATGTTTTGAACCTTTTCTTAACCGCGGTAACCATGTTTGTTTTACCCAGCGCGTCTTCGAATGTTGCACTAGACTGGAAGAATGGGGAGCGCAAGTCATCGTTACATAATACGTCTTGGGATATTTCGATATGCATTGCGATCGAGTATAGGGCTGTTAGTGTGCAGAGTTGGTCAACCCGAAGATTGTTGGCGTATGGATCTGCGATAGGTGAACTCGGTTCCACCGTGAGTATCTTAACCCGACCTATGGCAGAGTTGTGTGAGCGACAAGATTGGACTTGGAAGTGCGGTTTCGAACAGCGACAGTGGACTGTGGTCGTCCAGGATAAACCTAGCGGGTCGTTGTGTATCTTGGTGGAAGGGAGCGAACAGTTGCTCAGTACTTTAGATCTAGAAACATTTGATACTGCTGGCGAGGATAGAGAACTATGTAGACCATGAGATATAGGGTCCCATGTAATTTCATCTGACTGTGTAGAGTTTGATTGTTGATCGTTTGGCGTCGGATACCAAAGGGTGTCGTTTGGCTGCAAAGATAATGTAGTGGAATCCCACATACTAAGCATTGCCGGATCATTTGCTAGTGGGTTATATGCCGAAGGGTCCCACAAGCCCAGATCCGATGGGGTAACCTCGAGCTGAGGATAAAATTGTCCACAGTCTCTACCCGTGGATAGAGTTGATGAGTTAGAAGCTGGAAGCACCGGGATATCTGGGGGGATATTATGGCCTGGAGAGGCAGTCGAACTGCACAATACTCCCGTCCCAGATGATGGACTTGTAGATGGAGCCACTGAAAGAGCACCGCTGCCCTGATTCTGTGCAGCGAGCGCTTCGAGCCGATCCAAACGCTCACGGAGTTTCTGTCCTAGACCAATAATAAGCATTGGCCACACAAAACTGCTGCACTCACGTGCTGCCTGCATTGATCGAGGGTGGGTATCTGTTCGAGGGCGTGTACTTACGATATCTTCTCTGAGCTTGGATGTTCTGCTGTCGCCTCTTCTCAGGGTCACGGCGCACAGGCTTCCGCCTCCCCTTGCCTGTACTTTCGGTTTGTTTTCGCGGAGGCATTGTATCTGAACACTGGGCAACTCGAGGCTCGATTCAAGTAGTGTGAGACAGGCAGACGCAGGAGACGTGGTGACGGGGAGGATAACTGGCGGCTGATGTCAGCCACAAAGACTGGGCGACCCGATCGACACAAGTCACTTCGATCTCTGGCCCACTTTGGCTTTCTTTGTCTGTTCTCCACAAATATACGGCCATATAGTTGAATTTGATTATTTCTGTCTTCATTAAATATGATATTTTATGGGGTGATATCAATTTACACAGACAGTGGGAGTGCCTGACGCCTGCTAAGGTTCCTGCTAGACATGCTTTGACTGCATCCTTTGAACCCACCGAGAGTCTTGTGGGTTGGAATTGATCTTTCTATTCGAGAACATCGTCTTGGTTGGCGAGGTATTTAACATAGAAGAGTTAAGGCTCCCATCGGTTCTTGGTGAAGCTTAATATGCTGCTTCGATCGCCTTATTCCGATCCCAGTATATCTCACGTTGTATAGAATTTGAAGGGTACAACATTGAGGCGAGCCAAGATCCGTTTGGCAACCACCGCGCCTGATGTTCGACAAAATCGCCTCGATTTGCCGTGATGGGTGCCCAAAACTTCACTTGTCTATATGTGGATGAATTTTCATATTGTTTCCTCTCGACAAATGACGGACGATGAATGGCGGAGTATGCTTCCAGTGAGCAGGCTGAAGCCTTGAAGATCGCCCCACAGCTCTCGTGTGTCTTTGTCTCACTTTCGTCACAGCAAAGCCTGACAGCATCATCAACCCAGCCGGAGTATACAGATCTATAAAATGCCTCTTTTGAAATATACCATCACATTCCTCGCATCGACAGTAACAGCCACCAACGCCCTTCGATACCTGGGCTGCTACGACTCCAACGAACTAGACAACATAGGCCAATCGCCATTCCAGAGCGTTGGACTCTGCAGGATGAACTGCATGCGGCGCGGTGATACGATCATGGGCCTCCGGAACGGCACCGAATGCTGGTGCGGCCTTGATTATCCTAGCTGGCAGGATGAGCTAGACCCCGGAGCATGCAACTTGCCTTGTGGTGGATATCCGCATGATATTTGTGAGTTTCCGCTTTTACGGCCTTGAAAAAAAAGGTATTGATCAGTTCATTGCATGGTAGGTGGTGGCCACGGTGCGCTTAGTTGCTATGGAATTGAACGAGAGGCGACAGCATCTTCGCTTACTATGGCTCCCACGATTTTGCCAACGCTGCGTGTTGGGTGCAATTAGAGATTGTGAGACTGGGGAATAGATATAGAATTACTCTATTCCTTATATAGATGCCATGCTGAAGCTAGGACCATAGAATACGGTATGAGAGCACGTCACTAGAGCCGTTGGAATAATATATACTGTGGACTTTGAATCCCGTTGCTATTTCAGTTCCAAGTTATGACACCCTGGTCAAAATTATCGCCGAATTGTCGGGATTCCGAGAGTCCGAACTTGGATATCCTCTTCCAATGAACATGTCGTAAACCCGCCGAATTGGCGTGTCAACCACCCAATGTTGCGTAGCAGTCGTTCGATCGTGTAACCATCGGCGACACCCGTGAATAAACGGGCTGCTGTGGTCTAGTCAAGCGTAAGCTCGCAGTTTCACAATCTGGCTTACGGAGTAGTAAATTGTCGTCGTGGGTGTCCATCCACCTGTTAGTGGCCTCCGGACATAAGAAGACGCAGAGAGCGAGATCCCCAAATTGCATCCATGATGCCAGGCCCTATTTCCAACCACATTTATAAGCGAGACTCTCTAGCATATTCTGCATTAACTCCAGCTAGCACCGAGGTCGTGAGCGCATCCAGTGGGATAACTTTAGTTGGTCGGCGCTGCCGCAATAAGATGCATGCTAAGTCCGTAATCTCCGCCCCCCTTCACTGCTCGCTCTTTGTGCAACACAGTCAGTCCTATTTCTCTATAAGAAGGAATCAGATGCTCATGAAGTCCCTTAACCCCTCTGTCAATAAGTTTTAATTACGTCCAACAATTCATATCAGCTCTCAACATATCAGCTCTCAATCCTGCAGTCACCTACTCCGCATAATGTCCCAAAAGGCCTTCATCACCGGCGCAACAGGCTATATTGGCCGTGTTGTCACAGAACTCGCCGTCAAAGAAGGATACAACGTCCGTGGTCTCTCGCGTCGTGAAGAAGGTGACGCCCTCTTGCAGTCTCTCGGGGCGACCCCTGTCCGCGGCGACCTCAAAAGCGCCGAGCTTCTCACCGAAGAGAGCAAAAACGCCGACATTGTCTTCCACCTCGCTTTCGACCACGACTTCTCCAAGCCCTACCAGGACCTCGTCAACCTCGACATCGCCGCCGTCAGCGCCCTAGCCAAGGGCCTCGAAGGAACCGGCAAGCCCCTCATCGTCACCAACGGCACTGCAGGCGTGCAAGCAGACCCCAACGGCGGCGAAACCGACGAAACAACACCCCAGGCTGAACATACTTTCGGCAACCGCGACGTCGCCGAGAAGCATGCACTCTCATTGGTTTCCAAGGACGTACGCGTCGTCTGCATCCGTCTCCCACAATACGTCTACGGCCGCAGCAACTCCACCGGCTTCGCGGCGCAACTGATCAAGCTTGCTCTTAAATCCGGCGAGGCTGTGTACATTGGCGATGGCGAGTACTGCTTCTCGGATGTATACGTCGATGATGCCGCGAAATTATACCTCCTTGCCGCTAAGCATGCAAAGGCCGGGGATGTCTTCAATGGCACCGGTCACACCACTACCACTTACAAGGCCATGGCGAATGCAGTCAGCGAGCTTGTAAAGGTTCCTGCACGGTCTATTACCCCTGACGATGCAGTTGCGCGCTGGGGACCGTTTTTGGCTGCGTTTATTGGGATCAGGAACCGTGCTTCGAACAAGAAGGCGGTTCAGGAGCTTGGGTGGACGCCTGTTGGCCCGGGACTACTTTGGGAGGTACACACTGGAAGCTATGGGCCTGTTGCTGAAAAGTTCAAGAAAGAAATTGCGGCTGCTTGAGTGTGGATTAATTTCTAAGATGTGATTTGAGCGCTGCGTTTTACTCCATCTGGGGTGGGATATTCTCACTGTGTATTCATCGTTGTAGTTAGGTGTAATCCCAACTAACACGGGCCACAAATCTTCATGTCCAATGAACGATTAAGGAATGACAATTAATCCCGTCCTCTCGGGCACCTTCCAAGTTCTGTCAACCTGTTCCATTTTAGGCTTCCCTGGGCTCCTACTACTGCGTCAGCACTGCGGCCATCCAACCTAATTCGGGAAACTCGAGCTCACATCAGATCGTTCGTAGCTTTGAGGCGAAGTTTGTATTCAGGGGTAGCGTAGCAGTGGAGGGAAAGGCAACTGTGTTATTCCATTCTAATATTTATTTCCTGTTTTGTACAAATGGCTGGGAAACCAAGATATAGTCGATCGCTTTTGGGCGACACCAATTCGTGTCAAGTCATTGAGTAGCCCATATCCAAGGGCAAGCATAGGGCTTCGTGTCAGGTTGAAAGAATGGAATTTTTCAATCCCCATCCCACACATTTCCATGACCAGGTCTAGAATGCGGTAACATAGTCCTCCTCGCCTCCCCATCGGTCTCTGTATTATCATCCCCCTCCTCCAGCCCAGGTCCAGTAATCCGCTGGCGATCCCGCTCACTCCCCAAGAACTGGGAGCTCATCCAGCTAGCCCGACGGCTCGAAAGCTGTGCAAACCCGATCTATAATATAATAAGTTCAATACTGCAGATACGGTAGGCAAAAGACCCACCTTAACAAGAAACATCCCAAGCACTGCAGTAAAAACCATCCACGACGTCCCCTCCTGCACACCCCTCCACGGCACGAAGCAACTTTGTCTATATCCAAACTGCAATTCACAGGCGTCGTCCTCATTACCATGACCCTTGAATGGCCAGGCACGGTCATGGATACTGCGCAGTCCGCAGCACCGGAACTGGTCCTGGATCATGCGGATTGCATGTGCGTCCTTGTTTTGGAAATATGCTTGCCATTGCTGCTCGAGGTGGCACGATAGAATGTTTCCTGGGAAGATGTAGGAGAGAGCGATTGTTGCTATGGCGGTTAGGAGAATTGTGTGTATGTGGTTGAGGATCTGGATGGGGTGGGTGAGTCTATGAGATGCTGTGTTGAAAAGAAGGCGTGTTCCTGCGAAGGCAAGGGGTGTGAGGATTGGGAGGAGGGTTGCGAGTGCTGGGATCCAGGTGGGGAGGGGGAGGAAGATGCCGCTTGTTTGTGCCCAGGCGAGCCTTTGATAAGAAATGTCGTTAGTTATGAAGCTGGGGAAAAGCATTTGGGCTGAACATACGCTCCGAGAACTATAGAGAGTATAGAGGCCTTCAAAGAGTTAGTGACAATGACTATATAGTTTATTTACATCTGACGTACCAGCACGAGCACGGCGTAGATGGCCGAAGATGAATCGCACTTCATAGGCATCTTGGGATGTAGTTAATGTGATGAAAGAAAGATGGACTCATGATGGCGAAGACACTGACAGGTTGCTGTGTTACACGAGCGGGTCACGTCAACATGCATGGTGGGGAACCAGCTGTGGCCTGCCACCCCTTCCATGGATCTGACAGCTCCCACCACGCAAGAGACGCTTCACCGAGTCCAATCCCTGCCAAACAAGTCTATTTTTGTTTATGGTTATCTGCCCTCATATTAAAATATCTTCGCCTTCCACCCCGTGGATACCCCCGTTGCAATTGCAAAGAACACCGCCGAAGCTATATACACCACGCCACAAAACACAACGAGCCCCCAATATACCTGATTATCGCCATTACTTTGCGCCTCAAGGATCTGCCCAGCAATGGGAATGGCAACGAGAACACCAATCGCGACAAACGTATAGATAGTGCCAAACCGTTTCCCAATGTCCTCCGTCTTGGATATCTGAGCAACACAAACAGGCGAGAGGCTAATCGCCGATCCGCTAGAGAACCCAAACAGCGCTGCAAACGCGATTATAGCCCCGTGGTTCGACCCGCTCTTGAGCCATAATGCCAGAGTTAATATCGCAGACACAGAAGCCGTCACAATCATCGTGTTGAACCGCCCGACCCAGTCCGCCGCGTAGCCAGGAACCAGCCGTCCCACGATACTCGTCGCATTGAGAATCGACATGAGTGCATACGACATATCAACGCCCATCCCCTTCGCCCGCGCATATGAAGTCAAATATGTTAGCGGGATGGTGGCTCCGATATCCGCAAAGATAATTGCTGCCGCCGTCAGGCTGAACGAGGGGTCGGCACAGTCACGCAGGTTGATTGTTTTGCGATTCGTCTTGGCTTTAGCCCGGCTCAGCCGAGAACGTTGCAGGATTGAACCCAGACTGCAGAAGAAGAGCGCGATGAAGCCGATTGTGCGCATCGCCCACCCGAATCCGACCTTTACCGTGAGCGCATTGAAGATCTGGGGGAATATTATCCCCCCTATACCGCCGGATGTGACGGCGATACCGGTGGCTATTCCACGCTTCTTGTAGAACCAGTGGTTTATGATTGAGATGCTGGGATTTGAAAGGAGGGATGCGGATATGCCACCGAGTATACCGAAGCTGAGAATGAATTGGTAGTATTCTGCCTGGTCAGTATGGATGGAAAATTAAAGAAAATAAGAGAGCTAGAGCTACCTGTTGAAACGCTAAACGCCATCACAGCGCCCGTGAGACCGATCGTGCCTGCAGCCATAAGGTGCCTAGGACCATAGCGATCGAATATCGGTCCTAAGGAAATGAATCATGAATGTCAATCCCTACTCTATATCGCAGGATTCCAAGCCCACGGCCTCGGGACCGGGGCAGCAGGTGAGCAGCAGGGGCATACCGATCTGAACACCCCCAAACCACTGGAAGAACATATAAATGCTGAAAATCCAGGATATATCGGAGCGCGAATAATTGCTCAATTGGTGCGTCGCAAGCCAGTCCGTAAACACACCGGTGGTGTTCATGAGGCCGAAACAGGGCAGAAAACCACACCATGAGCCGAAGACCACGGACCATGCTTGTAGCCCTCCGTCTGGGAATTCCTCGGGCGCATCGTCAACAGTCGTGTTGTCACGATTTGGGAGGTCCCTCTTGTATTGGCCTTTGGTTTCAGTCGTTGTGCTCATGGTGAATCACTGAAGCTGGATGAGCTAGATCAGAGCCGGAGAATGGTCTTGGGAAATAATTTGTAGGACCTCACAGATTCACCCCGCAGAGATGCAGGTGTGACAGCCCTCGGGGTGGGAAAGATTGCGCCTTTTCAGTTCGCCAAATGCCAATTCACACCCAGCCAGATCGACGGATGAGCAACAGCGGTGACGCTAGATTGGGCCTTCAACCATGAAAGAACCACCACGTATTGGGACAGTGCTGGCTACCCTTGGGCCTTCAGTTCCACCTACAAGTGAGGAGTTTGCCGGAATAGGGGTGTAGCCTCGCGAATCGAACGAATTTCAGGCTACGGAGGAAAAATGTGGACCAGGATCGACGCAAGGAGAGATCTCCGATCGACGGGTCTTTGGGAGGCGGGCCTGTCGTTGTTCAGTATTTCCCGGCGGTGAGGTCTCAGGATCAAGTGTCATGCTCTTAGAGGGCTATTCGAGATAGGAGGTCGATGTCCGCGGTTTTTACCGGTCCGTTATGGAGGGACTCAGCCCTATCATTGAGAATAGGGTTGATGATATCCGCATGATGCCGCCAGAATGGGTCGAGCCAAGCCGGCAGATCAAAAGTTAAATCCCCGTTCTCGCTCTTCCCATTTCCCGTACTTGGCTAGGTCGTTGTTTACGAACAGTTTGACCCTGTCATGGCGGCCACTGCATCTGCTTCATTCCTTGGCCTTGTAGCACTAGCATTCCACCCAGCTAGCCACATTCAAGGCAACGGAGCCCGCTTCTTTGTCCTCTAAGCCGATTACGAACGGGTGTGGTTACACGCGTGGTACATGTTTGTTAACCCACCATAGGGACCCCACTACCCACTTCAATAGCACTCCGGTATCCGTACAGGTTGCCGGGTAGCCCTAACTGAACAGTTTACAAGTGGACCACGTCCACGACGATTGCAGATGGTGTTATATAGGGTCGACTATTAGGAAAGCAGCTCATTGAGGCGGAATAGAGCGGATTCTCTTGGAGCTCATCGCATTGAGCTATCGCGCAGTGGAAGACAATGTCCTGCATTCGTTAGTGCTACGTAACTACAGTGTCTAATACATTACTCAACATAGACATTGCTATGCCGGGGATAAAAGACGCGAACACAACTGATCTACTTAAAACTTGATTTCTTGAAAAGTCTAAGGGGTTGATTATATGTCCAGCTTCAATAGCCGGGCAGCATTCTTCCACCGAATACCCTCCAATGTGTCCGCGCTCACCATCCCACTCTCTTCTAATTCATGCAGCCACTTCAACCCATCAGGGCTCTTTGCAAACGGGTAATCCACGCTATACAAAATCCTTTCATGTTTCGTATTCCGCAGAATACAGGCCAGCGGGTCCAGCGCCCAGTTTCCACTCGTCGTCAGCCACAGGTTACTATCCCACACCTCGCGAAAAGACCTCTTCTTCCCCCACCGCGATGAAACCCGCTCAATCCTCTGAAGCATATAGGGAACCATCTCGCCCATATGCCCGATGATAATCTTCAACGTAGGGAACCGGTCAAACACACCCGCTGCGTACAGTCGCAAGATATGGATCGCGACGTCGCTATGCCAGCCGAAGCCGAATGCAAGGATCGCCGTCGTTACGCTCTCTGGCAGATTCGGCGATTGATAGGCCGTAACGAGCTTGTCTGTCGGCCAAGTTGGATGGATATAGATTGGCACGTCGAGATTCGTCGCCTCCCTCCAGAAGATGTCGAATTCGGGACCGTCGTAGTACAGTCCCTCTTCTGTATGGCTGTCTACTAGGGCGCCGACAAACTTGATCCCATCCGACTTCCCAGAACATGTCCGGTATAGTTCCTTTGCTGCCTCCTCGGGTTTATCCATTGGCAACTCGGCAAACCCCGCGAATCGGCCTGGATATGAGCGCACAGCTTCCGCGAGCTGGTTATTCGTATCTCGGCACTGGGCGGGGGACAAGTCACCCGGTCCATGGGAGATAACTTGCATTGTAACTTGACCAGCGTCCATATCGGCAATCCGCTTAGGTCCAAGCTCGGTGAATTGTTCATAGAGGCCTGGGATGGCTCGGAAGCCCTCGTTGCGCGGGTTTGGGGATGCGCTGGCGGCGCGAGAGAGGAAATGTTCCTCGAGTGAGATGATTGGTCTTGTGGCTTTCGACATTATTATTAAGGTGGATTGTATCAAGTTGGGTGTGGGGTCTTAGATTTGGTAGGAATGGACCGGAGGGAGTGAGATTTATATAAATGTTGGCTTCGGATATTTGGGTTAACTCCGCCAAGACCGAGAGACCGTCGTGAAGCCATTCCCGAATACTCCGAGTGTTATCTCAAAACCAGAGCACGGTAATCAATAAACTGATTGCCGATACAACTCATTGAATATCATACAGGATTGTTCATATGTACATGGGAGCCCACAAAGGGCAGTCTCACAGCTTCTCCAGGCCTGAGCCGAAACCAACTCCAAGATCCTACCATCCAGGACTATCAGCATTGATCATATTGCAGCAGCAACAAAGAGGAAACTCACTGTCAGCCATGTGGGAAAGTATGAATGTATAAACCACCCCACTGAAGCCACCTTTCCTCTCCAAGTCATTCCACTATACCCGCCGAGCACATCATTAACAACCCCCTTCGCATATACATCCGGTGGCATCGCCGAGTCAGCATATTTCTCGCCGCTAGCCAGCACTGCGATGTCCTCATTGGCCATCTTGTAATACGAGTTCTTAGGAAGAGCATCGTGAGGGGCGTTCGAAAAGATATTGGTCGCAACGATTCCAGTCATGATGGTTATAACCTTCACACCCAGGGGCGCAACCTCAAGGCGAAGTACCTCGCTGTACATCCGCACAGCAGCCTTCGAAGCATTGTAGAATGCTAATACAAATTTAATACGATGCTCAAACAAAGGGAAGGGACAGTCTTACATCCCCATGGCACGTGCAAAACACCCGCGAGCGAAGCATTGTTCACCAGCGTCCCCTTGGACGCAATCAGCAATGGCATAAACGTATGCGTGACATGCACCATTGCCCAGAAATTGACATCGAACATCTTCTTCGCATACGCAAGATCCGTATCGAGAGCCGGATAGTTCAGATTCAGCCCGGCATTATTGACCAGGTAGTCCAGCTTTCCTTCGCTGCCCGCATGCTTGACCACGGCCTCCAGTGCGGCGTCGATACTGGACTGGGACTCTACGTCAAGCTCTAGGAGTGTTTTATTTTCCAGGTTCTCCAAGTGCGACATCTTTGGGAGTGAACGCGCGGTTGCGAAAACATGAAACCCCCTGGCATGGAAGGCCTCTGCCAGCGCTGACCCGATGCCACCATCACTGCAGCCGGTGATGAGTACTGTGGGTAAAAGCTTGTCGGATTTAGATGCAGCCATGGCTTTTGTTTGCCAGAGATATTGAAGGGTTCGAATTCGAAAGGCCCGGATATTGATTGCAGGTACGATCAAGCGAGCACTTCAATCCCTGCTGTTCTCTTCTCCACAGAGCAAGATGGTCTTTGCTTCCCTTAAAATTATCCACTCCGGAATCCCGAGGAGAGAAAGCCAGCCTGGGGAGCTTGGACCGACCCACTGAACCGCTGCGGTCATGCCGATGGGCCCTCGCTTTGGCCTTTGATGGGCTCGACTTGGGTTGCAGTGGGGGGTCTTCAAGCGCGGCGGAGCTGTCAGGACGGATTGGAGAATGGACTGAGCGTTTTACATGATTCCAAGCGACCCAAGAAATCGAAACGGACGATCATATCATTCGCAATCACGGCTGGTTGTTGGCAGGTGACGACTCGATGGGGGCTGAAGGAACGGATCGCGGCAGGGCGGCCAAGCTGAGCTGAAGCGAAGGATCGATCGTTTACCACTCGCAATTAAATTTCAATGGGATCGGACATGGCATGCCTAAAGTCTGATGCACGTCGCTGATAGTCGACGTGGTTCAATCGTTGATGTATGAGGGCATGACATTTCTAAGTTTGATTATTTACTGAGCTGAAGCAAGGAACCTCCTTCAACTTGACCTCACAGGCATTCAATGACCTGTCAATTCAGTGTCAACCCAAGCGAGTCATGATTTTACCCTTCAAGTCTGCTAAAAGCACCGGACATGCACGCTAGTTGAAGGTACGTTTCCTTTCGGGCCGCTTCCGAGCTAGGATTCCGATCCCTGCCCTGGGAGCCCACTTGGCCAGACTCTGGGTGTGTCAGGAATCTAGCGTGGAGTTAGTTCGAGTGTATCCTGCCTGATCCTGTCGGAATCTGGTCGGCGAGCTGCCAAATCCTCAACACCCCTGCAAGTGGCGAACGGCAACGGCAGGAAAGCGGCAGATTTATGTAATTTTTATTGGAGGACGTTTTGCGCCCCTGAGCTTTCCTTCGTACCAAACGTCCTTGGTTTCTGGTTTCAAACGGCCATCATGCGCGTTGACGGACCGTCGTGCACCAAGTGGACTGGGAATCGTCTTGAAGACCTCTTGTGGCATGCTGCAACCCTGCCATGGATATTGTGGTATATGCTGTTACGTGAAGACTTAGCCTTCCAAGAAACCTATTTTCCAGGGCTAGTCGTTTACTTTTCTCGCTGCCGAGGCGTTGACTGTTGATCTTTAGAAGTCTCACATTCCGTGGGACTAATCATGCAAGAACATGGGGGGACCAGGGATTCATAGACAAGCCTCGCTTAGAGGGAGCGTTTAATAGTCAAGACACCCGCGGGGCTAATTGATCCTGGGCCCTTGCAAAGCCAGGTTCCTGGGTCGCACCTCTTGATTTCCTATCCTATTGTCTGTATTCTCCCATGACCACCGTGATATTTGACCAGAAAGGCAGGCTAGAGTCATAATGGCTGCCACAGGTGGCTCTGTTCCGACGAAGCTGCCATCGAGCGCTCCGCCGATGGTGCACACCATCCGAGGCATCATCATAACGGTGACTTCTGTTGCGCTGGTGGTATGCTGCACGAGAGTACGTTCAACTCAGCGCGAATACACTGGCCGTTGTAGGATGCTAACCGGGACAGCTCTATATCCGCAGATTTGTTACTCGATCATTTGGTCTCGATGATTACCTCGTTATCCTTGCATTGGTGAGTTGACTCCCATCGCTCTCGTCTACCCCCTATCCTCATCTCGATCACAGATAATGGTGGTGTTGTTTGCAATTCTGTCTTTGGCCGTCACGTTCTATGGAATTGGATACCATATGGATACCGTCCCACCGGCAAAGCTGGCGACTATGCAATACGTAAGTACCATCTAATTTGTCTCACTGCTTGGGATATACTGAGTCTTGAGGCTAGATTGTGTATATATCACTATGCGCATACCTCTGGGTAGCCCTCGCCGTCAAATCCAGCCTCACAGTCTTTATAATGCGGATATTCCCAACAAAGGCCATCCGCCTCATCGGCATTGGCACAATTATATTCATGGTTCTGATGACAATATCCGGCGAGCTGCCTCTGATCCTCCAATGCAGACCTGTTAAAGCAGCCTACGCTCCGCCAGCAAACGGGGATTACAAGTGCTTTACAGCCAAGACATTGATGAACATCCAGCTTTATCAGGCGATTCTCATGTTCTTGGTAGACGTGGTTATTATCGTCATGCCCATGCCCACGATCTGGAAGCTCCAGATGCCGGTCCAGCGTCGGCTAGTTATTATGGGATTGTTCGCGCTTGGTATGGAGACTCTTTGCAGATGTTTTTAAGGATGTGAAACTGACCGGGTATTTTGATAGGGTTCGTTGCATGTGCCGCCGGTTTGGCACGTATCCCTCTCCTTGGTTACCAGGAGAATACGAAAGATTTTACCAGTATGAAATTCCCTCATCATTTACCTTATTCTAGTGCAGCCCTAATTTCGACTGCAGGCGCTGGGGCCATCCCCCTCATCCTAATGAACACCGAATATGCGCTTGGCCTGATAACTGGATCTCTTCCTTCGCTGCGAATTCTATTCAAGTTCATCCCTGGACTGAATAGTAGCAGAAAGACCAGCAAGTATAGTCGGTCTCGCAGTCGTGAGTGGACTGGCGGCCAAGGCAACGCTGGAGGATACCAATTGAGTAGCCAGAGTCGCTGGAGTAAAAAGGTTCTTCCTAAGAGGGGAGCAGATGGCGACAGTGTAGCCAGTGAAAGCGAGCAGAGGATATTCACGACATCCAAATCCTGAGTTCTTGGGGATATATTCCATGTTGACCCGGTGCATGTGATTCTAGGCTGGAGTTATTTTTGTTTATACCATAACTAGGGCCACGAACGGTCCTTTGGGAATGTAAGATGTGTCTTTCTAGACAGTGCGGACTAAGCACTGTTATTGGCGTGTGACGACTCTGGAATCACGAGCCTGTAGGGGGCTGACTATCTCCATGACTGTTTCTACCATTGTAGTATGGTAAGCACTCACGTCAGTGCAGGTGTCAGTGAGCAACTGACAGCTAGAAAAGTCGGCGCGGTGGGAGGCCTGGGAGGAATGAGCCCAGATGCAGTCAGCCTGCAGTCTAGGGCTGTGCTTAGACACTGAAGGAGACCGTGGGAGGCCTGGAAGGTTATCAGAAGAAAAAAACACTGCAGCAAGGCGTTATCGAATGGTGAGCACTATTGATTTAGGGCAGTGGTATGTGTTTTGAAAAGCAGTTGGAGAAGCTGCGTGGGTGGCTGCGGTTTTTATACTTGTCTATACTCCATGTCGAACTCCAGATGGTCGGCTAAAACATCCATCGGCCTATGCAGAGGCAGGGATATCATCAGAGCCATTTGGCAGATACAAGGACTCTTGATACATTTCAAGATTATTGGGCGTCGCAGTTGCGCACTCATCCTACGTGTCAGAGTGGGTAGCATCAGCTAAATTCGATCTTGTCAGACGGACCCAGTATATTTGCCTGGAGATCCGATCATCTCGGCGGGATCTGGTTAGGCCTTGAACCAATGGCATGATCTGTTAGACTGAGTTTCTCCCATTGTATTTTGATTGTTGCTGTCGTACATCTACAATCAAAGCGAAATCAACCCTGGTCATGTTGTAGTATGAACTGTGCTTGGAGGTGTGCGCACTTTTGGTGGCGGCTCTCTTAGTAAAGGACAGCATTCAGTCAACTGTGGAGATTACGGATACAATGTCCCCCAAACTGCAATGGTCCGTTTGAATTTTCACATGTCAGACAATTATGCAGACGGGGAAGATCACATCAAACACTGAACTAGTCTTGAAATAATACGACTGGCCGAGAAAGGAAGGACATCTCTAAGGGGTAAAACATCGATGGTGGCGCAGGAAGTGTGCAATGGGTGCAGGGATGGCATTGGCTACTTCGCGTCTGACTTATCTTGTGCCAGCCCGAAGGATGAAGTTAAGCTAAAACTGGGCAACGGAATCGCCAAGCGAGCCGACCTTCCTGAGGCGTGCCGCGGTGGGTTCAGCTCACCCATCGTCGCATTTAGGGTTGCGCCGGCCCTGCGTGGGGTTGGAGTATGACAGTGATCAGCGCCACCAAGGACTCCAGCACTCCTCGGCCCCTCGAAGGACCAAGAACTTTTGTCTTCGTGATCCTGTTCAAGTCTGCAATTCAATTTAATTGTGAACAACATGGGATCAATTGCTCAACCCATCGGCCTCACGCCGCTCGACCATATCACGGCAAAGGTGTACCTCCCGTACATGCTGTACTTTAACACCGATGACCCTAGTACTGCTGTCCGAACTCTGCAAAACGGAATAAACAAGCTTGTCACAGAGATTCCCTGGCTTGCTGGAGATGTCGTTTGCCACAGTGAGCCTGAGACTCGGGGTTTCATTCACTCCCCTACCACATCCCATGATGTCCCAATGTTGACGGTGAAGTATTTCGATCGAAATGAGGATTTCTGCACACACCCAAAAAATGAGTATTTCGCTCTGCCGGTGTTTATCCCGGCCTCGCAGCAACGACCTGTCCTGCGCTTCCAGGTCAACGTCTTCCCTTCGAAGATCGCTCTGGTGATGTCTTTCATGCATATGGCCTTTGACGGCTCCGGCGCAGGGGTCGTCCTCCAAGCACTGAGCGAGTGTTGTCAAGCCGCAGCCGCAGAAGATTCGGAGTCTATCAGGACGCCCATCACCAAGGAGATCGTGAGGACTGCTATCGAACATCGGAGAGAGGTCTCGGACTGGCCTTCCAAGTGCGAGACGCGCCTCGACCATTCAGTAGAACTGGGCCCTCCGGCTTTCGACTCGAACTTTTCCACCGAGCAGTGGGGGGCTATGGAATCGGTTTTATCCTCGGCGGCCGATACCTACCGTGTCACATTCAGCCCAGACAAAATAGCCCACCTGAAGGCTCTGTGCGCGAAGCGACTTCCTCAGCTCAAACAGCCGTTTGACCCGACGTACCCGTTCTCCTCCAACGATATCATCACCGCGGCGTTGGGCATCTCTATTGACAGAATCATGCACCCCAACCAAGCTGGGAAAGACAAACCAACGAGCATTTTCATGGTCGCAGATCTTCGCCGCCGCATCAACCCTCCACTACCAGAAACATACCTAGGCAATATGATCTTCCCCATCTGGAGGCCCATTCACTGCAGGAAGGACAGTGAGGAAACAAGCCAGGGCGAGGAGTCCGACCTCATTCACCTTGCACAGCTTGCGCTTGAGCTCCGCACCGGGGTCACATCGTCCATCAACGAAACCCTCGGCTACAGCGCCTCTGCTGCCGTCGCTGAAAGCGGAGACTGGTATCAAATGGAGGGCAAGCCAGCAGACGTTGTGATGACCAGCTGGCGGCATCTTAAGGTCTTTGCTCTAGATTTCGGGCCAGGACTCGGCCACATCGAGGATTTTGAGTCCGGGTTTTCACTCATTCCTGGCGCTTGTATTATGCTTCCCCAGCGAACAAGGGAGCTTCAGCCCGCCGAGCCGGTGCCGTGGGAGGCCTCGATTACGCTGAGGCCTGGGGATTATGAAGCATTTGTTAAGGATCCGTTGTTGAGCCAGATTTTTGCGGAGTCGTGAATTATTTTTGCTCGCTGTCTTCCGTTGTTTCAGCGGCCCTTGTCTGCAAGTGTTAATATTTAGTATATGAAGTTGTAATAAACGCCAGTGGATAGTTCCAGGCACAGTTCCAAGGTTGGGCCCACCTGCAAGCCCGATCGCCCAACAGCAGCCTGAGGCATCCACGGAAGCCTCGGCCTGACGTTGGAGTTGACCGCTTACGTAGTTCTTGGCGCCCATGCTCCAATCGTCACTCGCCGTGCTGTTCCGACACGCGACGACGACAACATCATCACAGCAGGGCAATCCGGAGCTCTTCTGTTCCTTCCCTTTATCTGTGTCATCTTGGGTTTGTGTTATTGTTATTATTTTGAATGTGCCTCCTATCATTGCGCTTCTAGCCCACCCCTCAACGCCATGCGGGGACTCCGCTTCATCCCCATCGTCGCGGCCCTGGGCTTCCCCTCACAGTCGCTCGCCCAGGGAGAAACGAAGATTCATGAAGAGGGCCGATGCGCCATCCGCGGTCATTGCGGGAAACAGTCGTTTTTTGGCGGAGAGCTACCATGTCCCGATAATGGGCTTGCGGAGAAACCGGAAGCAGCGGTCAGAAAGAAGTTGGTCGATCTGTGCGGTACGAAATGGGAGGAAGGGCCAGTCTGCTGTAAAGAGGAACAGGTGAGTGGCGGGCGTATTATTGGGAATTGTGATGGTGATAATGATCCTAATTGTTTTGGACAACCAGATCGATGCGCTTTCGAATAATCTCAAACTCGCCGATGGAATCATCTCCTCCTGCCCTGCCTGCAAGGATAACTTCTTCAACATATTCTGTACCTTTACTTGTTCACCCGACCAGTCCCTCTTTATAAACGTCACTGAAACCGAAACCGCTAGCTCTGGAAAGGATCTTGTCACCGAGCTCGATAATTTGTGGTCGGAAGAGTACCAAAGTGGGTTTTACGACAGCTGCAAGAACGTCAAAAATGGCGCTTCGGGCGGAAAGGCCATTGATTTCATTGGAGGCGGCGCCAAGGACTATCACCAGTTTTTGAAATTCCTAGGCGACAAGAAGTTCTTGGGAAGCCCGTTCCAGATTAATTATCGCACCGAACCTGCAGACGACTCCCAGGGTATGGAGGCTCTGCCAATTCACCCAAAGGCATGCAACGATGCGGACCCAGCATACCGCTGCTCTTGCGTCGATTGCCCAGACGTGTGTCCCGAGCTTCCCGAAATCAAGACCGAAAAGCAATGTCACGTCGGCCTTATACCCTGCATGTCGTTCTCGGTCATTCTTATCTACTCCATTTTCCTTCTTGTTATTGCTGGATTTTCAAGCTATTTTACATGGAAAGAACACCGGTATCGAAAGCCTGAAAGAGTACGACTCCTACAGGATCCAAATCCAAGTGATGACGAAGATGAGGGTGATATTGTCCAAGGTGCGGGCCACCTGGAGTATCCCCGTGGGTTCTACAAATTGAACTCAATGCTTGATACTGTTTTTAGCCGCATTGGGTCCGTCTGTGCTCGCTTTCCTGCATTGACGATAATATCGAGTGTTGTTGTGGTTGTACTCTTGAGTTTTGGCTGGCTGCGATTCTCTGTGGAAACGGACCCTGTTCGACTCTGGGTGAGTCCTACCTCTGCTGCGGCAAAGGAAAAGGAGTTCTTTGATAAGAACTTTGGGCCATTCTATCGTGCAGAGCAAGCGTTCCTTGTCAATGATAACTCTTCTAACGCTGGCGGCCGCGTCCTTGATTACGACACACTAAGCTGGTGGTTTGGCGTTGAGTCTCGTGTCAGCCGCGTAATCTCTTTGGATCGTGGGTTGTCCCTGGATGACGTGTGCTTCAAACCTACTGGTGATGCATGTGTCATTCAGTCAGTAACCGGTTATTTTGGTGGCTCCCTTTCCAACCTCAAGCCAGACACATGGGAGGAACGCCTGACACACTGCACGGATTCTCCAGGCGATATTGACTGCCTCCCCGCCTCTTCACAGCCTCTGAGACCCGAAATGGTTCTGGGTGGCTATGAAAGTACTGGAAACATCCTTGATTCTCGGGCACTTATAGTGACATGGGTTGTTAGCAATCATGCGCAAGGATCTGAAGGAGAGGCGAAAGCTATGGACTGGGAAGACAGTTTTCAGCGTATATTAACGGTTGTCCAAGAAGAGGCCTCGACTCGCG